CACAACCAAATGGTACTGCCAAATGGTTGCGAAATAGTGAATACAAATCAACAAACTGTCTTTTTGGGGAGGTTACCCTCGAGCGGAGCCACGACAACAGCGTCGTGACCTCCGTGCAGGGTAACCTCTCCGGCCATTATTCTGCGGGATATGGTACACATGGACACACTACATATGTGTGGCAGCCCAATACTCAGGCACGCGAACAACGCAGTTGTGAAAAGTTTGCAAAAATTCATGAAGGTTCAGGTGTTTTAGTAAAAACTGACTACTCTATATATGTCAGAGACAAGTTCAGACAAACTGATATATACTTTAACGCCTCGGTCGTTTCCGATTGCCCGGCAACAAATATTACAAGTTATCCGCTACTTAATGATCAGACCTTGATCTTGCAAATTTTTAATTACTCTACTCGTAAACCACTACTCCTAAGTACTCCGGGTGTTGTTGAACATGTAGATATTTCAAAATTGACAGTACGAATGCAGGTATATTACTCCTCTTCTGTACATCAGCATAATCAATAGTTATTAGATACTGTAACAGATCAAGTTAATACCTTAATAAGTGAAACTAATACTTTATTTTGTAAAGCGCGACAGAATAAGAAAATCGATTTATTTTTGTTATCGAAATTATCGCCGGTACTAGCAGCTCATGCATTTAACTTTCCGCTATGTCATCATTTAGATGTTTTTGGAGAAACAGCGATACTTCGTATTTGTAAGACGCTAAATGTAACTTTCGCTAGTAGATATACGAAATGCGGCCCTGAACCACTAACTATAATAAATCACAAAAATTTTACTATTGGTAAAGATGGGTATACCTTACATCCTTTCTCTAGTTGTTTTTGGAATAACGGCATAACAAATTTCCACGGTATAGCGTATTACTTTAATAATTTCAGTTGGGTCCCTTTACAAATTACACAGTCAGCCGCTTCAGTACATATGCGTTCTTATTATATTTCTCCTGTTGATCACGTTTTTAAATCAATGTCCGAATTTTCTAATAAAGAATCTTTTTCTCTAAATATGATAGCAGAATTGTCAGCTTTGTTACAAAATTCAAAATCGGCAGTTTTTAATGAATTAATGTTGAACCCTAATCAACTGGAAACAGCTACAGTACATATGTCTGTTATTGAAAGGATAAAATCTGTATCTGTAGGGATTGTGTCACTTGCAATAACTGTCGGCATTCTCTATGTCGGCGTTCGCACTGGATGTTTTCGGTGCTGTTTCGCCTGCTTGCGGGCGTGTTGTTCATTTTGTTTTAAGTCTTCCGCAGGTGTACAAAATAACAGACCAGTGCGGAATGCAACATATGATGCGCCCGTTCCCTCTGTCTCATATCGCGCTCAACCGGACGATGTCATTATCCCGTTTATTTCTCAGCCACAATTGGAGCCGCCGCAGCCACGACGTATATTGGTGCGCTATCCCCGTTAACCACTCATAGTGGTTCCAGTTCATCTAAGGATATGGATAATGGATTCTCATTACGGCTACCGGATAATTACTTAATTGGATTTCCTAATGGACGTTACGTTTCAGGATTTAGTGTTAATATCTCCTGTCTTAATCGTTCTCAACATTCCTGCGTTTTATGTATTCCTGTTAACTGTTTTGTTTTGTTTGGCTTCGACGGGGACGTCTCAGATTCATATGGGGGCAATGTAACGCTTGTACGTTACCATCGGCACATTCTGTGTGTATACGTGTATATTCATACGAGTACAGCTAATGGTTATTCCTGTTTTCCTATTTGTGCATCTTCTGAGCAAAGGTGTGGACATTCACTAGAATCGCCTTTGGGCATTTCCTGAACATTTCTTAGTGTGCATGTGTTGAGCTGGTCACTGGTCAGAGGAAGCTTTACTCACTTCCAACTTTCCGACTTTCCGAATTGCAATTTCCGAATAAATACGAGTACAACTGAGAATTCGCCGTTCGATTGCATAACGATTCATACAGTTAGTAGCCATTACGCTACAATACTTCCAAGTTCCAGGTAGTAAAAACTGGCTGTTGCCACGTTACACATTTGCGCGCATTCGAGGTATGCCTGTCGTACTATGTACACTATGATAGGCGTTCCTTGGAGCATCGTATCGTTTTAACAAAATGCCGGATTGCCGGTACACTCTGCTGATACGGATTATTTCAGCGGAAACAACAGTCTATGCTTTCTGCTGAAATAATAATTACAAATTTACAATTGGTAATTTCTGTTCCATGAGGCTAGATCAGCAAAGTTAGCGCATTTCAAAGCGTTGCAATAGTTTCATTCATCTGCCGTAGATTAAAACGGTAAAAATGCATTCACATTATTTCCCAAGTGTGCATTAACGATACTTTACGATGAGCAGGGTTTGGCACATTGTAATAACCATATTCTGTTTGGGTGTCTTATACATCTGTATAGTCATGTCGCGTTGTTCCTAATGCCAAATTCATATTTCCTGTGGAACTGCTTAGCACTACAGGATATGTAACGCCCACAGTCAGTACAACAGCACAAAGCTTCGAAACCACAGCTGATACAGACAGCCCTGTTCCTGATGTGCTGGAAACCGTCATTGTTCCCGAACAAGGCAACGAATTCCCGGTACATGTTGTGCGATTGCACGAGGATCCACCCAGCAGAAGTTCTGGTCTCTGCTGGACGCAGTGTCTGAGCATAGCTTCCATCATTCTCTTTGTGCAACCGGCCAAGATTTATTTTCATACTAATTATCCAGACCACTGACCGTTTACTGGCTGCTATATGATTACCAATTATTCGTTGATCGAGATTGTCTACACTCGCCAACGGTTCACCCTGAACGGACGCCGCATTGAAAATATCTTTCACGAAGCCGACGTCGTCAAGTATAACACCGTGTACCGATATGGCGGAATGGCCAGCGATTTTATCTTCCCCAAATGCGTTGTACGTGGACGTAACTTTTGCCATATTAAACCTGCATGGTTGACTGTAATTAAGGAAACTGCAGCTACTGTTTTGGGGTGAACCAGCGTGCGGCCAGTCATGCCCAGTAGCGCTTGTTTACAGTTGTTTAAATATTTTCGAAATTTTTATTTTATCTTCCACAAATGTGTTGTACGTGGACTTATGGTTGACTGTAATTAAGGAAACTGCAACCAGTGTTTTGGGGTGAACCAACGTGCGGCCAGTCATGCCCAGCAACGCGGATAGCTGCCGTTGTTTCAATATTTGTTTGGAATTTGTATCACTTTTAAGTGTTTGTACAGGTTTAACAAATATATTGGCTAAGTCTTTAATTCAATGAAATATACTAAGTACTTTGCGTCGTTTATTCACAGCCTTGGTGAAAGAATGGAGAGATGGTAAATACGAATGCCTACTGTCCCGCGAGGACCGTATGATGAACAGTGGATTCATCGCATGCCGAAAAGGACATCCCTACATCCGGGACGTACTGAAACGCTACCGTTATGATTACCAAACCGGTTGGCTGTACAATAGCGGCGGTGTTCCTTTTGAAATTTATGCCAAGAATCAACGTTATCAAAAGACCCTGTACGTGGAAACCCAGATGGCCAACCACTCCAAATACTATACTGGCATAGTGCCATACAAGAACATCCCCGCGTGGCACTACTACGACCACGGTTGCGAAGGCACCGAAAGCAGTACAATGGATAAAGCTGTAAATTCTTCCTTCTGGGAGATGCCACATTTTATACAAGCGGAAGCCTGGAAAGCCTTCCAGTTCCCTACGAGTACCTCTGTACCTGGGCATAGGCAATGACGGTGCTAGCGAGTAGCGACGATTTCGGGTCGATCAAGTGCATCTTCATGGTCAAAAACGCACTTCGGCGTCTTATGCAACAGCCCTCGCATCAACGACAATGATGACCGCTAAAACAGCCCCCGCAAATTTGAAATTTCCTGAATAGTTTATTTAGAGCAAATTGTTTTTACCATTACTCCTTTGATGGTTCACTTGAGATAGAACCGTGTGTATAGAAGTGCAGATAGTGTAGTAGAATTGTACATGCTGCATACTCAAGCGGTAGCGAAAGCTTTTCGCAACGCCTCTACTGAAGAATTGAAAAACACCTCATAAAAAAATTTTATTTTGCAAGTGTATTGTTTGGAAGCAAATTGATGCGAGATTAACCGATCTACCTAAACGGTGCACCGAAATATGTAATGCAGCTCGAACGTGAAACGAAGCGAGTGTTATTGTGAATGACCCCATACATGGTACCAGAGCGTACATTCGGGTACATGCAGGAAAAGTGTCCCTCTTCGCACACTCCCGTACACTTTTTGCATCGTTTTATAACATTCTACAACCAAATAATTTGCATGAATTAGTGTGAAACCATTTGTGCGCGCAGCACCCGGTTATGTAGTTTTATATGGGTTAAACAAGACTCCAAAGTGTTTATACGCAACAAGTGTACCAAAAGCCTCTGGATAGACCGATCTTAAAATGTTTGACAAAATTGCACATAAGTATAAAGATCGTTTGACACGAAGCCATTTTTCCATCACGTTTTTCGAAATATTAAAATGAGTTTCAAAAGCTTTAAAATCAAAAACTTTAAAATCCGTTTCAAAACTTGGAAAAAAAGCTAGAATCTCGGTTTCGTGTCCAACGATTTTGCAGATCATAAAAAAGATGCTGAGTGTAGTACTCTGTGGAACAAAAGATATGCCTTGATTGCGCTTGCTGTATTACCACATCAAATGATAATGCAATAATGTACTGTAAGTATATATAGCATGTGAATAATGTACATAATTTAATATGTGAATAATGTGCATACGTACCATTTAATTATGGTTATGGTAACGAGAATTTTATGGGATCCATGGCAACCGGCCCCGAAGGATAATATACGTTACTACAGACTGTACATGCACTCGTACATTGTGGTGCTATTGCTGCGGTACGAGCATTAATTTTGGTTGTCATCGGAAAAGGAAAAAAATTGCTTAGATCGAAAAGCCCGACAGTGTGGTGAGCACTTTTTTATTTTTGTATCTCTCAATAATATCCTCCACAAACAACGCTTACAATATCAGTGATATTGAAGTACTAGAATCTCGTGCATCTTTGAATCAAATTATCAAGCCTAGTTATTTTATTTTTGTATCGGTAAGAAAGAGAAAGGGAGTATGCAACAGATGCTGTATTGCTGATTTGCTTGTGAGTTTAAATCCACAGTAAGATTTGTATAACTGCTCATCGCGTGATCATGAACTCCCCGCTTGAGACTCCCATGCTGCCGGAATGCAAAGACTCCACTTTGACTCTGCAGTACAAAATCCCCACAGAACACTTTGTGGTATGTAACAATTTGTCGTCGTCTCAGAATCTCTCTTACACTGTCGATATACGCGTGGGAAAGCAGTGGGCTCACCCTGAGATTACCGAACATTCTCTGACCGTCATTATCAAAGTGCAACAATCCGATGGCCGAGTATCCACCAAAGTTGTACCGGACGCAAAGACTGTTGCAATTGTGGAGGCAACTGTCAGGTAACTTTTTTCTAAACTGTACAGGAGGCTTCCGGCTTCGCTGAGCAGCCCGGTGTTACGACGGTCTATCAGACACTGAAAAAGCTTTCGTAAAGCATTCGTAAAGCGAGCTTGCAAGTATTAGCGAAATTAGTAATACCATGGTTTACGTGTATTATTCCACGATTACACTTCCATGGACTAAAAAACTGCAGTTCTTGTAAATTCCGAATTGGTTAAAGTGTTGAATAAACGAAAACTGCGAATTTAGGGGAATACGTGACGGAAATGTGAACGTCGAGCGGGGATACGAGGATGCTGCTCAATCCGTTCAGCGTCTCGTCATTCCGCCATATTATCCCGATTTGCCCTACGAATTAGACAAAGCAAAAGGGCGGCTAATCCATTTTATTGTATCCTACCGTATCACGCACCGCCGCAGCGATCTGAAGAACCTTCTAGACACCGGTGTTTTGACCGACTGTACGCTGATCTCCAGCGAAGGAAACCAGTTCCCCGCCCATCGCGCCATCTTAGCGGCTCAGTCACCGGTCTTTGCCGCGATGTTCCAGCATGATACCAGCGAGAAAGCCACCGGGATTTGCAAGATTATCGATTTCGAAGCAAACATTCTGCAGTTGTTAATCCATTTTGCGTACACCCGGGAGCTGTCGGCTGGAGACGGAGGACAGCAGATTATTAAGCTGTGGTACGCCGCTGACAAATATGACATGTCGGATCTGCGTCATGCTTGCGAAGACGCGCTGGTGGCATCCGTTAAAAACGAAAACGCGTTCGAATATTTTGTTTTCGCTCGGGAACGAGGTTTGCAGGTGTTGCAAAGGAAGGCTGGCATCTGCATCGGCAATAACCCACTGAACGTTTGAAGCGACATTCTATCATTTTGTATGCACATAGTAGTAATTATTTTGCCACTCTTAATATGACTGTCTGTAAGTGCTGCTAGTATTTCTGATCGAGAGTTTTGCAAAAAACTCTGGAGAAGTGGCAAATGTGGTAGAACCGTTCAAATTAGCTTATCTGCTTTGAGTGGGTTTTGATTGCGGACTGACTGAAGAAATCAAATAACCTAAAACTGCCAAGGTGTGCACTGTGCAGCCGTTTTCACTGGGTGTTTTTGCGACATTTGCGGCTTTTACTGCGCCATTGCTTGTGTGCTTGTCACCGTGTTTCAAACTCTTGTGTTTTTGTTGAAACACTGAATACTTCCTCTATAAAATACTGCGTAATAATACACTCGCGATCTAATTATGTTAACGATGGTACAGATACAATGCGGCTAGTTATTTTAACGAGCCTATAGGCTAATTAAGAGTTCATTCCAGTTTTAGGCTTCATCATCACAACGATATCTGAAAACAGCCATAAAAGTCGGTGCCAGGGTAGGTTGGTACACTGTATTATGTTTTTCGAAAAGTTATGCAGTCTTCTTTCATGGCACTGCTGAATGCTCATGCATAAGTCATCGATTCAATTCAAAATGTTCAGTCTGAACATTTTGAATTGAATCGATGACGATCTTTGCCGAATTCAGTTCAGGAGAAAAACTTTTGAGTATTGACAAGTTTTCTGGTATAGAACCCGCTCCCAAAGGCTGTCCACGCGTGACCGTAAAATTCGCGATCGACCGCGGGCAGGTTCTAAAGATTGCCGCGGTGGAGGGCTCCGAAAAACTCCGTCAGGTATTCAGATGCGACAATGCAGGCGCAGTACATACGGCTAGTGCAACATTCGACGAAGACAAAATGCAGGCAACCAAAGAAGCTTTGGAAAAAGCACTGGACCGTGCGAAGCACGAGGTGGCGTATGACGATCATATACGGGGCGCTCGAATAGCAGCACTGACTATGTGGTTTCGTAGCACACAGGATATATTGCTGCCTCTTTTGGATTATGAGAGGTGGTTGCGAATGCTGCAGTTAATCATATCGGATATCCATATCCTAATTCCATAGACATCCAAACTCCAAAGCACCTCCTACAATGACCTTTCGCCATTTGATTATACTGACATTGTAGCTTGATGCGGTCGTGTTCAGTACTTATCCATTTAATCTCAATGTCAATGAAGCGCTGATTGTCAATAGATGTTGTGCATACCACTTCTGTTTCCACTGGTAAACGACTCCGTTTAGGTATTACCATATTTGATGTCTCACTAGGTACATGCGCTATAAGCTGACAACCCAGCCATTCTCTGATATCAATGGTCTTATCACTTCCATTCAGTACATTTGATGCCAGTAGCGCCGCCCCTTCCGCAACGACGATCCGTGGATCAACGGTTGCGTGTACCTGTATCGCAGGAAATAACCCTATTAACACTTCGGTGATTTGCGGAACGAACCGTCCACACCCCATTATGATTACGTCCGCAACATCGCTTGCAGTCAAACTGGCTCTTGCTAGTACATCCTCGACTGGGACGATGATACTGTGGAACAAACCATGGCACAGGACTGCCAGCATCGACGGGGTTATAGCCACGGAAAAACTCTTTCCGCCAAGCACATATGGAGGGATCTTTATGATCTGGCGATCATTCCCGTTGATTTTCGTACATGCAAGACCCAGTGCAAGCATTACGTTGGCAACTAAACTGACACTGTAAACTTCCTTCAACATTGCTCGCACATGCTTCAGAATGCGCTCATCAATTATCTCTTCCGCTAGTCGCGTAGAATAATTAGACGAACACAACTTAGCTATTGTCGAACCAGGTTTGGATTTAACAACTTTCAGAATGGAGACAGCAAGGTACTGAAGATTCAGTTCAAGCGTCAACACATGTTGTTTTCGACACGGAAAACTAGTGATATATGGCAGGACTGCCGCAACTGGGTCGTCTAGGATCCGCGCCGTTTCCATTCCCGCCATGGCTGCAGCCAGTTTAATGGCCCGGCGTTGTACGATGGCCATAGTTGCTGGAACGGATATTACAGCGCTCCTTACCTCCCACTCGTTTAAAGCTTGACCACATTCGACAAGTTGCCGAAGATAAAACAGGAACATAGAAGTTATCTCTTCTACCGAATACTGTATAGTGCCTCCGTGCTCCTTAATTCTGATCCGGAGACTCCCGTTTTCATCCACGATATCATAGAGCAGATTATATCTGTGTTTAATTGCATCCGCATCTTCGAATTGCAGCCCAATGATACGAATAAGGCTGCCAACACAATTCTTTGGGTCGGCTTCCTTGAAATCCAACGCTTCTTGACCACAAAGTATGATTGTTTCATGACAACTGCCTTCGTCGAACCCAATATAGCTCGGAATTAACGGCTCATTTTGATGTGGTTCCCAACCGTTTCTATCCCACCGTTCGTCTGCACCATGACGCTACTGTTGTGTATCCCAAGACTAATACCAACAGTAACTCCTGTGACCGGTTTCCTTTGCTCTTGGTTTAATTTTCCAAGATTTGTCAACTTTTCTAAAATTTCGGATGATGAGATTCGGGAACCAGCTGCCGCGAAGCAAGAGGAAATACATTTCGCTATTTCCAACGGCACGGAGTGAGCGATCAGCGGCTTGTAACCTTTCAAAATCAAGTTAGCATACTGCGTATCGGGAATGGCGTCAGCATCGAGCACATCCGCGGGACCGCGGTGTAACTTCCTCTTTGCATTGCCCACAGCGTTGTTGCCCAATTCCAGTATAACGCATCCCACACTCCAGATATCACTCTTTCTTCCAACGTTTTCTGACGTCAGTTGGGCGTATTTCCGGTGAAATATTCCGGAGGGTTCCGCGAATGTTACGCATATCACCCGAACATGTGACGCTTTGTTGCATCTGGACGAGATCATCTAAATCTCCAATTAACAATCGACTGTTGTTTTCCAGATTTTGGACCAGAGCATTTGCTGGTTTAACATCACTGTGAATGATGTTATTCACGACATTTCACGTGGAGAAAGTTCACTCCGTCCGCTAAGTCAACAGCAGAACGAATTAGGGTTGTCATCCCACCAAGGTTTTGGAGGTGGGATGTGATGGGAATGTGAACAGGAAGTGATGTGATTGGTGGGATAGGCTATTAATTTATTGAATAATTTCTGACATATTTTTCACGACAAAAAATTCTTAAATTTTATGCTACCTGTTTTCAACAAAGATGCCTTTCAAAAAATTCGATAAAACCGCGCAACTAGTTAAACTACAACAAGTTGACATCAGTTCAGAGTTGACATCAGTTCAAAGCCAAAACTGGCAAGCAGCGAAGTCTTATGGTTCTCGCAGTTTTGCAGCGGTTCGGAAAAAGTGCAAAGCCGTTGCCGGATTTCGTCAAGTGCTGAATCTTCTCGTCGTCTTACTTTACGGTACGTCACTTCAGCATCCCAATCTCCGGACATTTTGGCAGCAAAATCTAATACCGCCATATCACAATGACGGTACTAAACTGCTACAAGCTTTTGCAAATATTTTTTAATTAAATCAAATCAAACCAGAGGCGAATCAAGTCACTTGTGCAAGTACAGATCTGTATGCTTGTGCAAGTTTTCGCATTTCTCGAATCTAAACTGCCTCCCACAGAATTCTTTAGAAATTTAACAAATGTTGTTAAAAATGTATGCACAGCTGATGCGCTATAGTTTGAACTGTCATTTTTAACAATAAAAATTCATCCCATCACATCACCGTCCCATCACTCATCACATTTTTTTATCACGCCCGCAATTGCTCGGCATGATGGGATTGTGAGCAGGAAAACGGCGTGATTGTGAAACTGTGTGACGACGTGATGACAACCCTAGAACGAATGGCGGTTGACACATCGGGTATTCTTCTGCTTTTTAATAGGGCTGCCAGATCTCCATCTAAAACAATCCATATTGCCTAAATGCAGTGAGAGAAGTTCTGGTAAGTACAAACTCCCCTTAATACTCACCACCGTAATAATCCATCATGAGTTTAATATATGTGTCGCCGGATATGGCTGATCGCGCAATACTAACTTGATGGTAGCGCACGAGATGATGCCAAAGCCAAAAAAAAAGCCAAAAGGAGCTGAAAAGCCAAAAGTGCTGAAAAGCCAAAAGGAGCTGCATGCAGCTGTACCATCTCGCGATTCTTTGATTCTCGCGATCCGTTATTGTTGCTCTGCACACAGGGCCAAAGGTTCCGCGGCCAATGTAATCCTGTTCGCCAAAAGTGTACCGATAAGATCTGCCAAAAGTATCTGGCTCGATCTCCATTAAACTATCTTTGCCAGACATAACAGCATAATTTTAGATATACTCATATTATTCGTGTACAACTTATTATGCCAAGAAACTCAGGACGCGATTACGACTTCTGGCAGATCGAACCACGGTGGCTGAAAACCGACGTCAGAGTACATAATATCTTTATAGCAGATAAGATAAATACCGGAAACTGATCAAAACCTTTGTCAATTGTACACCCACAGTAAAAAGGAATGTTAGCATTGTGCCGGCTATCCTTTGTTTTGCATTACTACAGATCTCAGTGTTGATCTTCTGCCGCAACTTTGTGAACGCTGCAACTTTGCAACTAATAGTAATTAACGAAACTACCACAGTGTAACTATTAGTGTTATGTACCAAACTGCGCTTCATAATGGACGGTTCCTTATACAGAGTACAAGACCTCATACGTACGACAACAAGCAAGATACTTCAAATCATTCAAACATTTAAACTGAACATTTACAATCAGCCAACCTGAATTCGGAAGGCCAAAAGCAGGTCCTCGTTATCTACCATATCGCTAGTTATTAATGTTCTGGGATAGCATATCACCCGGCTCCCGTTATATCTCAATGTTAATGAAGGAATGAAGAAGCATGTACTCATACGTTTACAAGCTTGTAATTATAATCACTGATAATTATAGAATTTTGTGCAAAGACTGCACTAGTTTATGGTGTGTTCGTTTACGTGTATTCGTGTGCTTATCGGCATGCATTTTTTATTTCGACGTATTGCTAATATATGATAATAAAATTTATTATCATGTATATTTAATATTGTATGCCGGTAGTCAGTTTTGCGCTAGGCTGCTAACATTCTGCATTCATATGCGCAAAGGATATGCAGATAGGCATACACCTACAGTCCGCGCACCATCGCAACCGTCCGGACTGATGAGTCATCCACCGGCCTAAGAAACGCCCTTGTAAATTTTGCCCACCTGGGTTTTACCCGGCGGTATCGCTGAAGTGATTGTGTGGGAATCAGTTTAGTTTTAATAAAGTACTTGAGCTGTCTAATGAAAAGAACCGCATTAATGGCCATACTGTCCACTGACCGAACCTGCTGAAACGTGCGTACCACCGATTAGGCCTGTGGAGTGAACTGAAGTTACAGGATCTCCTTTTAGTGTTAGCTGCATAGGCCAGGTAAGAGCGAAACCACTGCTCAGGCCAGCACAGTGATAACTGTTAAATGAACAGAATTGTGCAAAAGCTCACACGTCTATCCACCGACCAAGCCTACCGAATAAAGCAACACTCGCCACTGCCCAAGATCCACTATTATCACTGCCCTTTAATCGTTTTTACAATGATCGGAACATGCTGGATTTGATAAAAATTACACCTTTCATTCTATTTTGCCGCATTCTTGACCAAAAGCTAAAGCGTACTTAAACCTTTATTAAGTATCACATACAAGCACAAACTAAGTACCACAACAAATTCACAACAAGCACTTCCTCTGTACTATCCTGATCGGGAATTGTGCCCATTACAAAGCAAAATTATTTGTACTTAGTAGTATTTCATGCAAAACGCACAAAACTTTAAAGAGGTACTTAATGTCAGATTCACAATGCATCTACAATTGCTGCTGATACTTATTCAGCACGCTCCAAAGGGTCTCACATGGGACTGGCTAGGGATGTCAGTGGGTGGCCGAGAGTCGGCGATTGGCCAGCCGGCTGAGGGTTTTGCAAGCCAAAGCGGACCGTTGGCCGGCTGAGGGCTCCAGCTGGCTGTGATTTAGCCGGCGGTCGACTCGGCTGAAGCGGCGGCTTTGTGGTGCAACTTCAGCGTCAATTTCGGCGCCACCAAGTCACCTGATACTCCAGGTTTGTGCTGCTTCCAGTCGCATTCGTATGAGAAAATGTTGAAAGGTGGTGGTTACCATAACTCTCTCGTAGTCTTACTCTGCACTGCTACACTAGTGCGGGTGTTCATTAAAAATCGGTAACAATTTGCAGATAAGCAAGTGGACACATATTGCTGTGTTGACAGTCGCTGGCTACTGTGGCTGGCAATTAAGTAGTTGCCGCAGGAGCGGCGCGAATGCGAGGTGATCGAGCGGCTGATTCGCTCCTACTTCGAGATAGTGCGCAAAGATTCCTCCAACGCGGTCATGATCTTCCTAGCCAACCTTGCCAAGGTGAAAGTTTTTTGCGTCATTTCCGGTCACTTTCATCCTAAAAATGTCCTAATTGTGTATCTACAAAGCAGCCTGCAGAGCGAGCTCGACTCGCAGCTGTATAAACAGGAAAAGTTTGACAAGTTTTTGAACGAATCCAACCAGATCGCGCAGCGCCGTCCAGGGGCGGCCGACATGCTACAGGCGCTGCAGAGATGTGTTTTTGAAGAGATAGTACATATCTGTGATCCTGTAATCAAGTCAAACAAAATAGGGTGGCTGTGTGTCAACTGTTCGCCGACGCGTAGGATGGTAAGGAAACGTTCTTGGTAAATGGCAAGAAGTGGAGCTGATTTGTTTTCCTTATTTTGCAGTATGCCGCCCTTGATTTCGATTTTGAATGGATTGATAGGTACAGGTTCTGGCTTTTATCGCGGCTTTAACGATTTAAAGGTCAAGGCTTTGACTGAATAGCGTGTGAACTCATTATTGTTTTTTAAAAACTTGCTGAACTTTTACAGAAAGATTTTTCAGTTTACACATTCAACCGGCATAGCGGGCACAAATTTTTTCAGCCCTGGCGCACGTGTGATTACCGGGCGCCGGGGGGCTCCCCTGTACGTCCTGAGCACAGTAGCCCTGTCTAACTGCCAACAAAAATGTTAAATGTTATTAGGTGATGGGTTTTTCTGCAGTAAAGTGTGACGTAGCAAGTAGCAGCAATGTCCAGTTGCCGCTGTAACAGTTACGTAGTGTGTGCTGTGCTCGGGTGCGATAAATATCAATACGCGGACATATCGGTATAACTAGACAAGTGAATTAAACTGGCTTTAACAAAACGTTTATATGGGGTGCCAGAGCTCCCGATAAATAGTCGGATGGATGCAGTGGTCAGTCTGACGGACGTGTACGAAATAGACATATTGTGTTCATGGCCCACATAATAATTTAATGGAGTTTAATGTCCTTGTAACAGCGCTTGACGCCCTCTCTAGGCTTCAGACACAATCAATAAGGAACATGCAGTATGCAACTTTTCGACAACGATAAAAGCATATTTACAAAGTTTTCAGTCCATGGGACATGCGCATGCATAACCCGTGGAAAGCTAAGCCTTCGCACGTTAAAGACCAAAAGAAAACTATTGGCTGGGATAATACATTCAGGATGTCTTACAATCAGACAATTAAATAGACCACAAATTATGTAAAGATCATGTATAGCAATATACGCAATATCAATATACCCGCAAACACACAAGCCGGGTTCAAAATCTTTTCAAACGCATCGACCTTAAATGTTGGTGCTGGACTAAAGTCTTGAACGATGTGGTGCGACGCAGCTTTGCACAGAAGTGACGGTACTGCAAAAATCCTGTCGATTGTCGGTACATACAGCGATGAAAGAACTTCTGAGCCGAATTTTCTATAGCCCTGACCGAAAAGTTGGAACACTCACCGCCGGTCTCACCGCCAATAGAACATCGGCTTTCGGATTCTGTGTTCACGAAGAATGTGTTTTATGAGACTTTTGTTCAAGTTATTCGGTATCGTAATGTCACTCCCTATCGCTGAATCCAAAATTCAACGCCTTACACGTTTACATTTCTACATACGAGGGGATGTCAGTAGCGCACCTAGATTATCCCTGTACTTGCTGCCGTCAGCCGGCTGGAGTATGACGTTGTGGCTGTACATGGTGCGTATGTACCGCGCCAGATTTAGCTATATGTAGTGCCGTAACGTCACACTCCAGGCGGGTGACGGCAATACAAGGGATTATCTAGGTGCGCTACTGACATTCCCTCGTATTCTTTAAACCATTGTCTGATTGCCATATCTACCCTTCTGTCACTAATCAATTTGTTCCACCGGTGAAGTCACACCTCTGCTTCCACTGTCGTCATCTTTGAGTTCAACGAAGGTTTTCTGGTAAATCCGGTTGAAAGAAATAGAAAAGGGTTCTGCTATAAATTTGATAAATTTAATTTGACGGGTACTGCTAACTAGCCGGGAGCCCAGATATGGGAGAGTGAGCTAAGGAGAGCCCATATAAGACAGTGGTAGAAATATGGATGATTCGTAGTCGGAGCAATGCATAAGTGTTATCCAGGATGCCATGCCGAGCCGGATAAAAAAGTGACCCGTTAAGTTGTTATCAGTCGGCCGGCGCCTTGAGTTATTATGGAGCGGGCAAGGGAAGCGAATTGTGGAAGAGCAAGGTCACTGCGGTGAATGGCGACGGTGGCGGTGGCCCGGTGCAGGATCTATATTCTAGAAAATCAGAAAACTGTGGCGAATGAAACCCCGTGAGATTTAACGGATAGGTGTCAACTTACCTTTTCGTTTTATCCTGCGGAATTTCTCCTTCTAATGCTTTCGGCCGGATCGAAATCTGTTTCTTACCCATTTGATGATGTTGGTACTGTAGTTGGTACCAACATCATCAAATGGTTAAGAAACAGATTTCGATCGGGCCGATTATCGCTGAGATAATCACCATATATAGTAGCGCTGGTAGCCTTGGTACATCTTATTATATAACGAGATGTACCAGGGCTACCAGCGCTGGCATGATTGATTCGGTGGTGTGGGAACAAAAAAAGAATGAAAAAATGATGAAAAGGTAGAGTGCTGCAAATTAGGTTGTGCATGTTCTTTGTTGGGATATTCGCTTATATAGGAAAAAGCGCCAGCTTCAAATCAGTCAGACCTATCAACCAATCAAATGGTTCCACATCGTATCACATAATCATCGATCAGATGATATCCTGTAGGTTTTCCGCAAAGTAATTTTTGCAATATGCTTCCGGGGCCGGAAGAAAAAGAATTGTCAATAACTCATATTATTATACTCGTATAACAGTACATTAATGCCGACTCATAATATTACGTACTTAGCGAACAGACTTGCAGACTTCCGTGTCGCTGGTGCCTGCAGTGGCGGAGACGTAGCAAGCCCAATTCGAACGGGCGTTATTGCTATTGTCTGAGAAAACTGTGTAGATAGTGCCCCTAGTATCCGGTGGAATGGTTGGCCCGGGTAGACGGAGCCGCTCGTGGAGTTTCCGTCGGCCGTATCCGTGCTGGGTGACGCGGGATCGAGGAATTTGTGGGATCTGCGTCGCCTGAACACCAGTGAATGAGCGTCGCTGGACGCCGAGTACAGCTGCTTGGTCTCAGTTAGATGAATTAATCCTGCAGCGGCGACAGCAGTGACGCGTCGCCAGGCTGAAGCTAACCCAATGGAAGACCCGTTTCCCTTTGTAGGGCACCTTGCTGGGTGGGATGCGGGCCGCTGCGGATACCGAGGACGAGACCCGGGATCCGCTAGGCAAGGCCATGGAAGTACCAAGTTCCGCCAAACGGCGAATCACGGCGTATCTCCAGTGTGCAGTGAGCGGGGTCAGTGCGTTTCTCCATGTGGGTAATGCTCCCCAGCCGACGTAAGCGTAGGTGTTCCCCGGCTCGGTCGGAACTCGGATCGGGAGCGTCACGGTGAAATAGTTCACAAGTCAAGCGGATGCGGTCTCAGGAAGTGCATAGATGCTCAGATGCTAGGTGACCTTTTGGAATCCGCACGTGTGTGGGCTGCTGGCACGGAACTGCTGCACGGGCGACAGCTGCATGCTCTACTAATTTTGTAATTTGAAATTCCTTGTTTCTGTTCTTTAATATAGCTATAAAATATTTATTCGTGTACCATATAGCTGTATATTAAGAGATCGTTGCACAGTTCAAATATTTTCAGAAGCCGGTAGAAGACAACTTTTGTGGTTGAAGATTAAAAGCCATAACGATTAATGTTACGAATAAAAAATAAACAACGTGTTTGAATTTAAACTAAATCAAATCTAAAATGCCGTACACAGTCGACGCGCGTGTTTCCCCGTTGCACGCAGCATCAACCAATGACCCCGTAAACTAACGATTACTCGCTTGTTAACCTTCAACAATATACGCCACATGTACCGGCAGCTTGCAGTGCAGCGGATAGCGCAGGGAAGGATGCCGCTCCACTTCCGAAGGAAACGGTGTAAGCAGGTAAACAACTACACCAGCGCTGTTGAAGTAAAAACGGCAACACGGGATCGTACTTCCCGGCTGTTCATGCCGGTATACTGGGAAAACGGTGTTGGTCTTAATCAAGTCCTTACGGACGATGCCGGTATACGAATGTTGCAAAATGTTGAAATATATCGATTGTGTGCGAGTTTTGTTGTAAGTAAAGCACCGCAGGCAAATAACTTGGGTACTTTTGTATTGCTCACCATCAAAACAGGTTTGTGACTGACAGCACGGGTTTTAAATGATTCGTAACAAGTAATTAAAATTCCAAATTACTGTACTGTCATGATAATTATTTTATTGTAAATGACATAATTGCTGTTAAGCTATGGCTTCTTACGTGGCTACAGTCTCCAGTTCTTACTTGACAGCTGCTTGTTCTTACTTGTAACTGGCTGCATACAGTGCATAACACTACAAGATCCAATTCGCCCACAGACATAACAAACGCTTATAGATAATAATATATAATTACACAGTGCAATATCAACGTCGTACTGCTACCGCACTGTTCTCATATCCGTCCACGGTCTAGTACGAGTAAAAAATACAATTCATAGAACACAGCGCCCTTTGTGAACTGGCTCGCTGCTGCCAATTATTCAAGAACATCCGCTACCGGCTACCGTCAAGGTCGCCATATGTATGGCAAAGTATCTGCAAAAGCAAAAGTGTACGAAAATTAATACATGTGTAGAATATTAGTGCGCGTAGTGGCCTGCTAAGCGTTTCCGGTAGTGACACGCAAATGAGCATATACATGTACTGATGTACACCGGTATATTTGTATCACCCACGTTTAAAATCCCGTGCTAGACTGTCAACCTAGCCGGATACGGGCTACCTGCTCTGATTGTGATTAAATTGAATTAAGGTAGATTAAATTAAAATCATGAACGAGTTTAGTCACTCTTTAAGATTGAAACCAATTTACTTTTGTCTTAAAGAACATTGAGCTGAATGCCTTTGCGCGCTATATGGCACTGACATTGAAATTAATGTTTTTAGACACATGACTGATGCACATTGTATAAAATATACAGCACATTAGCATTTGCGCGCGCCATATTCTGCTGAATTAACTTAAGCTGCCACATTGCGATTTAATCACAAATTAAGTCCATGTTGATTATGTGCGTACTCGCTTTTCTTCAGTTGAAATGCTGGGTGATTCATTTCTTGCTCAAGCGCGCAAGAACTACATATCAAGCGCAATGCTGGTGTTTAAAAAGCCTCCACTATAGACACTACAGAGGGTGCGGCACCCAGGTTGTTAGGTGTTACACTCCCCAAAAACATTTCTCAAAATTCGGTTCATGAATAAAATGTTTTTTGAATTACCTACAAATTTTTTTGTACGGAGTGTGTACGGTTTCGCTGTATTTTTATTTCATATAATATCATATTATGGTAATCTTATATTTTTTACATAAATTATTTTTTAAGTTCTATAAACATGTATTACGTAATCCATTATTTTTTATAGATGAAGGCGCCGCGTACCACGGTTTACCACCTTTGACTCGTAGTTACCAAATGTGACTTCTAATATCCCTCTAGCAAAGCCACTTCCGTAGCACTGTTTGATTTATTATTTTTCAAGCTGTACGTTTAACTGTGTATGACTTTCCTTTGAGCAGTAATATGACATGGTAACGGAACTTCACAAGTTGTGTGAAGTGCTAAAATGCCGGTGTTGTGAATCACAACACCGGCATTTTAGCCACCGGCGACCTGTGCATATTTTTCTATTAGAATGGTTTTCTTACACAGAAATGCCAACTCCTTACAAAATTTCTTCATGATTAATCCACAAGTATATGCCATATCCGGGGCACTGAATCGGAAAAGCGTATATGTAACGCTTTGTTTGTTAGAAATTAACTGACTTTTATGATGTTTATACCGCGACACAACAGTCATGAGGCACATCAATCACTACGGCCGGTATTGCACACATAAGACAAAAAAACAACTAAAATCACTGTTATCAACAACTTTATTCGTTCCCGGTAGAGTTCCTGAAACCGCATCCGCATTGTCTTTAATAATTACAGGGCTAATACGCTTCTTTAAAAAAGGCCAAAAATTAGATAAACTATTTGAAAACAGTAACAAAGCCCAAAAACTTCTAGCCAGAATTAACGATAACGGAGACGTTATTGGTAGGTGGGCGGAGCCGGTGTGGGCAAAGCGGTGATGGTGCATCTCCACTTCTGGTCCGTATGTACGTAGTATTGTAAATGTACATAATATTACGGTATTCAAATTATTTCTATACTACTTTTATATAATTTTTCTTATGGCTTGTGCCTTTTTTGTTTCTTTTTCCCCGAATATTCTTTACTGTTTTCGTGCTGTTTTTATACAAGTATCATTGTATTGCTTTTCTTATGCCTTGTACGTTTTTAAAGAATAATTATCTTCTCGTTAATCTTACATTGTTGTCTACGCCGGCTGCCTTTTTCAAAAATGTTCTTCTTATTACTTTTTATTCAATGCTTACCATTACAGAATTAATGATTTAGGTTGTTTTTGGTGATGGACTGGAAGTACGGTGAATTATTGGCAGATAATAGAGAATTACATATTTCAACTAGCCGAATTTTCAGAATTTTGAAAAAGATTATTTAATGCAATATTACTATTTTGTAAGTCTGCACATTTTTTTGTAGAGTTTTTCGTGGCGGCATTGCGCGATGTCGTGGAAGAAACGATAAAAACTAATATTAATGCTAGTACTGTTATGCGTACGGTTATTCTTGCATATCACAATTTTAGCCTGTTAAGAAAATTTTTCTTAACAAAGGAAGGTGTAACGGTGCATGGCAACAATGCCAGCACCAGTATAAGATCTGTGGTTGTTTGTAATGTTTTATCAGTTTAGTTCACGATCAATTAAAGAGCAGTTAATTAAACAGCAGAGCAGCATCAACGCCCCTTTGATACGTGACACGGTGACAGCCCAGTGCAATTTCTAGAAACGAAATCAAGCCCGATCGGGGCACGAAACACTCTGGCCTATCCGGAGCATTTTCTGTTCCAGGATAATGGCATTTCCGGGCCAACGCATTGTGGGCCAGATCTGGTTCAGATTCGTGGGAAGAACTTGCCCAGCGTAGTGCTGAAATATTCTGGCCCAGAAAATCATAAATAATTACACAAATTCCAAGTTAAAAGCTAACAAAATTACATCAACAAAATTATTCAGCAAGTAATTAAATAAATATTATTACAATACAATGTACTGAAACATTTTGATGGACGATCTGGAACTGCCTGCCGGGGTAGTTTGCTTTTCCCGCGCTTGGAGGCGGTGCTACCGTTGCTGCAGTGTAGACGCACCATACTGTACTTATTACACATCAGTGTAGCGTGTTAGTGCTGGTAGTGATTGTTTCTGCAAATTGCAAACTTATAGCAATAAATTATAAACTGCTCTTCTCCCAAGTTCCCAACTTGATTTTTCTCAGACCTCTGTTTTTGCTTTACGGAATTGTTGTAATCACGAAGGCATTTTTGTATATATGAAACTTATAACGATTGCTCCTGGGAAATGGTTAAGATTGCTGTTTTTGCGCTGTGATTGTGTGAGTTAAGCCTTTGCTGTTGCAACGGTTAGTGGGTTTTGCCAGCTCTCGACTTGCGTCAGTTCACTGATTGTCAAAAACCTCTTTTCCACTGAAGATCCAACTTGTCGAAGCCTCCCATGGTTTAGGATCAAGCATGGAAGTTCCGGAACATGTGGAAATATTAGAAAATTAGAAAACAAGATGATCCCATGCAGGTGCGTGCGTGCGTTAAAAGTACTTCGAATACAGTGTTGTCTGTGTTGAGTATTAATATCAGTATGCAAACAGCACAGATACTGTATATTTTATTTGCATTGGGAATTCTTTTTACTAAAGTTTTACTGATGCGACACGTTATTACCCTTGTTTTAAGTTTTAAATAATTAATTATTGTCGAACCTGTATTGAATTGTGGGTGTGAAGTTTTCGTTTGCGAAGAAAATCCAAATTGTTTGTAGTCCAATTTCATTAATTTCAAAATGCAATAAATTATTGATTAAAGGTAATAAAATCATTATTTTATTACATCATTATTTTATTATTATTGTTATCATTATTATTATTATTATTATCATTATTTTATTATTATAAAACCATTATTTTATTACTAATAAGTGGACTAATAAATATAATATTTAATTTCAGGATCTTGCGCATAAATTCTCCCTTTCCGATGAAAATTTTTCCCGAACGCCTGCCCGCTGCCAGCACGCGCATGAACCCACTGAAGCTGCGAAATATTTCCGAGGAGAAGAACTTAGGAGAGAAGTTGTATGCCATCAAGTCGGATGTGCCTTCGAGCAAAGCTGATGCGAATGTTAACTACGAAATTATTGAGCCGAAATATTGAGAAATGAATGTACATATAACCGCTGTGCATCCTGTTTTTCCATGTTTATGCCGTGATTAATGCAGACTTGTGATCAGTGCATGTGATGCGCTACAATAAATATTAATAAAGCCTATTATGTCACTTAATAATAAAGCTTCTAAGTCATGTAAAGCGCTGGATTTAAGTAAAATACAAAATAAAAAAGCAACTGAAATTCTAAATAAATTTAATGTTTGGACTGGGCCCGAACGCCGTTGCATATCGTGTTTAGATAGGCCCAGGCGGAACCAGAACTTGCTCAGAGTGGGTCTACAAATAGGCCTTCCGCCCGTTTGCCGGTAGGCCTGAGCTCTCTGGCCCGCACAATGGCACCTCGGACTTGGTTTCTGGTCCCGAACAGGGGAGTTTGACAGGCCCAAACAACCCCTGTTCGGGTTACAGATTAGCACTGGGAGTAAGGTTATGAAAATAATATGAAGATGCGTACGTACGTGTTTAATCCTAAATTACGTAATATAAAGTCGAGTCGTATATAATATAAAGTCATATATACGAATTTATAGCATTAAAATGCGCATAATACGCATTTAATAAGTAATTATTATTCAAACAGATATTTAAATTTCTATATGTATATAGTTATTATTATATTACCCATATACGTTGTACGTACGCACTATATAATTATGCAGGTAATTATATAATGATACAATATTTTTCATACCTACATATACGGATTTATACATTTCTAAACGTATTCAATTACTTATTTAAATATTTCTATAGATATCCTCGTATGCGTTGTATATGTATGTAGCGCATACGATAGTATATAGGTGAAGGCTCCTCCAGTTCAGTAACCCTTTTAATCCAATTTAATTCACGTCGTTTCACTTGTTTTATGTTTATTAATCCATTCCGATAATTATCCATAATCTTTTATTGAATAAGGGCATACGTCGATATATACTCGTACTAACGATACATTTTAAAACTACTCAATGGCACTATTCAGTATAATATTATTTTAAAATCTTAAACAAAGTGTCGCAGCATTAACCATAGCTAAGAAAACATGAGAATAAAACATAAGAGACCATAATCCCACCCACAGCATTCCTAACGCATGCCGGCGCAGTGCGCTGTACGACTCAGCTAAAATATCCGCTTATCGTACAAGTGCACTTGCCACATGCGTACGGATATCTGGGTATGGGGTTATGGGTCTTCTTAGTCCTAAGCTGTAAACGCATTAACCCATGCATAAATAAACGCGATAGGTTCATGTAGTGTACGTACATATATAGACTGTACCTATTGTCGTATAGCAACGATGGTTATTGTGATACTTCTTACTTGATGTTATTAGCGAATTTGGGCAAGCGCCAGCATTGACAGTAGCATTAGCAATAGCAGTGCTCACGGCTATGGCCAAACGCACTGCAGCCCGGTTACTTGGCTGCCCAAACTCCGGCGTTGGAGAAAGCAATAGCAATACTGGTATCAATACTGTGCAGGGCACTGCAGGCCCGTATCGAGATCCCGGTTAAATTTTCAAAGAACTCCCCCCACACTTTCCATCAGAAATTTTTCTGAATACACCGTTGGATTCACCGTAAAATTCTAAACAAAATAGTTGAGGAAGATTTTTGAATTTCGCTTTCCCCTTAAAATCAACTGCACGGGCGGTCGCCCATACGAGTCACTCCAATTCCCCAGCGCTCAGGGGGCAATACCCCAAAATCTCGGGTGTCCTAGGTGCGACCGCCCGTGCAGTTGATTTTAGGGAGAAAGCGAAATTCAAAAATCTTCCTCAACTATTTTGTTTAGAATTTTACGGTGAATCCAACGGTGTATTCAGAAAAAGCCTTTGATGGAAAGTGTGGTAGGAGATTTTTTTAAGAAAATTTAATATCTGATATTGTGCACTCGTACAGCCGTACTGGAAAAGCAAAAACTGCCCAGTGTCTACTTTGTCAACCGAAGAAAAGTCAACTGAAACTTGAAAACCACAACTTCAAAACTCTCTGGTCCAAAACTGTGATTTCAGTATTGTTGCAGCTTTATTTTCATCTTAGTCTCGAATCGTTTTGCTTCTCTGACCAACTTGATTAAATGCATTCATCACAGCATTAATCTATCTGCGCCATGCAAACTGCCAAACTGGAGACACGCGAAACTTCTACGCCAGTCAGGGTCTTTTACTGCTGGATAAGGATAAGTTATTTTTATTGTTAACAATAAAAATCCTTTCCTTATGGAGAATAAAGGTGTAGCACGGACTGTAATCTTGCAAATCTATGTTGAAGTTTGTCGAAATTACATAAAAAGCGGGTATTTTGAATTTTGAAATTCGTGCCAGATCGGAAGCGAGGCACGATGCGATTTTTACAGGGAGTTGAGTTGATGCGCTACAAATAGAAATTTCATGATCTTCTGATGGTTCGTTTTAAAGTCATTTTAAAAATAGAAAACAATTACTGTTAACATTGTTAAACATCCCAGAAAAATCTGCATACTTTTTTGAACATTTCTGATTTTGGCTCCCCGTAGGCAGTTGTATTCAGCTGCGAAGGCAGAGGGAGAAAGAGGATGACCGTAGTTTGTCTTTTCTACGGTCAATGCCCGCTCTGCATTGACCGTGCCGTAGCTTTGAAACCGTAGCTAAAGACGATTCGGACCGACAATTGGTCCAAGACCAAAGGATATGGCTATGGCCAATGCTACGGTCGAAGAGTGCCCAAATTGTCTATTACCAGTTATCATTCAGTATCGATTGCACTGATGTGTGGTTATTAATAAATATTAACTACAATACGGAGAGACTTCACAATGGCGTGAAGATAGTTAATCGGACTCATATTGATTGGAGAGAGAGGAAAGTAGTGGCAAAGTGAAGGCTGGAGTGCGGAAGAAAGTGGAATGCCGCTGAGCCAAAGCCAAACGAGAGACAGTGCAAATGCGACGGGAGAAACACTGGTGGGCGTACCGGGACAACAACTGCTGAGGATGACGCAGTTCGACCCTGACAGTGATGAATGGCCATATTGGAAGAAACGCCTGAAGAACCATTTGTTTCTAACGAAAGTACCGGACGCAATGCAGTCTTCATTCCTGCTGGATTCGTTGTGCCCGAAGTCGTTCACACTTCCTTGCAAAATGTGCAAGCCGAAAGAACCGATGCAAATGCCAATAAAGGAACTCTATGAAATGCTGGACGCGGCATACCAGGAGTCGACCTTTTGGATAGCGCAGCGAATCAAGTTCTTCAGTGCGAAGCAGAAGGCAGACGAGACGCTGGTACAGTTTGCCAGCGAACTCAGGAGTAAAGTGGAACACTGCGACTTCCCAGAAGACGAACAAGAGAAAAGCCTGATTGCTGTGTTTGTAATGGGAATGAAGGATGCAGTGACGAGAAAGGTCATGAGTCTAAAAGACTTCAAGACACTGAATGAAGCTTTAAAGGAAGCTAAAGAGAATGAAACGAAGAGAAAGGAATTAGGAATTGGAATTGAAAGTGAATCGGATCATGAAGTGAAGAAAGTCCGAAAATGGAAAGGAAAGAAAGGAATGAAAGGAAAGAGAGATCAGAGTCACGATAAAGATGAATGTTTCCGCTGTGGTAAGTCAAACCACACGTCTAATGAATGCTTTTTCAAGGAGAAGGAATGCTTCAATTGTGGTCAAAGAGGACATACAGCCCGAATGTGTTCAAACATTGGAAACAAGTACGTCACGGTAGAAAGGGATCCGTACGACGTGCTGTAAGAGCCAAGGTGAATTGAAACTGAAGGGCGTACGTACTGGAAAGAACTAACAGAGTGAACTTTATGTCAAGAATGGACATCGTTGCCAAGAAGCGTACTTAATGCTATCGATTGTTGTTGTACTTTTACGACTGAAAAAGTGAAGGGCGAGTTGTAGTGTACGTACATATATAGACTGTACCTATTGTCATATAGCAACGATGGTTATTGTGATACTTCTTACTTGATGTTATTACCAGTTATCATTCAGTATCGATTGTACTGATGTGTGGTTATTAATAAATATTAACTACAATACGGAGAGACTTCACAGTTCACTTTGCGTACACCCGTAACCCCGCCTTCAATCGGAAGTGCAACCGCCTTGACTGCGGCGCCCCGGAATATGTTTCTCCTCCTCCTGGAACGACACCCGCGCCGCTTCCCGCCCGCCAGATCCGACATCCGCTTCCCTTTCCTCCGTTGACCAGGACCGTGGCGCCACTCCCCGCCGAGGTCATTGAGCTCAGGCGGCGCGGTGGGATGTACTCACTGGGCCAGACGGCGCTCCTGCGATGCAGGAAGCGTCCATCCAACGTATCACAGCGCACCACCACCTCCATCTGGAAGGGCCGCTGCGACATGGTGAGGGCGAAGCTGTTGCTCTGTATGTCCAGCGACTGGAGGTCGTCGTCCGCGGGGTTGACACTAACTCGCCGTAGGAGATTGGCCACCGTCAGGGAGAGAATGGCGCGCGCCACCCGCTCCCCGGTGCACGCCCGTTTCCCGGCGCTGAAGGTCACGCAGGCCTCGGGGACGCGCAGCTGCCCGTCGACGATGAAGCGCTCGGGGTGGAATTTGTGGGGCGCCTCCTGCAGGCTGGGATCATAGTGAATCGAAAACAGGTGCGCCACTAAACTGATTCTTAAAAACACCGTAAAGGTCTCCACCTCCGACCTCCGTTATATAAGCACGCCGGCTAGTGACCTTTAGGGATGGCGTAGCCGGCGATGGTGGTGTCCACTTCCGTGTAGCGCGGGATGCCGATGGGGCCGCCGGGGAACATGCGCATCGTCTCCAGCACCACGGCTTCCGTGTATCTACAGCGTGGTATCAACGGTGACCTTTATGTATATATAAGGACGCGGGGATTATGTAAGGGAAGTCGTCGCGGTAGTCCGGCGTGATGGGCGTGTTGCGGCCGACCCTCACGTCAATCTCCATCTGCATACGATACTTCACATCCGGTTTGCGCAGCACTATCGCCAACAGCCTATATATTACGCATATATTACGTATAATAAGTATATTACAGCATAATAAGTACCATAGCTGTACTAAAGAGAAGGCGTACGCGCGCCACTGGTGTATTTGTGTATTTGCGTGAAAATAACCAAACGTTTTATTATCATTATTCATCGAGCGTGTATTGTGATTCCGTCCTACTCGGCACAGATATATTCGCAGCACACACGCCATCAGCCGCCACTTTAATGCCCATTCCGCTGCGCAAGAGGCTCATCAGCGCGTCCTAATGTCATTCTGATGTTCTTGCTAAATATACCAAAATCCCGGTGCACATACCCCGCACCCGGCTACCCCTCCCAGTATTCCCAGTACGGCGGCGCCCCGCCCCCTTCCAACAGTGGCTTCCCGAATTATTACTACAGCTTCGCCGCTCCGCAGTGGGAATACCGCTCCCTGCCCGACCCGGCGCTGAGCTACGCCAACCAGAACTACCCGCCGCCCTTGGCGCTCTACACCGGGACGTCCAATCAGCGTTTGCCTAGGCCTCCATGTCGTTGAACGCCCAGCGTCCCGGATACCCCGTCCCGGATACCCCGTCCCGGCGTCCACGGCGGTGTTGCACCCCCCCCCCCCGGGGCCCTACTACCCACTGTCCCCGGCCGCGGCTAGCCGGTTCCTCCTACCGGCGCCACCGCTGCCCGAAATCCACAAAAACCACTGCTACCACCGGAAAGCCCATGTTCTAAAACGCGGCCAGACAGTGTTCGTTTTTTAAAAAATTGCATTAGAGCGACCAAACAAATCACCTGAACAATCCGGGTCTGCCATATATAGTTAAAGTACAGATACATCCATAGTATGGATGTATCTGTACTTTAACTATATATTTCAGCGTAGCAACAGTAATTTCTTTGTACAGACGTACTGTTCTTAACAATAAGAATGGATCAGACCTGTGCAGCTATGGAAAATTCACCCCGCGCTAGAGTTAAGAGCTAAAGCGACCGCGCGAGTTGCGCTATGAGTTACGCTATTTTTACAGGAAAAATCAGTTTTGAGCTATTCTCGAGCTATTTTCGAGCTACGCTATAATGTAAAATATCGGTAAATTGTAGGCGAGCTACGCTAAAGTTACGCTTTGTAGCTACGCTACAGAGTTAAGTTATAACTCGATAGCTCTAAAATAACTCGCGCTTCGCTAAATAGCTAAAAATAGCTGCACAGGTCTGATTAAGTTTGAAAATAAACAACCTTAAAGAAGTCAGATATAAGGTCTTAGCCGGCAAATTGCACCTCCCGTTTTCGAACATAAAAAAATTCGCAAACATAAAAAAGTTTCATGTAGAACATTTCGGGGAAACGTCGAAAATATTAAGCTAATCAGAAATCTTTTGATCCGAAATTCGATGACAAAAGTTCTGAAAATGGATGACAAAAGTTCTGTTCTGAATGTTCTGTTAACTTGGTAGAATGCGGCTGTGCAAAATTAGTAATTACAATTTACAAATAATGACTGTATTACCCGCTATGTTTTACGCGTTGAGCGACGTTTGAGTTACACGACGTTTCTCAATCGAACAACTCAAAACCTTTCATTAGCTGAACTTTCGCTCACGAGTCACGACCAATCGTCGGAAGTTTTATTGCAAGAAGCTTGATCAGGCGGCGCACTCTCTTTTAAAACTTTTATGGATTTGTTCACGAAACGTCACAGTTGGGTTATAAGAAATTGATACTTGCCATTACTCCCCATTGAACAGGAAGCGACCGTGCTAAGAGCCCAACACTACTACCATTGCTATTTAGTGCACACTGCCCGGTAGGTGACTGACTGACCAAACTACCACCGCTTTTAGTGGACACTGCCCGTTAAGGGCGTAAGATTTCGCTTCGGAAATTTAAAAATTTATCAATACACTAATCTAGACCGGCTGAGGACAACAAGAAATGCGGAGGCGCAGACGACTTCATTTCTTGTATCCAACAATATCATGCCAAAATAGTTTGCAACACACGAGACCATCTGTCATAATTTTTACTGGCTGCACCGAATCTCGGGTTCTATAAAACCACGAACTAAGCGTTTGTAATCGTACACCGCGCGTGTGATCATCATACGCCACATAATGCTGGGCACTGTCCAGGGCTTTTTCTAGAGCATCTTTAGCTTCCTTCGCTCTCTGCTCGTCGAACATTTCCCAACCCCGGTCGAGGAAGTTCAGGCTGTCGGATCTGAATACTGGGCGTTCTTCTCCCTCGCCATCCGCTGCGGTGACTGTCAGCACTTTGTCAGCATCGATTGTAAAGTGTGCAGTCAGAAGTGGAAGACTTTCCGTAAACGGTGTTATATTGAAAAACTTGTATGTGCTCAGGAAGTTCTTTATGCTGTTCTCTCCCTCAAAGACATCAATGTCAATAAAGCGCTGATTACCGACTGACGCTGTGAACACTATTTGGTTTTCGACCGGCAAACGACTCCATTTCTTTATCACCGGAATCGGGGCGCTACCACTGACATGTGCTGTAAGCGTATATGGCAGCCGCTGGTTTATTTCAATGCGTTCGCCAGTTCTATCCAACAGATTGGATGCCAATAGAGCAGCTCCTTCCGCAATGGCGATCGTTGGATCAACAGCTGCATGTATCTTTACGATAGGGAAGAACTCCGTTAGGACATCTGTGATTTGTGGAACAAACCGCCCACATCCCACCATAACAACATCCACCACATCGCTCGCAGTTAAACTGGCTTTTACCAGCACTTTTTCGATCGGTGTGACGATTTTATGGAATAGATCTATGCATAAGCTTTTCAGCATCGACTGTGAGACGCTCATAGAAAAAGCGTTTCCACCAAGCAGACGAGGAATTTCGATGATGTGGCGATCGTCTCCGTTTATCTGCTTGCATGCGGATGCCAAGCATCGTTCCGCCGTTCTGTTTCCAGTTAACTTGACGCTGTAGACATCCTGGATTATTCCAAATAAATGCTCGAAAATCCGCTCGTCGATACATTTTTCTCCTAAAAAGCTCGTGAACAGCGATGAATGTAATCCGATACGTGTAAGTTGCGCGCCAGATATATCGACTTTCACGATAGAGACCGCTAGTTGTTGGCTATCAAAATCTAGTACTAAGACAAATCGTTTCCCGCGAGAGAAACTCCTTATATACGGTATAACGGCTGCGATTGGCTCATCTAACAGCCGCACCTTTTCTATTCCCGCCATGGTCGCCGCTGGCCCGACGTTGCGCGATATTAAAATACGCTGGAACAGTTATCACAGCGCTTTTCATTTGGCGATCGTGCAAAGTTTGTTTATCCCCGGCAAGATGCATAAAGTAGCGCAGGAAGAGGGAAGTTGTTTCTTCCACCGAGTAAATTATACTTCCTCCATTTTCACTTATCTGGATCCTTGGACTCCCGTCTTCGTTTACCACATTGTAGAGCACAAGATTTTTTTGTTTTGTCACGATATCGTGGTCGAATCGCCGTCCAATCATACATCGGAGATTGTAGATGCAATTTTTTGGATTGATTTCCAGACAATCCACTGCTTCTTGACCGTATAGAATATTTGTTCCATATATGCTGCTTTCATCGAACGCTACACAGTTTGGTATTACTGGCTCCTTTTGGAGTGGCTCAAAAATTGTTTCCAGTCGACCATCGCGGTAGACAACAACACTGCTATAGCGAGGGTGTCGATCGCTTTTTCTGGCAGTTCATTCGCTTTTTTCAGATTCATTAATTTTTGCCGGAGTTCAGATGATGAGATTCGAGAATTTGGTGCAGCAAAGCAAGAGGAGATACATTTTGCTATTTCTACCGGCACGGAAAGTGCTATCAATGGCGCGTAGCCTTCCAATATCAGATTAGCGTACCGTGTATCCGGAATCGTATCGGTATCCTGTACTACTCCCGAAGCTCGGTGTAATCTTCGGCTATTATTTCCTACAGCGTTGTTCACTATCTCTAGTATAACACATCCCAGATTCTGCCTGCTTCTTCAAAAGTTCCGGTGACATATAGCGAAGAGTCCCTCGGATATTGCGAATGTCACACGAGCAGGTGACACTCTGCTGCATCTGAACTAGATCATCCAAATCCCCGAGTACCAGTCTGTTGTGATTACCGACTCGGTGGACCAGCACATTTCCTGGTTTGATGTCGCCGTGAATGATGTTATTCACGTGGAGATAACTGACTCCTTGCGCTATTTCAATGGCGTTAAGAATGGCCGTTGATAGATCCGGAAGCTTTTGGTTTTTAGCAGATTGGCAAGGTCTCCATCTGTAAGTCATAAAAAACAGTTACACAGCTTAACGAAGTAAAAACTTTCTGGTATAGCCAGTGATTCATACATACCAGCGTAATAATCCATCATCAGCTTGACAGACACTCCGCCGAACGCCGATGATCGTGCGATACTCACTTGATGGTAACGCACGAGATGCTCCTGCTGAAACGTCAGAAGGAACTGCATCCGGTTGCGCCATCTGTCCCAATTATCTTTGGAGGACAAAACTGCGGATTCTTTGTGTAGGTGGATCATTTTGACAGCCACGGTGTGATTTCCGGTAAAGTCACCGGGATCGGTTATCCTTGCTCTGTACACAATACCAAAAGTACCGCGACCAATGTAATCCTCCTCTCCGAAACTGTACCGACAGCATTTTCCGAAAGTATCCGACTGAACCTCCATCGAAATATTTCCGCCTGGATCCTTTAGGTCTTCTTCCTAATACGATCCGATTGGCGAAATATTCTTGTATGCACGTTATCCGTTTCCCCAAATCTAAGCAATTGCGTAGTGTGGCAGATACAACCAAAGAAATGCTTATCCGTTTCCGTTGCGGGCCGACGCAATCCGCCATAATTTATCTTACAAATGCTAATGCAAGATAAGATAAAAATACCGGTATCGTACATAAAAAGAAGGAGAAGAACACAGCGCACGAGAATGATCTTTCAGTACCTATTACTAAAGTTTGTAACTTAATGCAGCAATTGCTTATTCTAGCAGAGCAAGATAAAATTAAAAAAAACTCTGTTCTTTATCAAAAAGCGGTACAGTTTAACGTAAACCTATCTTACAGTTGCTAATTTAGGATAAGATTAAAATGCCGGTATCGTTAGCAAATAGCATGGGTACCTTTGCGCTTTGTACATATTGAGAAATAAAACAGATTATCAGCTATAGATGCCGGTGCTGTACCATTGCCGGCAACGCGTACTTACTTACCATACCGCATGTGCACGAGAACTTGTATTGCACTTGTGTGTCAAGAGGTGCGATTGCAAGCCATACCATTAATTTTGCAAAGACTGCATTAAATTAAACGGCACGAGCCGCGTACTTCAGATAGTACCTACACTTATCGCAAATCGTGTCAGTTGTGCATAATATTATAATATTTGAAGCATGCGCAGATCGGTAAACATTAAACAGTCAGCGTAGTACCATGGTATGATTTCATTGCCAGATCAGTAATTTGCAGCAAGCTTCGTTAATTTGGAAACCCTGTTAAATTGCTTCTGCTTTGCTACTCCCAAGAGATTTTTCCCAACATGGATAACCTGGCAACAATCATCGACAACGGATCTAGTACTATCAGAGCAGGATTTGCTGGAGATGAAGCGCCACAGCTCAGTTTCTCTACAGTAACCGGACGAACACGGTTTCCTGTACGTATTACAGAGGGTGAACCACCCACACTGGCTTTCTGCAAGCTAGCCGGTAACAATATATGCTACTTTTCTGCTTCCCACTGCTTTCTGCAAGCAAGCTAATAACAATATACGTAAAATTAAACTTAACTCAACTTGTGCAGCGGAATAAAATAAAAATACCCCTTTCGTTTTCTCTTTTCTGGTAAATTCAGGTGGACGAATTAGACCAGCAGCTGTACGTTGGCGATGATGCACAATCCAAGCGGGATCTTTTAGCCATTCAACACCCCATTCACCGTGGCGAGATCACCGACTGGGAAGCCATGGAAGCTATTTGGCAGCACACCTTCAACCTTCTCAACGCCAGACCGGAAGACCATCCAGTCTGCCTAACAGCTGCGCCCCTCACTTCCCGTTATGCCAAGGAAAAAATGGCTCAGATCATGTGTGAAACTTTTCACGTTCCTGCGCTGCATATCGGTAACCAGGGCATGCTGTCGCTGTACGCTTTTGGTCGCACCAGCGGCGTGATCGTCGGATCGGGCGACGGGATAACTTTCTGTATGCCGGTGCATAATGGGCAGGTTATTCCGGAGGGCGTCGCCCGGTATCGGATTGCGGGAAGTGATTTAACGCAGCATCTAAAGAGTTTACTGACCGAGCAAGGATATGGATTTCTTTCAACCGGTACAATACCGGTGCTAATTCACCATAAAAATTGAATTTGTGACTTTCAAGCAGTATTAAAATGCTGGTTCTTGTGTATGAAAATCAGGAAGTGTGTAATTTTTTATTATAGAGGAAGAAATTGCGCGGGATATCAAAGAAAAGCACTGTTATGTGGCGGCGAATTTTAACGAGGAGATGAGCACTTCCAATCTAGCGCTGTCCAGCATCGAGGCTGATTATGCGATGCCTGATGGGCGGATCATTCCTCTTCGGCAGGAACGTTTCGTTTGCCCGGAAGCTTTATTTCAACCGTATCTATTAGGTACAATTACTGTTGATACTTCACCAAATAACAAAGTCTGGTTCAACGCAACACGGAAATTATTCAGGCAAATTTAGCTGAACTTGGAAAATATTTACTTTATTCGATAGGAGCGGAAACCAGTGGTATCCATAAGGTTATCTACAATTCCGTAATGCAATGCGATGCTGCGTTACACGACGAACTTTTCGGTAATATCGTGTTGGCGGGTGGCAACACTACGTTACCGGGTTTCACCAATCGTCTGCAGCGTGAGCTAACCGCACTGCGCAACGAAACATCAACGGTTGTGTCGTCGGCGGATGTCAAAGAGTATGCGTGGGTGCAGAAGGCGGAAGCGAAGGCAGGAACCAACCCGAAGACGGTCCGCGTCATTTCGCCTCCGGAGGCAAAGGATTCCGCCTGGTTGGGTGGTGCACTGCTGTGTAGTGTTTCAGGGGATGAGGCCATGTGGTTGACCAAGGCCGAATACGAAGAGGGCGGTCCCTCCGTTGTTCGGCACAAGTTCACGTGATTTCGATGTTTTGTCGGGAAATTAATTTGCGGTCCATATTAAATTTGGCCTTCAGAAAAGTAATACTATTACTACCGTCGTCGTATCTTCGATGCTCGTCTATAGAAAATTTTTATTTCGATGACAAACCTGTGCACGATTCCAGCGGATGTCAGAAAGTAACAAGTGCTGTGCCGTATTAATTGACAAGTACTGAAATTAAAGTAAAGTGAAAAACGCGAAGAGCCAAGAAATACAGAGCCATTCAAATTTTTAATACGAGGAAGACATAATATTCGCATAGCTTCTGCGTTACGCTTAATCGAAAATAAACGGGTATTCTGTACGCCTCCGACCGTTCGCCTGACTGGTGCATCAAAGTCACGTCCCTCTGCTCTTCTTCCACGCCACAACGTGATCTTCACGAAGGCGCATGTCGGGAAAATACACATGCTGCCGTCCACCTTTGCCCTCGGCCAAATGGTAATATCTATCTGCCGCCTCATACACCACCCATCCCTGCGCACCCATGTTCAGTACTTGTCCACGTTTGAGGATGTCCCTAGCACGCACTACGTGGTCGGCTGTCGTCGTGCCGGCAGTGCCATCCTTCGTCCACGTGAACATCACCTGCTCAGTATCAGAGGCGGTAACCCTGGCTGGCAGCCACCAATGGGTAGGCGGCATGTGAACAAACACTTCTTCACCAGTCTTGAATTCTGTCCGGCGTTCCGTGGAAAACGGCAGCTCGGGCTTCACTGCGGCATCCTTGTACAAGAACAAGCTCAACAGCTGCGATTCACTCAGCAGACCGCTCTGTAACAGTAACATACATATTTTTAGCGTTACCGGACTAAAGACATTTAATACTAAACAGTGAACACTAGGAAACGATTGTGATAAATTTTGAAATCGGTCCTTTCAGTTTTCATAGAAAAACCGGGTTGGGTCGCACTAAAGTTCATATTACACTGCACGCTACCGATGAACGCAGCATTACTTGCATGCAGAGTTGCGCTTTAAGCCATAATACAGAGGTTGTGAAAAAGAGAAGCTTACTCCCTATTTTCGAATGCTAACGTTTTGATGTAATCATATCATCGTCAAAAAAATTAATGATAAAATGAGAAGTGTTCCTTCTTTGTACATGTGTTCGCAGTATTAAGTATTAGTCGGGATTTTAGTACGGTATCACAGTTGGGCACTCTCTCCCGCTGATTTACCTGGCCCGGGCCGTCGGCTAATTGTGCGTGCGTCAGCAGCGGAAACCGGACGAGGAACAGAGCAGCATCCAACACCACACGTCGAACAGCCGGAGAAGAACTAACACCTCGACGCGCACATTCCTCCGTTGCCCATCTGCAATGGCGTGCTAATTAGTTATCACACATGGATAGTCTGGGGCAAGTGTCGGATCTCGTGTTCCGAAGCGTTTGAAAGCATGAACTGTTTTAGTCCATAACGCTGTCTGTTACAAGCGTCACCAACTTCAGGTAAACTCTGGTAAAGGCTTTATTGCACTTTTAGCGCAAGTTATGGCAGCGCTTTTTTATAGGGCACGACGAAACCGTTTTAGATTCAAAATCAGCACATTACTTCTCTTTCGAACCCTACCAAATCGACAGGGAAAATACTAAAACTGCGCAAAAAATTGCGCTGATTCTGTTTATAGTGCGCTGAATGTACAGTGTACGGCATATAAAGTCGCTTTCAGTGTAGCCAGTAATACTGTCTGTAGCTTCATAATAGAAAAGGCCCTGTGCAAGGTGAAAGTTACTTATGCGAGGTGCCTAGTACTGCCTACTTCTCAACAGCCGTGTAGATTTCAAACTCCCCAATCAACAGCGTATTGCGCTGCAGGATCTTCTGCAGGGTGTCCAGTGAGATTGCGGTAAACTGCGCTGACTGCATGATCTCTTCAGCCTTCGAATCCACCAACGCCCAGCACTTCTCCACAATTTTATCAGCATGCCAGTGAAGAGCCTGCCGAGAAACACCATCATTGTCGTATCACGTCACTCATGCGTCATGATGCTTGCCTACGTTTTAATCACTTCTCAGTACTGAACAGTGACACACGTACCTCTTCCAGAGTTCGCAGGCAATTATCAGCATCAAGTCGATGCGTCACAAAATCCGAGCAGATTTTTACCAGGGATGGCACATCGTACTTGTCCGCGCAGTTCATCGTGTGGAATACGTTGTCCGCATTGAGATTATCCACCTTGTCCGTGTACAAGTAGCTAGAATATTTGGCAATGATATTTTCAAGCATTTTACACTGTCAATAATTCCTCAATAAAGGAGTGCAGCGTACAAAATAATTATGAAGTATGAACGCAAAGGAATAAAACAGATCGTGCCTTTTTAACATACCTGAGCAAGTTGGCGAATGCGTCGGGAATGAAATCCGGGATGTCGATAGGAACCTGACAATTCTGAGGCATACTCCCATAAAACATGGTGGCAAACACGGAGCTAGATAGGCTCAAGATATTCCTGCAAGCAAACAAACCCTGACCGATTTGCGCCAGCATTAGCTGCAAGAGCCAGGAGGTTCTCCGTTTTACTTGTGGGCTGCGAAGATCTTTACTGCACCAAACTGACGTCCCACAGTGTGATGCGGATTGTCACTGATTGTGGACCAAATTTGAAATCCGTGATTTGCTGCGCCCTGCAGCCTGGGGGCGGTTGGACGTATGCCATAGGTCTGCCCGGAAGCTATCGTAACACGGCCCATTAGTAACACGGCTTTTCCTTGCCACTTTTTAAACAGCATGCGTTCTCCAAAGATGATGTTTGCTACTGCGACAGGCATATAAAATTAACAGAACGTCACTTGCAGAGACACTATGGCGGATTCATACATCGACGCGACCTCAAAGTGTGCTGGCGCCGCCGCCGAACTGGCTTGCCGTGAGAAGATTGGAAAATACAAGTCGCTTACTGATCGCTGTAATTTTGTTCCCTTTGCATGTGAGACTTTTGGCACTTGGTGTGAGACCGGCATTGTTACTTTAAAAGAGATCGGCAAGAAGTTGTTTTTAAGAACGGGCGAGAGTCGCTCTACTTGTTTTTTGTTTCAACGTTTAAGTTTGGAGATTATGCGTGGTAATGCTATGAGTGTATTGTGCACTGTCCCTTCCCATGTTAATTGGGACAAATTCTTCATTTGATCATATTTGTTGAGCGAAGCTCGCCTTGTACATATTGTGAAATAAACTAATGCAAGAATGGAAAAAAAAAAATTAACAGAACACCATCATCAATGAACAGCAGAACGCATGCTCGATAAAAAAGTGTAATGTGCTCTGTAAATTGCGTGGCGGTGCCGATGCCGATCTGCCATAATGTTAAGTATCGCCATCACTACAAGTATGTACTGTATCCGTATCTACAATATTATATTATAATGTATCTGTAAGAGTTACTTTATATCAATGTCCAAACCGATGCTGGCGATGTGAAGTGCACTGGCTGTGTTCCTGTTGCACATTTTTTGTTCATTTAGATTTTGAACCGAGCACCGACCCGTCGATCTCATTCTTTTGGCATATATTGTAAGTACTGTACAACAATTAAAGGCATGAGAAAACGTTGACAGATCAGTTAGTCGATTTGCGCACGCGATCAGATGCAGAGTTTAAGTTAAAGCAAACATAGTTCATTTGGAAATCTTTTGTCTCAGAGGTGAAAACAAGGGGAGTGGCTTATGTGAAGCCTTTCCTAAACGGAGAATGCTTGACAATGAGCTCTGTGCATTCACATAGATCCATTCAGATAATATCTATATACACGCAAGTACCCGTCAATAGTACAGCAAGTACAGCGAGCATCCAAGCACATTCACCGAGTACTTCTAGTGAGTTCGAGAAAAATTTCTAAATGGGCTGTATCTGTACTATAAGTCTGAGTAAGTACAGTATAACAAGTAAGAATACAGAGAGCTGTATAACAAGTAAGAATAGCTCACGAGGCGCATTGCCCAACTCTTGATTCTCTGATCAGCCTGTGCTAGGTATCGTTAGAATCCTTATAAATTAAGCAGTCTTTTCCAAAAATCAACTTTTCCCCATCTAAAGAACTGGGATTTAAAGATCTCTGAGAAACCAACGCATACATGATGGTTAACTTCAATCAGAAAGGAAAGCAGACCCACAAGGAAAGGAAACTAAAATAAAGCACTGAGGGCTCGTGCGAACCACCTAAAAATTCCACGGGATGTCTCATTTTCGCTGCGATAAGAAGATACAGCCCTCTGGAAAGCATAGGAATCGAGTGCCGGTAAAGGATGTCCCCCGGCATTGAACACCCAAGAACTGAGAGGCAAAAGGTCATCGTACGAGAATATCAGGTACAGGAACTTAAGAGTTTTAGCCAGGAAGTAGCTTTGTTGAATATCCTCTGGCGCTGAGTGTTCGTTGTTCACATCGCTGACACCGCTGTATCCGTAAGGCGTTTTGCAGTACTTCTGTATAGCCTATCAAAACTTCATCGGTATTTATTCGGAAATTAAAATTTTGAGTCAACTTGCAGAACTTAAAATATTAAATTATTAAAACCATACCGTGAAAAAGCTGACACTACTGTAGTTAATAAACCAATAAAAAACGAACGATACGAACGAAAAAAAACGAACGAAATATACTAATAAATAAAACGAAACGGTACCCTGCGACTGCTGTGATCGTTTTAAAAAATTTTGAGAAATCCAATTACAACTATGTATAAGATCCTTGATTCCTGCGTTTCTGCAAAAATTGTTTCGATGATCCCAAATAAAGACCTTGCCTGCACGGCTTCCCATGCCCATTCCCGATACATCGAGTTTCCGGTGAATTTCCACAGATAAAAGTAGCTTTCAGTCACTTCCGGACGGAGCGAGTACTGCTGATTCCCTGACACGATTGCTGCCGGATAACCGTCAGCACTGTCCATCCTGAACGATTCCGGACCAAGTCCGGTACCTACAATACCGAAACAGATTACCGTATCAATTATCAAACGTAAGAAACAGTTAATAAACGTAAAATTCCGTTAATGATTTCCACTAACTTTCCGTGCAACATCCGATAGCACGTATTTTAACAGTTTCATTTGCATTTATCTGATATAATTTATTGTCCTATTTAGTTATTTGACTTTAACTTGAAAGAAATGTTACGAAACAAAATCTAAGTAGCAATTCATTATATTTCTGGCACATTTTCGTGACCGTTGGATGTGCTTATAAGACATATCAATAAGAGCGATAATATTCTTGTTATTTTTCTTACTAGTGAGACTGTATGATAAGTGACACGTTCGGGTAAAATTTTTAGCAAAGCTAAGGAGCCGCGGAACATCAACCGGAGTCTGAATTTGTGTAGGGAGTACAGCGAGCGCATAGAGTCCGCCGATAAAGCAGGCCGAATGTTCCATATTCGGAACTAATCCCCCATTCGGTTCCAGCCGGGCAAAATACTCAGGTTTACCGTATTGCCGCTCAAAGCATGAGCTGAAAGTAAGCCGCCCAGGAACCGAATATTCATTTCGAAAACGGAAAATGTCTCCTGTAGAAATTTAGACCATTTATTCCGTGATGCAATAAATCGACAGCAGCGAATAGAATCAGCCGTCAGGCAGAAGATTACTTCCCTATTTTGACGCACCGCATTGCGAATGTCGTAGTGTTTCGTGACCCACTCGGTAGCAGCATCGAACTCTTCGGTAAACCCCATCAGAAATAAGGTACTCAGGGAATCAACAATTGTCAGCCCCATTGATTTGCCCCCGACGGGAGCCGGTCCAGCAGATCCATTTCTCGATATTGGTCGCAGTTCGTTTGCGCCCCATGCATACCGCACATAATTGCCCCAGGCAAATTTCATCATCTGTAAGAATCCCAACATGAAATAAACGCAGATCCTTTAAAAAATTTTCAGCAAATACAAAAGCAAACAACAACCGGCCTGATAAAATAAATAAAGCAGCGATAAATCAATTTAGTCAGTTTAATTTAGAGAATTAAATCAGTTTAATTTCCAAAATTTAAGATGCCGCCAGGAAAATGTGATAGTACGTACCTGTTTAACGACGTTTCGTCTGTAAACAGAACGCAGAAAATATGTTGACCAGATGGTTGCGCATATCGCCAACGTCACACAGCACACCACCACCGGAAATGACGGCTTTCTCATTTTACGACGCATTGTCGATGAACAAAACCGAAATTATAAGCGACATCCCCAAGGTGCAGCGCCACATTCATAGGATTTTTCGAAAGAAGAGCCGCATTGTATTACTATCATTGTCTTTCGGTAAACAGTCAGTACTGGCGTTTTTTTCGGAATTGTTTATACATGTATCGGCAAATGGCTACAGCGTGCTGTAGCTTTCTGGACGAGCATATTATAGTCATGTACCTGTACAAGCTTGTCCGGTAATTTCTGCCGGTTCAATACAGCGAAATACACAAATTTGCGTGTTACGCCAAATTCCATGCTACGGCGCGCCACGCCACACTGTTTTCATACGTAACGTGCACCTGGCTGGCTGGTGGCTTGATGCGTGCCAGATAATTTAATGAGAATAGCAGTAACTGCCTGGCGGAAGGTGGCTAAAAAACGGTCGCTGTAGTAAAGGACAATCTAACTGCGGAGCGCATTTAGTCAATCTGATAAGCGCAGTGACGTGGCTATGGATTTAAACGCAAATTTTGCGCTAGCTGTACCTTTACGACAGAAATTACCGGACAGGCTTGTACACTGTACCTAACTACATTGTTATGACGATAGTGCATGCAGACATCATGCAAGGTCTGCATGATACACTAGCAGCTGCAACCGGCAAAAAAGAATGACTGCGCTTGCACTTTGCATCAGTAAGTACTGTACTGACTGGTGAAGTACATACTTATCGTTAGTAGTGTACTGTATTACAAGGCATTACGTATCGTTTGTTACCCGATAATATTATGATCTAACAGTCTTGTTTGTACCCGACATGGCTTCTGTGATCGTAAACCATTAGCCAGTAAACATTTCTGCCGGCTACATACGCTCATTAAAACTACAGTAGCTTCCTGACTGCATCCCAATCAATATTGCGTAGTGGCGGTAGTGCAAGGCCAAGTAAGTAGATCGCAGTCGTCCACATTGCTAAAAGAGGATGCAGTGTTTCCAACAGTGTAACGCAAGTAAGAGCCAACGATCAAGGATCAGAAACAAGGGCCGCATTAAGCATGAGCCGCCGCCTAATAATGCTGAAGCTTGCGCGGCGATTGCAAACAGAGAGTTCAGAACTAGCATCGTGCAGATAGTAAATATTAAACTGCCAAACTTTCCGCGTGAACAAAGCGCAGTACTTCCGAATGTATCGTGGTTGTTGCTATTGTTTTTATTGACAAAACCAAAAGAAAGTGGTATAGTACCGGTATAAACCTGCAGCGGATTGTCTTGAATCAGCCACTGAAGCAGTAAAACCTCCGAAATGTAAGCCGAACCTACATCGAAGCGGAAGTAGTCTCGCAGATGGGGCACTCGGCGCTGGCTTGTAGGATAAACGGCATCCTGCCCCAAATTACGGATGGTGGAAATCAGATCCTTGATGGCCGTTCCCTTACTTGTTTTCAAAATGCATGGTGTTCCACAAATTTTTCTGAATCTTGATTTCAAATACTATTTCCTTGGCTTGTGCTACTGAATACCAGTTCTTTTTCTGTTAGCTAGGTTCGAATTCCCACGATTCGCCAAAATCGTAGCTAACGAGTTACCCACCTTTAAGTTCAGTGAATAACGAACTGTAGTCCGGTACTGACAAATACGGGCTGTGAGCTAATTTATTAGACCATCTCAGCAGGCTTCTGCAACAAGCCGGTACTATCAGTACTACAAACTTTGTAGTACTGATAGTGATACTGATAGTACTGATAAGCTACAGAAAAATCTTCAAAACCTTATCCGGGATCAGATCCAGTGATTCATAGTCATACAGTATTACTACTATAGTCGGCAATGCGGCATACACATATGAAAAAAAGTGTTTGCAGTACAATAGTAAGCTCGGCGATTGCAGATTGATAATTTCGGAACGCATTATAACTATCCGTTGTACATCAAACAATCCAAACCTTTTTCCATTGAACAAAACTTGGCAGCTAATGTGAAGTGGAGGCGATCATACTGATTCTTTCGTTGCACCAGGTTACAGAGTACTGTACTAGAAAACCATTATAAATTTCTGTTTGTATTGAATTCAGCACAAAAGGATATACATTAAAGGCTCCAAATGCAGCAGAAGTTCAGTTAAACATTCAGTGGGTTCCTGCCGATGCAGATGCCGGCCTTCTTTTGCAGCTCGTGCAAACCGCGTTCACGGGCAAAAACGAAGTAATCGAAGGCATTGTCGATGTTGACGGACGCCACCATTACGCTCTCGCATGCACTGCGGAGATCCGACATATCGTATTTGTCAGCGGCGTTCCATAGTGTAACTATCCGTTGCTGGTCATCTCCAGTTGACAGCTCCCGAGTGTATGCGTAACGGACCAATAGTTGCAAAATTTCTCCTCCGAAGTCAGTGATGCGGCAAATCCCGGTAGCTTTCTCTTTGGTGTTATTCTGGAACATGGCGGCGAAAACCGGCGACTGAGCCGCCAAGATGGCGCGATGGACCGGAAACTGTGTCCCTTCGCTGGAGATCAGCGTGCAGTCTGCCAGGAGTCCGGTGTCTAGGAGGTTTTTTAGGTCGGGGCGGCGATGTGTGATTCGAAATGTTAGGATGACATGGATTAGTCTTCCGTCTGCTTTGTCGAGTACATAGGACAGAATTGGGTCACGGACTGCAATGACCAGACGCTGGACAGATTGAGCTGAATCCTCAAATCCCACTTCGGGAAGACAATTTTTCGTATTAATCCCCCTAAATCCATAATTTTTATTTACCGAATATCGAGCACTTCGGAATGTGTCTGGTATTTTCAAAGAAATTTGCAGTTGCAAAAGAGAAATATCAGTAATGTGAATAGCGCATGGTGCGCGTGGGAAATTACATCTCTAATACGAGTACAAGCCCGATTACATATTGAGCATGTAAAGGAGTAAAAAATACTTTTTATTCGCGTTATTAGCAACAAAATTTTCACACTTCTACATAAATCGTGAGAAACTAAACCACAAGCCAGTTACACAACATCTACAAACACAGGCGGGCGAATGACAGAGAATATTTCATCTAAATTCGCCGCCGGTGGTAAAGAGTAAAAACTTTTATTAAACATCGCGTACAAGTACTGTATACAGTATACTGAGTACCGAAACAAAATTCATAACAAAAATACTTTTTCAATGCTGTCCTGCTCGGTGATCGAACCCATAACACATATCGCGTTTCCCGTTGCAACTGGATAGATAACCGCTGTCTAAAAAAATCTTTTGCCCACTTCTGGCCTGTGGCGGAAGCTATGCCGTTACCAACCTTCTCCACTTGTAAAACACAGGTACTTAGTGTGAAATAAGCTCTATGTCAGCACTTGGACGACAGCCACTGCACTACAGTTGTGTCACTTTTGTGCAAAGAGAAATTGTGCTCCTCAGTTAGCTGATTAGATCGTCCTTTACTTCACGGGGTTTCGCCTAGCTCCCATCCACACAGCAATTACGGTGTTTTTATTAATTTTGTCATGCATCAACTATGCAAAATGCATGTAACGCAAGCTGAACCTTTTAAAGACTAGTCACGAGAGGCGGTGACCCCGAAAGTTGCCCCTGGGGACACCCAAGGTTGGCGTCCCCGAGTCAGCTGCTGTGGAACACTCGCCTACATTGAACACTTTCGAAGGAACCGCAAGTGTTCAAAGTATACGGATTTCACTGACCATGATCAAGGAGCTGCACAACAGCTTCAGTAGCGCACTACTGCGTCAAGTCGAGCTGGCTACCAATTTCGCAAACGAATAACCTAACGGTCAACCGTGGATGGTTGCCCTATCCAACAGCTGCGGCTGTCTGACGCTCAGTAACATTCCAGTTGCTATGGCGGATATTGTTACGCTTGTACCATAGCAACTTCGTAACCTCTGGCTATAGAGATGTGACTTAACTGGACACTCTGGCAGCTTCATATATTGACCGTGCTTGCGTCCACACCAGCAACGCAGCAGAGCTGGCCGAAACAAAAAACCTCGCGAAGCATGCTTGGGTTCAGCCAAAAATAGGACACTTTATCGCGGCGGCAACAGGACAATCACGAGGCAGAGAAATCTTCCGATAGCGCATTTCCATGCAAATCCCAGGAGGAACGCTGGCTACGTTATGGGCGCAGTACCAGACCAGGAACGATTACGAGTAAAGGAAATATTTTTGCTATAGCCTCTTAGCACCGCATTTTTGTTTTGTTGTTTCTTATAGAATGTGCGCATTTCACTTGGTTATTTTGTTAGATACTTCCACGTTTTGAGCAGAAACCGCATGCAGACATAAAGGAACCAAACAAGGTCATAGGACATTACGAAATACTTGTACGTCATTATTGTACTGTACAAGTTACTGTATCATTGTACATACACTACTGCTTCAAACTTAGTACACAAAGGGTCGTTGTTATATCAGCTGATGCCGACAATGGTTTCGTTGACTGGCGAATTTAAACCGCCGCCTCATAAAATTAATGCCATTAAACATGGACGTAAGCTATAAGCCAGTAAATGCGCGTCCTGAGTTGTTATACACTCCTCGTACTTGTACAACAATTTTAAACTCACGATTACACCGCTGCGGTCGAAAAATATTTTATAAGCGCATTATCTGTAGTTATACGAACACTATGTACTTACCAGACATGGGCCCCCTCAAAATCGAAAAAATTTCCATGTTCTCTAAAAAGGTAGTATACTATTATAGTATGCTTAAAAAATATTTCTCTCCCATCGTCGAGGCTGGCGTGGCCAGACAACAATTAAAAGCGTACACATTATCACAAAATTGATACTGTTCACTGCAGTGCACTGCAGTACAAATTATTCGTAATTATTACAGTATATTTATTTTTTACTGAAGCACCGTGAACTTTTGCAGCTGTCGAGTAGTGATGTACAAGAAGATCACGTAAGGCAGCTCGTGTCATTGCTGCATGAGTACTTACACATTTCTGAAAATATCTCATCGATTAGTGTCAAAAACAATAAGTTGTGAAAAAAAGGCTTTCTTCTACTACTTAATAAGCAGATGCGTGATGTACTTCATAACAAATTTCGAGAATGTGCACTTTGGCAGCAATGGCAGGAGATGCCGCAAGTGGGTTTCTTTTACATACATCATTACTCGACAAAAGTCCACTGTGCTTCAGTAAAACGTTAACATAAAAATAATTACGAACAACTTGTGCTGCACTGCATTACGCAGTATGTGATAGTATGTAATCTGTTAATTGTTGTCTGGCCACGCCTCCTTGACGATGGCAGATAAAAATATTTTTTAAGCATACTATAATAGTATACTACCTTTTTACAAAGAACGAGAAATTTTGAATTTGGAGGAGCCCTGGTTAATTATCTGTGCGAGAAATCGGCCCCTTTCCTTCCCGGCCAAAGCATCTCAGCTTCTAAGCAACAAATTTTTCTGCTTTGAAGTGCCGCAAAAAATTCTCGCTATTGGGGTAATCTCGAACTATTGACGTTTTGCCAATTTGATTTTGCGAAGCCCCGTAAGCCCACCGGTCAGTCAAAAGCTTGTTACCATGGACCCATGGTTGCCATAAGGCTTACACGAACTGCACCGTCACCATGGGCATACAACTGATTATTTTTACGTTTACATAGAACAAAAACGAAAACTGCGCTAATAAGCCTGCTAAAACTAGGTAGTTTGGGACTAAGTTCACACGCAGAATTTTCTTTCGAAAACGCACGACGTAGATATAGTAAACGAACCTTTTGAGTTACGCAATAACGACGGACGAAGTATTCACTTGGCCAGTTGGCCTAGAGCTTCTAAAAATTACAATCCACACCAGTACTTACTGCACACAGGGACTTTTTAAGAAATCGATTCCACAAGAGAAATGATTTTAGAGAAAATCTGATGAGCGCATCATAACCAGCTGATTTTTCTGATCAAGGGCCAAGGCAACAAGTGGAGAAATCCAATAAAAAACAACGGTTCTCTTCCCCAAACAATGGTACCTCGGCACCCACTCACGAGGCGGTTGTCATATTGCTGGAAAGCTTTTGCCAAGGGGAGTGCGGTGCTCTAGGTAAACCAAATACTACACTGATTTCGAAAACTGCGCTAACGATCCCATCCCCCTCACGAGGCGGCTGACCTGTCGTTGGGAGAAAATTATTTTTCACAGGGAACAGTTTGTTTTATGATACTTTTATCGCTAGATGGCCAAAACCGGAAAAACCCACTGGACGACTGCAGAAACCGTTTCATAGCAAATCAACCGCTCGCATTAGGATAAGCAATTCGACCTGGAAAACTGCTCAAAGGCGTGTAGAAGCATTGTCATGTTTTGGATTTTTGGCGAAACAATTATTGGCGGGAATTTGGTTTGTCCATTCTGCTCTAAGTTGTTTAAAGTTTCGCCATATGTCTCCTCGATCAGCAAAATTCGCTTATTCTAATGCACTAAACAAATTTTCTTTAAAATGATTTCTCCAATTGGTTTTATAATTATTTACGAATCGGAAATATGCTGTTTCCCCTGAAGAAATAATTTATCCCGCCGACCACCAACCGCCTCGGTCTGTGGACGTGGTGAATTTTGTTAGTAGAATTTTCAAAATCAGTGTATTTAATTTACTGTATTATCGCGAAAATAAGAGACACCCTTTCGAGCCGGTACGGCGAGTTTGCAAAGCGGCGACATTGATGTTAAAGGAACCGCAAAGCCGCCGCCGGCACTTGGGCGTTGTTGCGGTCTAAAAGGTTTCTTTTAATTTCGTGACAATACAGTACCTAGAGAACTGTTTTTCTCTTGAAAAAAACGTTTCCCTCCAGCGATATTTAATGTCGTCAAACAATTTTTCGTACATGCAATCTAAAGAACAAGCAAATTCACCGAACGGAATTCGCAACAGCTGCAGTGTGCAAAGCAAAAATAACTAACTGGGCTCCGATCCCACAAGAAAAGGTTTAATTACGAACTAGTAGACCCCGCGCAAATTGCGCTATCGTAACGAAACTTTTGGTTTCTCGCATGGCGTATTAAGTTCTTAAGGTCAAAAGTATACGTTTTACTGAATATTCACTGGTCAGAAAAGTAAGAAAAGTTTCAGAAACTTTATTCACAAAACCTCCGGAAACACAACGTTGCGCGTGTAAGTTCCAAGTCTGCCAGGTAGAGTTCCGGGTACAACTTTCACTTTTATATCGGAAAAAGATGATACTCTAGAGAATGCCACATAAAGCTGGCCATGAGAAAAAACTGGCTCTGGTAAATATAGACCCAAGCGTTTGAGCGTTTGTCCTTGAGATTTGTTGATAGTCATTGCAAATGCCAATCGAACAGGAAACTGTTTCCGCTTGATGCTGAAAGGCATTGTGGGATCTGTCGTGGTCAGGACAATCCGAGGTAAAAGCACGCGCTGTCCTGCACATTCGCCGGTCAAAACTTCCACGTCCAGGTAGTTTTCGTGAGCGAAACGAACAACCATCCTGGTGCCGTTCACCAGCCCTGATTTCCCATTGAAATTGCGCAGCAGCATCACCACTGCACCTGGTTTGAGGAAGAGCTCATGAGGTGGCAACCCAGCAGGCGTTAAGCTATGTATGAACTCAATGGGATAATTCGTAAAATCAGCGTCACTGTCTCCCTCCACAGAATCGACGCTAAAATATGACCGGCCATCCCCGGGTAATAACTGCTTAACAACATAATCATTGATTTCCGCGCAGTGGTCGTTCTTTGGCGCTAGAATGGCAGAATCAGCCAGACAGGAAACATTCGATGGGTCAATTGTCTGACCATAGACGTCTCTGACTAAATCCATTGCTGACCCTTCAAACACACATTCTTTGGGAACCTCGACCATATCTCCCGTCGCATCCGGAACAGTTTGTAAGCGTCCTTCACCTAGAAAACATCAACGACCATGCACAGAACAGGATGACTATTCAGGACCCGTTCAGAACAGAAATAATATACAACGTACCTAATTCCAGCAGCCACTTGCTAAACACTTGCTGTTCAGGCCCGGTTCGCATGTTGGCGGTCAGTCGTCTGACAGTAATCATAGGCCACAGTGAACTTCTTTTGATGCTTTCTTCCACTATCCTCCCACGCGATCCATGCCGTACGACAGGAAGTACCTGCCGGAAATCCCCACCAAAGACAATAATTTTTCCACCGAATGGCTCATCAATTCGCATAAGGTCCCGCAAAAGACGGTCGAGGGTAGAAAGCGCATGTTTAGGTGCCATAGGCGCTTCGTCCCAGATAATCAACGAAGCATCGATTAACTTGCGGGCTTCAGGCGAAGAAGGTTTCATACTGGATACGGACGTTTCATCTAAGTTTAAGGGAAACTTGAATACTGAATGGCAGGTACGGCCGCCCTTGAGTAACGTTGCCGCAATGCCGGTCCAGGCTACAGCTATGACCATCTTTCCACGTCCTCTCAGTATGTGGGACAAACAGCGGTACACATATGTCTTCCCTGTTCCACCGGGACCATCAAGAAACCAATGCTTAATGCCAAAGCCTACATCCACTGCGTGAAGCACTTCCCGCACAAATGAACTTTGCTCTGGATTTAATGTTTCTTGCAGTCGATCACCTTCACTCGCCTCTTCTTCTACGTTGTACTGGTCAAAGTGGGTGTCCACTGGGCGCACTGGTTGTGGTAGTCCAAGATGTTTACAGTTGAGTCCATGTTGTAGCAGTACACACTCGATATCCCACAATGCTCTGCTGCTGCTTTCTTCTTCGGAATAGGTGCGGCGGTAATCTTCCGTCAAACTGGCCTTGTGTTCTTCAAAGAGTGTGCAGGCATCAGCGGGTACGCAGAAGGCGCAGATGTAAGCAAACATCTCCCTTAATGCTTTAGGCATGCTGGACAGGCTTGCTTCGGATAAACACGCGCTCCATTCAGAATCGTCGTCCAATAGTTTTAACGCTTTGGCGGCTTCTTGAAAGCTGCTGTGCAGAATCCCAATAACAGTTCGAAGCGATTCAAACGATGTAGCACCTACAGAAGAGGCGTAACGTACACAGAAAGTACATGGTAAAAGTGTGAGTTTATTTAACTAAAAAGTGATAACGGACTGCCCCTTTGAGTGATGGTGTACAGTCTACATTTTTTAAGTTACGCATTGACTCGTGTACCATGAAGTACGTTTTTACATATACTCAAAAAGCATCTAAAACAGTAATTCACTCTCAAACATGCGCATTTCGAAAAGTGAAAATATACTTGAAAACTATCGCATTTACGTACCCTTTCTATGCAGCAGCAAAAGGCGTAAAAAGAATCGCTCACGATCCGATGGCGAAACCGCGTACATCCGCCCAATTACAGTGTCACCTCCTCGTTGTCGGGGGTGCCACTTTTTTTCGCGCCAGACAAAATGCTCAGGTATATCTGCGTAATATAATTGTTTTGCTGCTGGGACTTCGCTGTTCAACCTAAAATAGTCCGTGAGAGTGGTATGCGATAGTGCTGCTCTCGCCGCCGCACTAACTTCGTTCCCTTCTGCAAAAACCACATTCTGCATATCCGGTAGGTGTACTGCTAAGCGCACAATTGTATGTGACTGTCGGTGCATTTCGTTCTCGTTCAACCGCCAGATTCCTTCCGGTGAACTAACATATCGGGCGTTCAGGAATGTGTCGATTTCGTTCCAGTTGATCGTTGCACTGTTATCACCTGGATAGCGCTGCTTTATCTTGACGTTGGCACAGTCATACCCCTTGTACACGTACTTAAATAAGTACTTCACAGACTTCACACTGGTACATACTTCCACGTTAATGTGGGCATCATACTTGCAGGACAGCCATTTGTTATAAGGCACAACCCACTGATTGCTAACGGGAACATCGTTGATCAAAATTCTTCTTCCTTCGTCTCTGCGCTGGTACACAGGATAACCATTCACATTTTCTTTCGTAGTTGGAGAAAAATCTTTAGGAAATCCTTTTGTGCACTTGCCGTCCAGCATACACGGTGAGCCTGGATTGATAGTGCCGCATGGTCCATGTACCATTGTCGTACAAATAGTTTCGAACAAACGGGGAAATTCGACGGCATTGGGGAATTCAGCGGAAACAATTTTGTCGATATCATCGAGTTCTCGAATTTTAGAATCAGAGGCCAGGATCAACAGAATGTGCGCATGAGGCAGGCCTCGCTTCTGAAATTCAATGACGTAGACGTATGCTGTCACGGTTCCGAATACTTTCTTCTTCAGAATGTCCTTCATCAGCTCATCCAGCTTCAGTTTGAAAACCCTACAAATAAGTAACCAAGTCGATTACGTAAAGTATAATGCAGTACAGTAAATACAACTAAAATGTAAAGTAATTAAGTACAGCAGTGGAGAGCAGTTTTAGGAAGACTATGATACCTAAGTTAGAGCCGTTACAGGTTGCAAATAAGTATCTAAAAAAGAGAAAGCCGTAAGCCATCACAGGAACTAAATAGATGTGCGTTCGTGCACTACAAACTATCCCAAACCCCATGCGGTATTTTTAACTGGTAGTTTACTTTTATTAATCCAACGTGTGCACGCTTTACCTGGCAATTAAGTCCGGGCGAAATCCAGCACTCTCACGGTTCCGGAGATTGCCCGCGATTTCTTTCCACCGGGGATTGCAAGTGAAGGTCACAAATAGATCCGGCTTTCCATACCGTCGAACAATGGACATCGCGTCTTGATAATTCTGGTACATATTCCGTGGACTTCCAATGAATGTAGACGGTAAAACAACAACCCTGCCGGCAGCGATGTTGTTGTCTTCGGCGACAGTGTTTATATGATCTAACAGACCGGCATAAGATTCCGCGCGCAGTTGCTTTTGATTCAAACGGATAAACTGCAATCGGCTGCCTTCGACGCGTACGTACGCATCGACAATATACTGCTGAAACAATTTTCCAGATGCATGCAGTACGCTAAAGTTTGAACGAATCGCCAGTCGATAAGAATAGAATTGTAACTGGGTAATACGCTTGCGCTTAGCGGTGCTGTACAGCGGATCATGAGCCAAGGAGGGATGCCAGCCGTATTCTCCAGCGGGGAACAGCAAAGGGTACACCATCGGATCACAATGTGGACTGAGCGGTGAAATCCGGGAGAGGTGCTGCTGTTTCGTGTAAACTACAATATCCCGCTCAACAGGTGGTTCACCATCCGGAGACACGAATACTGCTGCAACTTCGCCAGACCGTGGATCATTGTACCGGCGGGGATCATTTCCGTTTGCCTTTAGAAGTACCAGAGAAATATCGCGCATTTCAGCAGGCAGCATCTCACTGTCGCGATACACTTCACCCATATGGCGAAATAAGTGAGCACTAGTAGACCCCGCGCAAATTGCGCGCAGTATATTGGCTACGGAATAGGAACGATTTAAAATAAGAACGATTCATTTTTTACATATCATCATTATTCACTTTTGGTGAAGAAGATCACGGTTAACTTTTTGTATTGTGCGCTGTATGGTTTGTGCGAATAAGTTTTTCGTGGCCACGTCACAAACTTGGAGCAATCGTAAATTCCCAAGGTCTGATACCGGAAACCGCACTATAACTCAGAAATATGGAACAGACGTTGATTTAACGTTTCCAGTTCCTGCATATCCCATCTGTACAAATAATTTTTCCACCCGTGCCCTTTAAACCCGAAAGTATCGGTATGGGAAGTGGTGGAAAAGCAGAATGCATAAGCACTCCCGTGCCAAAAAATTGCCACGATTAATGTCTCACTTAGTTCCGCTCGCGCCGCAGCTCGGCGTCGACTGCGGCTCCGTCTTTCGGTTCTTAGTCTACACAATAGGAAAAAAATCAGATTTTCAAAAAAATTACGACGCAAAGGAAGAGCCTAATGCTCCGTGACACCTGGAGCCTTCGGAGCCTGCTCTTCTCAAATCTAACTTTTGCTGGCTCTGCTACAGACTTACGGTCTTCGGGTAAGAGCTATCGAAAGATAGACCCCACGAAAATTGCGCGGTTAAAATCGGCTATCTATTCTGCGGACATAAATACGCACAGAAACACGCTAAACTATAACAGAAAAATTTCGGTCTGCGGATAATTCAGTCCAATAGCTGCCGGTATGAGCGATGCGCAACACAGTATAGAGTACTATAGACAGTTTTTATTTAAGTAACTCCACTAAGCAAAGTAGAGCAGGCGCCGTGGCTGGTGATTTTTAAAGATTTTCTTCAATTTTTTCTACCCTGCTGCTTCGCTTTCTGCTGGTTTTCAGATTTTACAAAACACAAAATTTTAGAAAACCCTTTTACAGCTCTCGAGCCCGATCTGCACTATTATGCCAAAAAATGCGCATTGCGCACTTCCATTGCTCACCAGCTGCTGCCCGTGGACGCGCTGCTACTTTAAAATTGATCAGGACTTCTGCGGGAGGGCAGTTGCTTTAATGATCATGGTGAAATTGTTCGATACGCTTTGTAGCTTTTTTCAACAAACTCTCCTTTCTTTTGGAGTCTGAGTTTCCATAAGAAATTAAAAACTCGGAGACGGGGCTACCCTATTACATAAAAATTAAATTTTCTTTCCAGTGAAGGGTTCTGGAAGCCCTTGGTTGCCTTGTCAGCAAGGGGGTTTTTGGCCGTTTTAATTGAGACAACGGTGAGGTGGTCGGTTCTGCAGTGGTGGATTCTGCACTTCTCCCGTAGACTTGGCATGTTAAGTTTTTTCGATTTTTTGTAAAAGTGGAACAGTTTTTCTGAAATCTGACTTTTGATGGCTCTACTACACAATAAGAGCTATCGAATGATACCAAGACATTGAAGTTTGGTTCTGTGTGTCGCTGGGACTGACTCCCCGCAGTTGAATTTTGTGCACTCCTTATTCTTTTAGTATAAAGGATGGTAGAACTTAATCTTAACCGAAAATACACGTTAGCATGGTGTACAGATGCATACCAATCTGTACAGTATCTAATACTTTTTCTAGCACTAGTGAATCAATACGGAAACGTTTTTATCGAAGTTTATCGTTTTTATAGAAGATGTGGAAGCGAAGTAAATTTATAAGTAATTTTAAGTTTGTCTATATATTTTCGTACAGTACTATTAAATAAAGAATGTTACTGCAGTACAGGTAGCGCCAACACTTTCAAAATACAGAGACCGTTTTAATCGTAAAAAAGATCCTCACCTCGCCGTCGCTTCCACAATAGCAACCGGAAATCCAATTCTATAGTAATTGTTGCTGGAGAAGTATATGGATACCCTGCCATCGGACTGATTCACAATAATTTTGGCCGTCAGAATAACTTCTGCAATCTCAGGGTAGTCCCACTGCTTTCCCACGTGCATGCTGGCAGTGTATGAGCGAAAGAGAGGGGTCGGATCGCTAATTTTTTCTACGAAGCGCTCATTAGGGATTTTGTACCGTAGAGTCAACGAGGAACTCTTGCTAACCGGCAATATGGGAAGCTCGGGCATCACGTTCATGATCAGACTGACCGAACAAACCGAGTTTAAAAATTCAACTTTCGCCGATTAGCTTTACCGATTAAATATACCGTAATATTTGCCGAACTTATGCCAACACACACACTAACGAGATAAACAAAATAATGTCTGACTGAATCCAAGAATGCACCGTTTCAGCAACGGAATTTCCCTAGTCGTCTACCTCATAATTGTATTAGAAGCACCCCGGTTGCTGAGCAACCGGTGTGCTTTGAATACAATTATGAGGACACTTGCGCCTTCTCACATTAAATCCAGGGCGGCAAACGCTGGCGCAGCTGCTTTGGAAGCGGAAGAGAAGAAGTCGCGGCTATATGAGTACTTGAGCGGCAGCCGGCAGGTATAAGTAATTTTACTCCTATTGCTTAAGATACGCATACAGCCGGGAATAGCCAAGTTGACGGGAAGCTAATGAAGCTGTGGTATAATGCCGACAAGTATACATATTGCGGGTTGCCTGGATGGTGGCAAATGTTACCATTTATGACATTATAATGACAATGTCATTAAATTTTACTGGCTGTTCTTATAATGACATTCGGAATGGTTATGTATTCTGCGTTTGACCGACGGCATCACATGGTTGAAGTGCGGCATTTTTGTCGTGCCTATATTGCATACTTGCTGAACCTTTTGTTTTGTACATTTGCGAAAATGTGAAATTATTAAAGACGAGTTCATATGTACTGTACGAGGAACTAAAATTAATTATACAAACCTCTTACAAGAAATCAAGAAATACAGTGCAATTATTCTTCCGGATAACTGCGGTATATGTACCCCATAGCTGGTTACGTGCTCAGCCAAAAACGTGGTTAATACCACTATCCTCACACTTGATCCAGAAGCACTCCAAGAAATATGAGTATGTTACGGATCCGTTATCCATTATACAGACAGAGACTTTGTGTCAAGGATTCAGCACGCCCACTGAACTCTGCATCTATACATGTTCCCCAGTCGTTTAGTACCTCATAATTTTTTGAGTTTGCTTTATTCACTGTGGTACAACGTATTTTGCAATAATTAAAAGGAAATGGCTATTCTCACCACCCTGACGCCACCTTTGGCTGTTGTCACCACCTTTCACCTCGTTTGGGCTATTCGCACCACCTTTTTTATAATATTTTTCACGCCACCTTTGGCTATTCCCACCCCTTATGGTTTCACTGCTTTAGTGCATTCGGCTGTTCCCATACGTTTCTGAATATACATAATATTATTTCTTCGCTTTCAGTCACACTTCACTTTTCTGTACAGTTGCGAGCCATAAACGTTCGAACAAAACTGGGTACTGACAGTGGTCGGTGATTACTCTGTTCGCATTGCAATGCTGTGCTGCCAGAAAAAATGCAAATCTATGCCAACTTAGAAGAACAGCTGGTGCCACTGTCAAAAATTGTGGTCACAAGGCTTACGACATAAAGAGCGCAAAGAAACAGTTTTATCTAAACTTGCTTTCAAAATTTCTTTAAGATTTTTAAAACTGTGTAATAAAAGAACATCTCCTATGAAGAGGTGGGAATAGTCAAAAGGTGGTGTTAGGTTTCATTTTTAAAAGGTAGTGGGAATAGCCTAAAGGTGGTGAACGGTGGAGAGAATAGCCAAATGGTGGTGCGAGGTGGTGGGAATAGCCACACCCTAATTAAAAACATCACAATTTTTACAACATTAAAACTTCATTAAACTTTTTCACTCCTTCCATTGTTCCAAAAATTAGTCCGCGTTCCCCCGTTGTATCTCGAGCGACAATCTTTGACGTAATAATTCATGGGAACGCTTCTCGCCTGTCTGGTGTTCCAATCGTCTGCCTAGTTTGATTATGGCGATAGCAGACGGTCCCCAAGGGTCCATTGTTTCGCAGGAGCAGTTGTCCGCCCTGTTGTCGGATATTATTTTTGAAATCAGCTGGGCTGCATTTGTCTGTGGCGTTCTCCAGTGCATCATTCGCAACACGGCAAACACCGCCGACTGCATCGCTAACACGGCTAGATGACCTGGAAACTGTGACTTAACACTGACCACCAGTGTGTAATCCGGTAGGGTCCTGATTCGCATAGGCAGCAGCTGCTGCCGACGCAGCTGCTGCCGACGCCTCTCCATTCCAGTTTTTGTCAAGAACAAATAGCCGAGATCCTGTTCTAGTCCATCTAAGTTACAGCGGTGAACATCGGCAACTACAGCATGCGGTCGCTATATGCTGATGGGCGCATTAGCCGCGTTGTCGTTCGATCGGGAGGCTGGGTGACTGCCTGACTGTTGGCGTATTACGAGTGAATTATTGTTAAAGGGAATTACGGGGGATAAGAAGTGCTGCGATGTGACGGTGGATTTTAACGACGAAATGAACAATGCCATTGTCTACTGTTGGTGCAAATTATGCGCTATCGGGCTCAAGCGTCCATTCGACAATACCGGCTTGTGTGTACGGCAGTTCCGTTACAGGTAACGCGACAGGTCGTCGCGGGAAATTTGGTTTTACGGACATTTAATTCGTCTAAGGACAACCGGTTCTTGTGGCTGATATTCATATGACTGTTCGCTGCCATAAACCACTCGATAATTTTTCGAATCCCCAGTCGCGCGACCAAAAGTAACACAACAAAATGGCTGCAAAACAAGTTGTCCCAAAACAAATTAGCCGTTGCGACGAAAAGCGTGTGGCGAAATGTCCCACGACGAAATGTCCTGCGACCACTTGTATTGTATTGCTGCTTCCGCCGTTACAAGCAGCAATACAATAAACTGATAGGCATATTATTACGCCGTATATTACTGCGTCACGCATGCGGAGCCTGATTTATTGCAAATTATACATGTAATAACACCAGTCAATTAATCAGTCAAACAGTTATTTGCGTTGAAGAGTTCAAAAACTCAAAAAATTTTATTTTCGTTCGAAAAGAATATCGGTGTTGCAAGGTCCTGCTACGGAAGGACGCATTTTAAAAACCACAGTAACAAAGCGTTTTTAGCAAGTGCAACTGACCTTTGATAGCCCTACTCAAGCGCTTTCTTGTATCAGTTACAGTATACAGAAAGACATCGTTTTATATGTAATGTACAGTAAGAAGGTCCTTCGAATAAGGCTTTCATCCGTTATAATAAAATAGTGTACTCAGATATGCAAGCTGTTTTATCCGAATTACAAGACTTCGCACTAAGCACTGAAAAAAAAACACTGCCTGTGTTGGTATTGGATCTCAGTCGCCAAGGCCTAGCTGTCTCCATCGTTGAGGTCAATAAATCCAAACCGGAATCTACGGAAGTTAAGCTAGAATCGGCTTATTACACCTGCCGCCTAGGAGAAAATGATATTGACGAGCGTATAATGGATCATTTGACAGGAACGATCGAGGATATCTACATCATCACTTTATTCAATAGTAAAGCGACATCACAGTTTCTAATATCTGCTTGTAAGCAGATCAATGGATCCGATCGCCAGACAATAGAGATTGCGAATTTGTTTGGCAGGGGCGTCTTTTCAATGACCATAACTCCATCGATGCTTGCAACGTTGTGTCTTGATCTGTTTCACAAAATTGTTGATCCAGTGAAGATAGTTACAGACGATGCCAGGTTGAAAGCGTCTGATGTTGCGGATGTTGTTATTGTTGGATGCGAGAGGTTCGTTCCACAGATCACTGAGGTCTTGATGGAGTTGTTGCCGGAGGCACGGATACACTCAGACGTGGATCCAAGGGTCACAACTGCGAAAATCGCTGCACTTCTGGCATCCAGTGCAATGAACGGGAAAGAGGAAAACATAAAAATACAAGAAGAGTTCCCTCGCGCCCTTATAGCACGCGTTCCTGGTGATTTAGGCAACCTGGTGATACCGAGGTGGAGTTGTTTGCCGGTAGAAAAGCAAATGGTATACACCACGTCTGCCGCCAACCAGCAGTTCATTGACGTCGAGGTTGTTGAAGCGCTTCCTAACGTCAAAAAATCCATAGGTGTTTACAGGTTTTTCGGTATATATAGCACCGGCTCCAAAAGGGTGTCCCCGCGTGAACGTTAACTTTGCGATCGACCTCGGGGAAGTACTGAGCGTTACGGCGGCAGAAGGCCACACAGAGCTCCGTCAAGTATTTCGATACAACAGCCCGGGGTCGCTATATTTCGGCTGTAAAGCGTTCGACGAGGAGGAAATAATGAAAGCAAAAGAAGCTTTCGAAAAAGCGCTGGACAGTGCGAAGCACGTTGTGGCGTATGATGATCAATTACGAGGCGCTCGAATAGAAGCGTTGAATATATGGTATCGCAGCACACAGGATTGTTTGCTGCCTGTGGCGGATTACGAAAGATGGTCGAAAATGTTGCAGCTAATTCTCTCCTAATTTTTAAAAAGACTTACGGTATTGTGGCGCTATGACAGCATTTCGCGGCTCCTGTATAATACTATAATGCCAAGTGTTTTGAACGTTTCAGCCAGATGGTTTTAGCAACGATAGCCATAAGAAATAACAAGGTCCCGAAATATTTGGATAACAGAAACAACACTTCTTTCCAAAAATAATACCCGCTCCTATAATACAGGCTTTGATGCTGTGTTCGTTTATTACAGCCCTATAACGAAACCGCCCTCGTAATTGTACTTTCAATAAAACAATTCGCCAAGCTGTTACCCAGTTCAGCGTAGCTAAATTTGTTAATTGACTTTGTCAACGTTACAGCTTCAGTCCTTCACAGCAATTTCAAATCTGATGGTAATCTACAAAAAAAAGAAGTAAGCAGAAGTACAGAAACAATAACTATAAGCAGAAGTAACCATCAATCAGTTTTACAGAAGCCGCAAATGCACGGGTGCAAGGACAATTAAGCGCATGCGCCGGGATTACACACGGAAAATTTGAAAAAAGGCTGTGCTGCGACCACCAGACAATACAAGGTTACAAACGCTGCGGATGGTGGAATTTTATTATTCGAAATGTTATGTAACACGTGGCAGCTAATAATAATTACTAAGGTCCAATGCCTTCTTAGGTTGCACACGTATGAGCGGACAAGCAAACTCACAAAAATGGGATGTGCTGCGCACGCCGTATTGTGCAGTAAGTACTCGTAATAACCGCAGAAGGGAAAGAACCACACGGACGGGACTCAAACTTCACATGAACAATTTGACACTTAGTAAAGTTTAAAACACTGAAATACGATTATTATCAAGGTTGGTGAAATGCTAAACTTACCGTAAAACGATCTGTCGGCTGTTAATGCTGGAAACGCTGGCACGGTCAGCAGCAACGCTGACCGAAGGCAGAATGGCGTGTACACCTGTGACAACGTATGGCACACCCAATCATTTTATTTCAATTCAGCAACGTTATGCAGATACGTACACGCCAGAGAGATGCCTGTGTATTAGCATGTACACAGTACACACAAAAACAACGATCGCAAGAAAAAGCAAAATAGACAACAAGCAAAACTTGTAAATTCTATTAGTTTGTTAAAACAAATTTTCCCGTAAATCCGATCGATCAAGCGTACTTCTATAGGAAATAGAGATTATTAAAACCGTAATAATAGGAACAGCGAATAAATGAGAAAAAAGGAAAGCTCGTAACACTTATACTGGAGGCATAATCAAATTTCTATTGTCACAATACTTTCGTTATGTTTCCGCAATAGTCAGCAAATAATAATCATCACGTCAGTTTCTCCACCAAAACACATGCGGTTATGTAATAACTGAGAGAAAATTCAAACATTCAAAGGATCATTTCCAATACACGAGCCTGCCTTCTTCTGCAGCGCCGGCAGGCCTCGTTCACGAGCGAAAAGAAAATATTCAAAGGCATTTTCCTTTTTAACCATTGCCACCATCCAACGTTCACAAGCATCCCGTAAATCCTGCATATCGTACTTGTCGGCAGCGTGCCACAATTTATTCAGTTGTTCGTCACCTTCGCATGACATATCCCGGTTGTAGGCGTAACGTACAAGTAGCTGCATCGTTTTCCCGTCGAAATCCTTGATGTTGCATGTCCCAGTAGCTCTCTCCAGCGTATCGCCCTGGAACATGGCAGCAAAAACCGGCGACTGTGCCGCTAAAATGACGCGATGAGCCGGAATCGTTGCTCCGTCACTGGACACCAATGTACAATCCGTCAGGACACCCGTATCGTACAGCCGGTGCAAATGCTGCAGAATTGCTGGCGGATGGATGACCTCGAGTACCAGGGTTACGCATACGCACGGCTTTGGAGCACCTGTAGGCCACATACCGCCAGTGTTCAGCCAATAGGACCGGTGCTGACTCCCAATCGCGCCAATCGGTGTAATGAGACGTTTCATAGTAGCACTGGGATCCTGAACGATCCCTTCCACGGAGTCGCACCTACATTGAACATTGAATAAAGTGCACGAAAATGTATGATTGGGAAAACTGTCGCGGTTTCACCAGTTTGTGTTACAGCGGTTGTTTTCTAATCGGTATCTCTGCAGTCGGCAGGAAAGTAGTGCGCAATGCGTATGTTCACTTCTGTGAGTTGTCAAAAAAACACGACTGCACGAGCGAAGAAAAGAGAGAAGAAATCACAGAAGAAAAATTAGTTACAGAAGTAATGATCAGTTAGGTTATTGAAATTTGAATGTACAGTATATTAGACACTGTTGTTTTACGCTTTGCTTCTAAGAAACCATATAATTTTGTCGTCTTGAATTTTATAGTTTGCATCGCACGTTTATTCTGCGCAATTTTTGGCGGAGTATGTAAATACAAGCAAGAACACCGGAAGTGTGGGCGGATTGTCAAACACATGAGCTTGAGTCACTGAATAAACTATGCCACGTTGCGCCGTGGTTTCTACGATAAATGCGCCTCTTGCTCCAGGGACGAAACAATAAGGATTTATGCGACAATTGGTGGATGCATTGAATGCACACTCTCTGTCACATTATCGAAACCACTTTACTACGATAATTTTTATTTAAATTGAGCACACTATGCAGTCAGTTTATTTCGCGGGTTTACTTTCAGCCTGGCTTTGTATGTAGCAGTTTCAGCTCAACTTCTGCTGCAAGTGCGGGCTAAGCATGGCATTAAAAAAGTAAAATATGTTATTCGTACCGGACGGTGGCCTCCTTTAAAAACTTCCGAAACTCATCACATTCGTTAGGCGTTACCCAGGTCATCACAGCACCATCGGACTGCATCACATCAATCTGAACCTCCAAGGTGCATTCGGGGATCTCAGGATAATCTCGCTGCTTTCCCACATGGATTTGGGTGGAGTGGCGCCGGCGACTTGGCGAGTGCGCCGTCACAAACTTGGTTGTAGGAATTATGTACTGTAGCGTCAACGTTGATGTACGTCGTGGTAGGCAGCTTTCTGGTGCCTCGTCCATCTTAAAGCTGCCGTCACAATTAGCAATAGTTGAGAGTTTTGAATGGACACCAGATGAACCCGCGATTATAAACCAATAATCCCCGCGAACCCGCTAATAATCTATCAACCGTTTAAAAACTTGAAAAGAGAAATTATAAACAGCCAAATACTGTAGCATCACACTTTTTCTTCGTAGTAGCAGCACTGATACACTGTGCGGTCTTCGCAGTACTGGAAAGTGGAAACATCGATCTGACATGCAGTTCTTTGTGAATTCGCACCAATGGCGTATAAACTCTACATGGTAGTAGAGCAGCATGACGCCTCGACCCACTTAATTGCTGGACGAATGCGAAATTGTCGGGCAGCTAATTTATGTCTATATATGCGCGGGGTATAGAGATAGACAGCAGTAACAAAGCCACACCCGAAGCGTTTGTGGTGCCGCCACCATTGCGATTCCGATTACTGTACTGTTATTACATCTGTATTTCCCCAGTTTGCCTGGCCGGCCGGACTGGCCCGGACATATCAGGCAGCTCATGCGGCAGTATGATTTCATATGCTTTGACCGCATCCCCTTACGTACCGAACCTACCGCATCACGATAATTACCGGTAAACCGACATATTATTTATTTGACATTGGCCATTGAAACACTAGTGAAGCGTATGCGCGATCACAAAACCTTTAATGATTCAACATTAAAGGTTGTGAACGGCACGAATGCCTCTACGGCGAGCGAGCAAATTATTTAAACCATTCTTCGAGAACTGCGTACTTCCGGCGTTCGCTGTCCGCAGCTAACTGTGACGCACTACTGCACTTTCTTGATCATGAACTACGTCCACACCCTTTTCCGGAACTCCCCTTCACTACTTGCACTTGTTGGTCCAAATCGGATTTAATTTTACTGTCCGCTTGATTTCGTTTACATTAAAATTATTTTCTCCAAGTTCCGTTAGTGTTTCGGAAAAAGCTACTGCTCTCAGTAAATGGCGGCTCAAAATAAGTGGGAATTATGTTGTATGTGCAGTCAGTCTCTGGATCCACTTCTTTAGATACTTGTAGTACTGCATATATTCACAACAGTATCACCTCCATATCTAATCTTTTTGTCTACGTATTGCCAAAATATGGTGCCGAAAACATGCATCGAAGTTCTTTCCCATTTCCGTCCATAGAATAACGTAGAGGACGAGAAAAGCTGTACCACTGAATTGTACTTGGGGTGGTGGACGGAACAGGAGTACTTTAGTGCACGGAGTCAAAGGTGCAGTTATCACTCTATCTTGTGCCTGTGGTCTTTTCTGTTTGTGCAGGCAGTGTTTTGAATGATAATCGTATTTACTTAATCTTAATATCAATCGGCAGAATAGCTGTAAAGTATGTCAGTGTGAAAGCGAGCGTGGTGGATTTTCGTCCGGCCAACAAAAGATAGGCAAGCGTAAATAATTCTTGCTTTGGTTTGCACCTTCAAAACCACACAATCGCTGCTTTAAAAATAGTTTTATCGAGTGCCATCTCTACACCAACACTTTTCCGATCTGTTAATTTCATGTGTATTTTATGAGCAGAAATGCCGACCGATGATATACTGAAATCGGAAGTTAAGTCAGATACTTTTGGAAAGGTGTGTCGGTACATTTATGGGGATGAGGACTACATTGGTCGAGGTACGTGTGGTATGGTTTACAGAGTGACAATAACGAATCCCGGTGGTTTTACCGGTAGCGAAACTATGGCGGTCAAAGTAATTCCGCTGCACAACGAGTCCGAAGTAATGGCCACAACGGAAAATTGGAACAGCTGGAAACGCCGAATGGAGTTGTTGTTAACTTTTCAACACGACCGCCTCATACATTATCACCAAATTAGTATTGCCAGGTCCTCAACATCTGACGGGGTATCTGTCAAACTCTTGATGGATTATTATACCGGTATGTTTTTTCGTTTATCTGTTTTTTTTTCGTTTTCTTACATCTTGTAATTACTGATTTTAGAAGGGGATCTGGCGGGCCTCCTGAAAACCGCAAAAATTGCAGACTTGCAAACAGCCCTTCGATATGCTATTGAGATCGCCGAAGGTGTGAGCCATCTCCACTTGCACAATATCATCCACGGTGATATCAAGCCGGGAAACGTATTGGTCCACCGGCTGGGCAACCATAACAGACTGGTGCTCGGGGATCTAGATGATTTAGTGCAAATGCAACAGAGTGCCACCTGTTCTGGAGACATTGGCAATATCCGTGGAACGCCCCGGTATATGTCACCAGAAATGCTGAAAAAATATCTGAGCTTACCGATGTTAGACAAAGTGGGTCGTAAGACCGATGTATGGAGTGTGGGATGTGTCATACTTGAGTTGATGGACAGCGCTACAGGGAATACGAAGAGAAGATTATACCGAGCTCCAAAAGGAATACTTGACATCGACGAAATGAATAATAGTCAATATGTTGCGCACATTGTGGACGGCTATGCGCCATTAACTGCTCTTTCCTTGCCGGTACAGCTGGCTGAATGCATATCACTGTGATTAAAAATTGCGAGTTCTCACAGAATCATGTCCGCTGAATTACTTCAGAATTTGCTACATTTAAGCATGCCGAATGAGCGAAATGGACCTCTTGAAGACATCGCTGTGGGTATTCGTTTCGGGTTGGATACCAGCAGCGTTGTAATGCACCGGGATGGCGGGTCAACAACGATCACGGAAGCACACCAGAATGATTTGGTAATTCCGACTTTTGTAGCCTTCGACCAAGCCACCGACTACAAAACAAAAATACTTTGCGGTCAAGAAGCAGTGGATTACCAGGAAATAGATCCGAAAAATTGCATTTACCTCATAAATCGTCTTCTTGGGCTGCAATTCCACGATGGAGATGCAATTTGAACAAAGAGACAATTTGTTGTATGATATCACCAATGAACAAGGAAGTTTAAGAATCACGGTAAAGGAGCGTGAAGAAACTGTAAATTATTCAACAGAGGAAATAACTTCAGAGTTCCTTTCGTATCTGATGCGTCTTGCTGAATGTGGGCCAGCTGTAAGCAAGGGTCAGGTAGAGAGCATTGTGATAACCGTTCCAACGTACTTTTCTATCGCACAACGCCAGGCCACAAAACTGGCTGCGGCCATGGCGGGGATGAAAACGGTGCGGATCCTTGACGACCCACTTGCTGCAGTCATGCCATACATTGAGAGCTTTCCCTTACGAAAACAAACGTCTTGGTGCTGGATTTCAATCGATATTACCTCGCAGTTTTCATTGTGAGAGTGGATAAATCGGTTATTAAATCCACACCGAACTCAACTCAGGTTAAACTGTGCTCGTATCATTACACTAGTTGCCTAGGGGAACACGATATCGACAAGCGGATTTTAGTGCATGTGAGAGGGATTATCGAGAATATTTACAGCGATGATTTAATCATTAACGAACCGTTTGAACAGCTCTTGATATCCGCATGTAAGCAGATCAATGGACCTGATCGTCTGGTCATAAAGATTCCATATACCTATGCTTGGCGGAAGCAGTTTTTCAACAACCATAACCCAGCCAATGCTGGCCACTACGTGTGTTGATTTATTTCACAAAATTATCGCACCAGTGCAGAAAGTGCAACAAAAAAGCAGGGCTGACACCGACCGATGTCGCGGACGTGGTCATCGTGGGATGTGGGCGGTTCGTTCCTCAAATCACCGATGTCTTAACAGAAATCTTTCCTGTAATGCACATACATGTGACGGTTGATCCAAAGACTGCCGTTGCGGAAGGAGCTGCCCTAGTAGCAGCTTTCAGTGAATCAAGCGAAGCTAGGGAAAAAATTGAAGTAGTAGAACGACCCGCCTTTCTGTTTATAGCGCACATTCCAGGTGAAGCACCAAATAATACGATGATGCGTCTACCTAAAGGAAGTCATTTGCCGGTGGAAAAAAGAAATGGAATGCACAACGTGTACCGACAATCAGCACTTCATTGACATTACATTCGTAATTGCTTTTGAAAGTTCCGAAAACTTCATTAGCGTCTACAGGTTTTCGGGTATAGCACCGGCTCCTAAAAGCCGCCCACGTGTGACTGTAAAATTCGCAATCGATCGCGGGCGAATAGTGACAGTTTCCGCGGTGGAAGGTCCCAGAAAGGGCCGGGAAGTCTTCTTGTGCGACGATAAAAACTTGACAGAGCTGTATTATAAAACGTTGGACGAGGGGAAGACGCAGAAGGCTAAAGAAGCTTTAGAAAAAGCATTGGACCGTGCCAAGGAAGATATAGCGCATGATGACCATATTAGAGCCAGTCGAATTAAAACTCTGACTATGTGGTTGCGTAGCACAGAAGATTTATTGTTGCCTCTGACGGATTACGAAAGGTGGTCCCAGATGCTTCATTTAATACTATCCTAGTCTATAAAGATCCGTGAAATTTTCGATGATTGGCTGTACAGTCTGTACTGCATGATGACGTCTTCCGGCTCCTGTATCACTAATTCACCCAGAGAAAACGATTTTGAAAAGAAACGAATGCCGATGCCACTAGCAAGAATAAATACGCTTCCACTTTCCAGTAAACTTACTCCACCTATTATGAAACGTCTTAGGACCTTGGTGAGCGCGTTTCGCTGAGTATTCTACTGTAGAGGGAATGAGGGATGTGTGCTAGCTGCTTTGGGTTTACTGAAGTAATTTGCCAAACAGAACTGAGTGTTTTCACCGTTTTGTAATGCAAGATGGAGTAAAACTCAGTTAACAACGAGCAGAGTTCAGTTTTTCATTAACGGGTTAAAATGTAACAACAGTCGAGAAATAAAAGGTCAGAAACAGAGGCGCACTAGCAGCCGCAGAACTAGTGCAAAATCATTCGCCGCGAATGTATACAGACAAGTATAGAAAATGTTATTCTGCACCTATAATAATCAATCCAACGCTCCCGTCGCACAAAACAGCAGTATGTCATAGCGACTGTTAGTATCTGTTCAGCAATTATTGAAAAAAGGCTAACAAAGACAAATCACATACCATGTCACTGAGTTAAATTCCACTCAGTTCAATTATTTTAATAAAAAGACAGTGAAGAGCGCCGATTCAAACATGCAGTGGATTATTCCCGATACAGATGCCGGCTTTCTTTTGCAGCTCCTGCAGACCTCGCTCACGAGCGAATAGGAAATACTCCAGAGCGTTTTCTTTCTTGACAGATGCCACCATCAGATCTTCGCACGCGTTACGCAGCTCCGGAATATCATACTTGTCAGCGGCGCACCACAGTTTGACGATTTGTTTCCCACCGTCTTCAGCAGATAATTCCCGGGTATACGCGTAACGGACCAGCAGCTGTAGAATGTCTCCTTCGAAATCGATGATGTTACAAGTCCCGTTGGCCTTCTCGCTGGTGTCATTCTGAAACATGGCGGCAAAGACCGGCGACTGAGCCGCCAAGATGGCGCGATGGGCGGGAAACTGGGTTCCCTCGCTAGAGACCAGCGTGCAATCGGTTAGTAGTCTAGTGTCCAGGAGGTTTTTCAGTGTGGTGCGGTTATTTATGGTGCGATAAGTAACAATGACGTGGATCAACTGTCCGTTTGCTTTATCTAATACATAAGCCAAACTGGGATTCTGAACTGCTTTGATGAGCCACTGTAGGGATTGAGCGGAATCCAGGTGTCCCGCTTGGCCAAGTGCGTAAGCATTCTCATTCACACATATTCCCCTAATGGATAAAATCCTGTTAAGCGAGTTATAGACAATTAAGAAAATTTGAATAAATATATTTTTAGTAAATTTACAGGCGCTGTATTCGGGCAAAAATTACAAAATTCTTATATTATATCTGTACTGTATTTGCATTATACAGCACATCGTCCTCTCTACAAGTAATAAAGATAATTTCGACCGTTGACGTTTATGTTTTTTATAGATAAATAAACTGATAGGATCATATGAGTCGACGGAGAAAATAGCAGGCTGTTTTAAATAACAGGATAATAACGGGTATATAATAAACAGCTGCCGAAGCAGCAGATTATTTAACAGTTAAAGGCTCAACGGCTGCTTTCTGTGATAGTACTGGCTGCCATCCCTTGGTGGGCGGCCGTGCTGCACCGGCATTTGGTTACGTCAGGAACTTTATTACAGATATGCCCTTGGCTTGAGTGCATCAGCTAACGTGCGCTCTCCTCGCAAAGGAGACAGTCCAGTTACGCCGCCGAAGTCACCATTTCCAATTTAACACAGCCTTACCTGGTAGTTGCTTCCACTACTGGAACGGGAGATACCACTGTGTTCTTGTCTTTCGTGGCCGGTAAGACGCTGATGGTCTGTAATACCCGGCCATCGGACTGCAGCACATGAATGCAAACTTTCAAAGTATGATCGCTTATCTCAGGATGATCCCGCTGTTTCCCGACATCGATATCAACAATATACGAGCGACACCCGACCCACATCGTGCTCTCCACAAATCGTTCGGTGGGGATTTTGTACTGCATAGTTATCGTATCATTTTTACATTCCGGCAATATGGGAGTCACGAAAAGCGGGTCCATGGCCATGAAATGCGCAGATAAACAACTCTGGATTTCGATGCTAACTCAAATCAGTAGTTTTGGATATACGGTGATTAAATTGCTAATATAGCACGCTCTTCTTTTAACATAAACGGGATAAACCTAACCAGAAACCAGAAAGCTGACAAAAAACTCTTACGGACCGTAATGTATACAGGGCAAACCAAGCTGCCCAAGTGAACATGCTTAAGACTGCTGTAAGGTCTGGTTTTATAATAATCTTGACTCTTGAGTACTCTTTAAGCGCGTTAATATTATGGAAGCACGAATGCTGTTTATCTGCAGGAATATTGTGCGTAAAGTATTTACTGGTTGCGTAGTTTTAAAGTCCATTACATGGCCGCAAGGGTCAGAAGGCCTGTGGCTTGTCGGTACTCTTACATTTAGTGCACAATGTCATCAAGGCGGATACCGCAAATTGCAGATGTAATTAACAAAACCTGTAATGCATATTATGTGCACGCGGATATTTAACCGATTAATGATACATCACCGATATGTGCACAGAAACGTCTGTTGTTTTTATTTGCCAGCCAGCCACGTAGGTAATTGTGTTTAACCGGGCTTTAATGCCTAAGTACTTAGAAAGCCTAAAATAATATGTAAAATTTTTGAGAGATACTGTAAATATAATTTACTGTTTTAGCGCAGCGCAACAAATTAAAAACTTAGCTTCTCCAATCCCCATAAATAGCCTACTTAAATGCGTAAACGAAATGTGAAAGCTTATAATTTTATACTTTATGGCTCAGACAAAAATAAGTCACCATCAGAAACACATGGTTCGTTTGTAATTCCGTTTTTATGCTTTAGTGGCGGCCATCCCGTCAATCTTCCGCTGCTCATCGGGTGTGGGCGGATTCTCCGGGCAGTCGGGCTTGGATGCGGTGTATTCGCATAAGGGAATCTGTTCAGCCAGAATGCAGAAGGGGCCGAATAGCTGATTGAGCAGATTGTCGATTTGTGCCGCTTTTCCGGGCGGGAAATCTTTGGGGTTCTGTCGCACACGGACATCCACGTGCGGTACGTCACACGATTGGGTGGACAGGTTGGGTTGTTCGCAGCGGTACAGAATCCATAAACCTTGGTCCTGGTTTAGATAGACGGTGCAGTACGTGCGAGTAGCTGTGAACGACGCAAAAGACAACATTAAATTACTGTGCAAATCGTTCATCTTTTTTCTTGTATATATTTATCTGCTCTGTAAATTAAAATCCTATACGCTTATTAGCTGACCTTTAGAGCAGCGTAATTAACCATTGTTAAGTGTTGACGCTTTTGCAATATAATGATACTTTGCCCATAAAAATAAATTAAATTAGTTGATGTGATATTATTAGATTTTGTGCAAATATTATGCAAACACTTAAATATTACGCAAATACGACTAAAATAAATACAACTGAGCCGTTGCTATTGTTTATTGTACGGCAGGCAGGTAACCCATTAAAGGCTAGGATCTATGCATGCTATTACATGTACGTACTGATGGGTCTAACATCCTGGTAGACATCCACAACCTGGATCCCGTTCCAGGCGATGAATCCCAAAAAATCCATACTCGAGCACGTCGTGTCATTGGACGTCGGGTACCAGGAAATGGCGGTGCGTTGCGCGACAGCAGGAATATTCGTCATACCCGGCATAGACGTGGTAGCCAGGATGGTGGTGCGGTATATGCGGTTGATCCCATTAACGCCGGTCAGCAGATGTCGGTAGATGTACCACGTGCCTTTCAACTTCGAACACCATCACAATCTCACCATTACCGTAAATGCACGTAGATATAAACATTAAGATAATTTTACATTACATAAGATATTTTAATAACTGAACTATGTACAAGCACAAATAATAGTTTGAGCGGGTAATTGAAGGGTTGGCGTACAATATTGGGATCATAATAGTTACGATCTGGGCCGCATGTCAGAATGGGCCGTGGCAAACACTGATGGTACACCGGTCCAGGGTTCTGACCGGGATACAAGGGCGGCTGACCAGGATTCGGGTAGGCCGGACCGGCGGAGTACGGGGGATACTGACCTAAAATTATGACAAATAAAGTCCAAAATTGACAAAATATTAGAAAAGAGAAATACTAGTGTCATATCTAGTGAAAAAACAGGTTACCCTTTAGTACTGTATAATATCATTATATCAACCTATAAAAACTGATGTACAGTGCGAAATTGCTTGCGAATTTCATAGGGCGCGGTTTTCTTGGTTTAGCAGCACATTTAGAGTAATTTTAGCAAAAATTTGGCCATACCATAGACCACTGCAATGGCAGTAATCCAAAAGGCAATCCCAAGGCAACCCATTTCCGTTAGGTTATACAGTGATTACTGGGAACTGGGAGTATATACCGGTGATTGCCGGTGGCCGCTTACAATTAATTCCGGTAGCCGCAGGAATTAGTAGCGCTTTGCTTATACTGTGCGTTTAGCAAGTAAAATTAAACCTACAATCAGATAAGTGGTAAGTTTATAATCACGCACATGTACGGGCGCAGACAGATGTCTGTGTTACTTATAATAATTTAATTGGGTGTGCTTAGTGTTAGTGCATGCTGTCGGTTGTTGCAGGAAACGTCTATGTTGTCAGTGGCATTTCAAAGTTGCCGACAAAATGAAATTTAATCGGCCATCTCAATATAAAACACAATACCATCCTTTGATCGGCAAGCATCCCTAGATAAATTACTTAACCAGCAGGTAGCACAAAAACGCGTAGCTTCTGTAAGGAAGGAAGGAGAATGTGTTAAAGGCGCTTATTACTGCCTTCTTTAAAGTAAGTGCAATACCATGTAGGTCCGTATTTTGTTTTCCAAAGACCTCTATACGGATTACGTTTTGTACGGAGCACGAAAAAGTACAGTGCTGCCGATACGTACAGCCCTTTAACAGTTTTAAGTATGCAGCGGTCCTTTTTCGATTGTGTGCCTATGGTACGGCACTTGATGCTGCAGTACTGTAAATTTCATTGAGTTTTCACGTTAAAATGTTATATGCTACCAGTTGTCACAGAACCCAAGTTATCGACGTTATGCAGTACAGATAAAATTAAAACAACTCGTAGTCTGGTTACTCTCGTAGTAATAAGCAGACATTCCACAATAAGAAAATGAACCACTTAAATTGCTTGCATTTCCACGGCATGTACAGTATGCAAGACAAAAAATAGGAAAATTTAAAACTGGCGCAATGGCGCTATTGTTCTCGCTCGAGGAGAACAATGGTTTCTGCCCCTTCTGAAAAGCTCGCGACGGCCCTGCAAGTATGTACCCGTATAATTTGACTTTTGTTACGTTAACGTTGACATCACGTTAACGCTGCATATGTCGTCAGATGTGTGATTCCAACAAAATTTCAGCGCTGAAAAGATTCCCCGTTCTCACCTAAAGCAATCTGTGATCGCGGTCCAACGAAAAAAAACTTGCTTACATTTCCATGGTTAATCAATGCAACCTTGGTCGCTACGCACGCCTCCGCAACGCCCTCCCATACCGATCTGCATCATTCACAAATGTTCCAGCGACAGGTTCGCCGGTTACGGAGTGCTCACGATTGTACGCTTACCGAATGGTGAGCAAAAGGTCATTCGCGGCATCGTCAATCGATGAGTTCGTCAGCCTTAAAGCTGCCATGATGAGAGTCAATTGTTTTTGCACAAACCATGTTCTGGAGTACTACTAGGCTGACCGGTGACTGTCTGTTGACGAAGTACAAAATTTATCGTTTATAAGTAAGTACCATAAATCATTACGCAATCCGTCATGGCAGTATAGCCTCCGTTAGGTTTAGCGGAGGCCGTATTTTTGTTCAGTAAATTTAATTTGCATCCGTGCGGCTTTTTCGTGGAACACATCCTGATTTACCTGAAATCATAACCGATTATACAACGCAGTAGCATACAATCGGTAGCGCAGCGAATCCGGCGATTATATACAGGTAGTCATTACAGCTTTGCCGTGGAAAAAGATATTTGATAGCTTCTTTGACAATCGCAGACTCGCACTAACTTCAAGTCTCAAATGTGTTTTCTTGCATTCCTTAGAGGGCTGCTGACCCGGGTAGAATTTGGGTGGCAGCCATCTTTCGAAAACGGTAGCTATCATTCACATTCATAGATCCCAACATCCATCAACCATGGAAATTCTGTTTGCTCTCATATATTTTGTTATACTTATCGGGATTGCGATTTACGCAGCATTGGTTTTGAAGAACTTTCATATGCGCAAGCTGACCTCTGGTCCCTCAGTACCGCCCGCGTCACGGTCAAGAAAACTCAGTGTCACACTGAAGTACCAGATCCCGGCTACACAGTTTGTCGGCACCAAGGGAGTTGATAGTCAGTGTATATACTATGACACAGCGGACGTAGCTGTGGAGAAACAACTGGACTACCCGGAAATCCCTGCTTCGGTATGGACGGTAACCATCAGGGCCGATTCCGGCCGAACTGGCCTTCAACTGGAATCTAGTGACCGCCAGTATCGCCCCGAAAGCCGGCCAAAAATTTTTGATTAGTACGTATGATGTTGCGGTTCAAGGAACAGTGAGGTAAGACCTTGTTATTTCTATATCATGATACAACACTTAACGAACTTAGAGGAATGCTGAAATACCTTCGTATAAATACAACTATCTGTATGTACTCGTACTTCCACTATTTTCCTCGTTTTAATTTCTTACTATTTGATTTCCATTGGTTTTGATTTTCTTCGTTTTGCTTAGTGAATGACGAGATACTCTGTACTTGACATTTCGATCATGAAAATTATTAATTTATCAGTTTATTACGAGGTATCAATATTATCAGTATGTTGCCAGTAGAAATATTTATTCATTCTCTGGATTATTACGAGGTATCAATGTTATCAATACGAGATATCAGCCTTTTCAAATTTTTGGTTTATGAGTATTTCTTAATTAAAAATCACTAAAATTCCGTATCTCGATAAACAACATAATAAAACATTTAGATCAAAGCGGATAAACGGAGAAGTTTTTTGCAATAACTTTTTCATGATGATGTTTTCGATTTTATATACAATAGTGATTTCACCATTTCAAAAGGGCAACAGTCTGGTTTAATATCCAGTACTGAAATTCTTTACCTACGATTTTATTTGGCAGTGCATCGGATGAATATCCCTGGATCCATGACAGCTTTCAGATTCATCAAACAGGATGGAAACAATGTCATGTGGAAACTGGCCCAGAATTAAACACTCTGTTTTGCCGACACTGTATCAGTAACCACGATCCAAACAGCAACACGCCACAGGTGCTGAACTGCTTTCCAGACCGCTTCATCTATGCCCAACTGACCTTTCAAGTATCTCGCCACGAGCAGACGGAACTGGAGCGTCTCTTGGATACCGGTTTGCTGAGCGACTGCGCACTGGTCGCCAACGATGGCCGTCAGTTTCCGGCGCATCGTGCAATTCTAGCGTTGCGTTCACCGGTGTTTGCCGCCATGTTCCAGAACGATATGCACGAGAAGACGACGGGGATACGCGATATTGCCGATGTTGATGGTAGAGCCCTGCGCGAGCGCCGAGCCTCGGCTCGGCTCGTGAGCGCTCGCGGCTCGCGAGCCGAATGAGCGAGCTTGTACCGCTACTGGCGCGAGCCGAGTCGAGCCGAGCGGTCGTTTATCGATGGGCGAGCGAGCCGAGCGAGCGGCAGTCAGAGGTCACGAGCGAGCTGAGCACTGCTTTCTGTCCCGTACTATTTTTTATAGAATTTCTAGCAATTTTCTTGCAAAAATGCGCGTTGGCTTCGCGCTTCGCGCGAAATAAGCTGTTCCAAAACTATTTTTTTTTCATAATTTCTAGCTATTTTTCTGTAAAAATGCGCGTTGGCTTCGCGCTTCGCGCGAAATAAACTTGTTTAAATTCATACAGAGGTGCTGCCATAACAAAAAAGAAGTACGTTTTACAATTAGTCCGCATATAACTTTGCTCGCGAGCAGTCTGAGCAGAAAAATTTGAAATTGTCTACGAGCCGAGCGATCCGAGCTCTAAGAAATCTGGACACGAGCCGAGCGAGCGAGCAGACGATTCAGCACGAGCGAGCTGAGAAAAATTTTACAATAGTTAAAATGACACGAGCGAGCGTGAGCCAAACATCTGACGCTCGCGCAGGGCTCTGGTTGATGGAGAGCTGTTGGAGATCATCGTCCGCTTTATCTATACGCTTAAACTGGGGCTCAACGCCGATTGTCGGAATTGTGGTTGGCGGCCGATAAATATGATGTACAGGAATTATGCATGGCTTGTGAATTTCGGATGGTCGAAACGCTTACCACGGAGAATGCCATGCGCTACTTTAGCTTTGCTCGTAAACAGGGTGGTTTGCGGACGCTGCGCCAAAAAGCTGGAAGACTCATCGAACAAAACCCACTAGTGGCTTAACTTGCAGTTTACTGCCATTCGCAAACTCTAATTTGTTGCTGTGCACTGGTAATCTTTTTTCGCTGCCCTTGTATTGATTGAATGTAATTTTACTGCAATTCATAACAATATTCTTGTCGTAAACCAATAGACGTTTGCCTTTCAACACATTAATCTTGCTGACACAGGGAAGACTTTTTTTATTACCCTACCATGGTACAATGCGTAAGTTGCTGGTGTTTGTACATAAAAATGGATTTGCAAATATAGGGCCTACTATCTAACGTATAGTTTGGGAAATTGATATTATGCCGTATTTCTTACAATCAGTTTGTACTTTGTAGGCACTACATTCTGTAGTTGTCGTGTAATTGGTGAGCCATAAAGCATTTACAGAATTCGAATACCTCATGATTTTATCATAACAGGCAGTACAGTCTCCTAAAGATTTAATGGGAAATAAGAGTTAGAAGTGCAAATAGGTAAATCGGATTTGTGCTAGCCGGTAAACGCATCGAACAGAAAGGAAACTTAGTGGTGTCGGGAAAAGCTGCATGCAGAATGAAAGAAAATGCGGAAGGTTAAGAAACGAGTGGGCTGGTGGTTGTAAGTACCTGTACGTCTTTTCAGAAACTGCGTTTGTATTGTAAAATTGTATCAGTATTAATGCTATTTAACGCTCAAGGCGTTAAATACCGTTAACGCCGGGCGAGTTTGTATGTCCCTGGCAACACATCCACGCCATCCAGTAATGACGTTAATAAATTAATAGAAGGAACTCAATTGTTTTCGATTCAATTCTTAACTATTAGTTCACAATTTTTCGCTAAAAAATGTGAACACACTGGCACACTGAATCGAAAACACGATGAATGCCAGTGTGCCAGTGTGTCCACAATTTTTCGCTAAAAAATGGCTCCTAAACCTCGGTCCGACGCGCCCATCGCACCCAGCACACGCAGACGGGGGATTGCTAAGAAGAAGTCAGAGCAACAATCTTCAGATTCCATCGATTTAGTTGCCCTGCAACATACTGTTTCTCAACTGCAAACGCAACTGGCTGCTTTAGCAGTCCAGCAACCCCAACCGCCCGCCCCAACCGGGTCTTCACCTTCAGTTAACACTCCGCCGCTGATTGACCTTTCTGTTTCGGAGCCTACTATGTCATTTAAACCACCGTCTAACCTGTGTTTACCCACACCTGACAATCCTACGTTAAAGTTACTGTCCGATCGTCATGGCTTCATCAACTTGCATAAACTTCTACCGATTAACAGAGGAGTCGAATCAGTATCCGATCAGCCCACGTATGTGCCTGATAACGACGGCAAACGGATTCCCACTACCGCTGTGACTAATCGCCGGAAGATCGACTCCTTTAACCCTTGGCTAGATGCCTTTTTATTTTTGCTCGTTACCGCGTCTATTTTCATCCCGGTCTGGCTCTGGCGCTGTTTGCATACATCGACATTATCCGTGGTCTATCACTATCTCGTCCCCTGCTAATCTGGCTTGAATATGATCGAAGGTTTCGGGACAAGATGAGTAACCGTGACATCTCCGACAACGCTTGGCTCGTGGAAGATTCTTCTGTTATTGCCGAGGTCATGCGCACTATCCCACTGAACTCCACGGGTCCTCTTTTACAAAAAGATATCCGACCGCCACCGCCGTCGGCTTCAGCGAAGCCGCCATATGGCTGCTATTTGTGCCGTAGCCCTGATCACTATACGCCAATTGGTGCCCCCAGCGTCGTAACCCGTCCGAAGCATCTACTTCCGCTCAGCGTCCCGTTCCCCTTCCCATCACCCAGCCACGTGATCAGAGCGCTACACAACGTGTAAATCAGCCCTTTCGTCCACCCCGCGTTGCAGTCTGCCGGGATTACAACGCTGGACGATGCTCCAACCCGTGCCCCGGTCGTCGACTGCACATCTGCGACGGATGCTTCGACGATTCCCATACCCGGCCTTTCCACTCATCTTCAACCTCGTCTACCAACTAATCCGTTCACTCCTCTTCGGCCCTATAAATTCCTTGGCTACCTACGTGAGTACCCGAATCGCGGCGCCGTGTATCACTTTATTGCAGGTTTGCTGAATGGTTTTTCCATTGGCTACACTGGCCCAAGTTTAGTTCGTTCTACTGCCAATGCGCTCACTGCTCGACAGTATCCAGATATAGTGCGTCGTTACATTGCTAAAGAGATTGAACTAAAGCACACGTTCGGACCGTTCACATCTCCGCCTTTTAAATTCTTTGTCAGCTCGTCTCTCGGAGTCAGACCGAAGAAAACTGGAGGAGCACGTTTGATTATGGACCTCTCCCGGCCTTTCGGTAGCTCCGTGAATGATTATATTTGCAAGAAAACGTACACCATGCGTTTTTGTTCTGTCGATGACGCAGTCCGTATTATTATCAAGCTAGGTGCCGGCGCCATCATGGCCAAAATGGACTTGAAGCACGCCTTCCGGCTCATACCTGTCAGGCCAGAAGATTGGCACCTTCTCGGGTACTGTTTTGATGACCGTTTTTATTTCGATGTTGTATTGCCTTTCGGTTGCCGCTCTTCGCCTGCAATTTTCGACAAAATGGCAGGTTTTTTGGAATGGATTATTCGAAACGTGTGTCATTTTCGGGATGCTCTGCACTATATGGATGATTTCTTCTTCGCCGGTCCATTCGGTTCTATTCTTTGCCAGTTAGCTACTGAGCTTATGACGTTGTTGTGTTTGGATCTAGGAATTCCGTTGGCGCCTGATAAAACGGAAGGACCCTCAACAAAGTTGACCTTTCTTGGTGTCGTCCTCGACTCCGTAGATCAAACCATTTCACTACCACCAGGAAAACTTCAAGACTTAATCGATGAGTTCACGGTGTTCTCCACCAGACAGTCTGCGTCTAAGCGTGACCTTCTTAGCTTAATCGGTAAGCTTAGTTTTGCTACGAAATGCATTCCGGCTGGTCGGATTTTCTTACGACGGATGATTGATTGTGCCAATTCAGTCCGCCTATTACATCAATCGGTTCACTTAAACTCTGAATTTCGAGCTGATTTAGAGTGGTGGATTAAATTTTTGCCACTGTGGAACGGTACTGCTTCTTTTATTGAGCCAGACTGGACCAACGCTGACAGTTTAAGCTTGTATACGGATGCGTCTCACACTGGGTGTGGCGGATGTTTCGGTAACCGATGGTTCCAGTTAATTTGGCCTCCTGACCTAATGAATCTGCATCCGCATATCACCTGGTTGGAGATGCTGCCAATTCTTTACGCGTGTAGATTATGGGGTACACACTGGCACAGCAAGCGGTTGACGTTCTTCTGTGACAACCAGGCCGTAGCGGCAGTTTGGAGCAAGTTCTCTTCCAAGCATCCTGGGGTCATGGCACTGATTAGAGCATTGCACTTTGAGGCAGCACGATATAATTTCCATCTCCGTATCGTCTATTTACCGGGAAAGAGCAATGCTACAGCAGATGCGTTGTCCCGTGACAATATCGAGCGGTTTTTCGAACTTCTACCGTCTGCAAATCGGCTTCAGGATGAATTTCCGTTCAATATCGTTGAATTTTTTGACGTTCTTGCCGCTCCTCGCAAGTGCCGTAATCGCCGGTTAAAGTATTGTTTGCCTTCTTATGTTATTTCGTTGTTCACCGTTATTAACAATGTGCTCTATTGCAGAAAATGCAAGCGTACTTAATGCTCACAATATGTCATTTCGTCCAGTTATCCAAACTCTGCTGCAAGCGCATTTATCATCTGCCAGTCAGAAAGTGTATCGCGTTGCATTGCGAACATTCCATTCATTTTGTAACCGTAATGGTTTTCCTTTGGTGCCCACGGATTCTGCAACCATCTTTAATTTCGTCGCTCAGCTCTTTTTGGATAAACTAACCGTAGCCACTGCGCGAGTGTATGTTTCGGCCATTATAACCTATAGCACTCTCAGCGGCTTTCCGGACCCTGTTCCGGATAAACGCCGCCTGGCGCTACTTTTTTCTGGATGGTCCAAAATCCGTGGGTCACCTCGCGGTAAGCGTGCCGGACTGACAGTCACTAATCTGCGTTATTTGTTTCACTACATCTAATCACTCCCGTATTGCATGTTCGATCGCATCATGTTGCAAGCTGCCACGATGATGGCGTTTTATGGATTTATGCGTGTGTCTGAATATTGTGCTACTACTCAATCCCGTTCAGCTTCCCACAGTCTTCGTGGTTCTGATATTTTCTGTGATTCTTATTGTCTTCAGATCACTTTGCGCAGAAGCAAAACATCTCAGCATGCACCTGTTGTGATATCAATTCCTTCCTTGTCTGACATCACTTGCCCTGATACTGCTGTGTCTCGTTATCGAGCGCTTCGGGATGCCCGTTTTGACTCTTCATCTCCATTCTTTTGTTTTTCAGACGGGAAATATCTAACTCGTCAGCGTGTATCCATTTTGCTTCAAAGTTGCTTCGGTCACACAGTGTCAACCCATTCGTTTCGAATTGGTGCAGCTTCAACAGCTGCTAACGCCGGCATCACATTGACCGATGTTCAAAAAATGGGACGTTGGACTAGTGATGTGGTTAACAGATACATTCAGCAGTCTTCTGTATCAAATTCTCATTTGTACAATCGTTTGTTATCATGCAATCTAATCACAGTTCTCCCTTGTTCGGTTGCGTTTTGTCGTTTCCGGTTTGGCCGCGGCTTCGCTTTGGGGGTGTTCGGCGCGGCTTGTCTCAGCGGAAGTCGGCGACCAGCGGCGCCGTTCAGTTGCGACCGTTCGGACATCGTCGGCTTTCGAGCACTTGCCCCGACATCCTCAAAGCGGCAACTGATTAAACGAGCCCGAAAGCGTTAATGTTCTTTATCATAAATGGCAAAATCGCCGAATTAGAGCGGTATCAGACGAAAGAAATTGTTGCAGTTAACTAGGACGCCATAGTGCCGGATGTGGACATGTACGTATGTAGCCGGCAGGAATGTGGACGGGTGGATACTGGATATTCAATGGAATCGCATCCACCTATCTGCCGAAGGTGGCAGATTGGTGGATGAGCCATCCACATTTCTGCCGGATCCCATCCACTTTTTTCGAAAGGTCATAATTATTTTAAATTCCTGCCAGTCTGCTTTTCCCATAAAGAAAAACCGCCGCTCGGACTACAAACTGAATCTTTTTGCGTTGCTTTGAGAAGCAGCTATATCAAAATCAAAGTTATACAACGTCAAATTTAAAACTGACTCTTGTCAGGATGGTTTCAAAAGTTCCGCAGTAGTCAACGAAGTAACTTTCCCACCGAAAACGTTGAAACTGCACTTGGAGAAAAATTAACAGGTGAAACAAATCTGAGCAATCTCAAATTTGATAACTCTTAATACATTTTGAGCAAGTATTTTACGTTTTTTTCAAGCCAGATAATTGATGCAGTTGCTTGAAGTATTGTTTTCAAAACTGTTCTTTAAATGAAACTTCAAATTTGGGGTAACGAAGACTATATCAGGTACAGATGCAAATATTAAGTGAGGGAAGTGAGAACAAGTAAGTGCGACACACTTCAGAATCAGCGTTGTTACGCTCATATTTCTTCCAGGTAGCTGAACACATGTAGAACTGGAAGATTTCTGCTAATTTTTTTGTACAGAAGAGCGGATTCCAATTGGGATTGAGTCCGCGAAGAGGCAGACGTGAGCTCAAACAGTGCACACACAACATGAACTGTAGTAGTACTCCGTCAGGAGTATGTACAGCGGATATGTAGTGTAAATGTGAAGTTTTAAAGTTTACTACTACCTGAAGTTTTAAAGTCAGCTGCAGCTAAGACATGAGCGTGTTGCTACTTAGAACATGGTAATTAAGCGATCTGGAAGATTCCCACGAGAGAAGTCTACATTCAAAGTACTATTTGTCTATGCGATTTTTTTATGGGTTTGGCATACGGAGAGGTGATTTGATGTGCCAAACAACATCTGAGTGGCAACTTAAGTGCGGATATATTCCTAATCTAATGCTCAGTCTCAGGAAGAAATGATACGTTCTAAACTGAATGTGCGGCACTAATGGCTATTGCCTAACTCTAAAATCAACATTTCTGACTTTTGCTTGACACTTTGATAATCAAGCGTGCTTCTGAACGTCTGGCTCTGCTGTTACGGTGGCTGTGTTTATTTCTCTTAACAGAAAAGTTAAAGGATAAAAAAATAAATTTCATGATGGCAAAGCAAGTAATGTTTTTAAACTTTGCGAACTTATCTACCCGACTTCATTTACGTTGATGCAAAGAGGCACTCGTATTAAAAATCGAGACATCAAATTTCCTATTTATTTGCTTTTCTGATTTACATTTTTTGCATTAATTGTTGAAGATCGTTACCTGAATTTTATGTTTAACATTTCTGGCCGTAACCTTTTGATTGTATGAAACTGTGCGCAACCGTTATTGTAAGTCTGCATCAGATCGGAAAAATAAAATCGCCATTTTTAGACAAATAACCTGCTCCGACCATCAAAAACGTTTATGAACTAGCAGGCAACGGGCCAAAATATCAGTAGTAGAGCTATTTCTATACCGCAATGTCCTATTACACACCGAATTAAAATTCAGGTGTATTCAGTGCAGCACAAATATACATGAACTTTTGGAGAAGGTGAATAATCTTTCAGGATGGATATGCGGACGAAAAAACGGATAGCCATTATAGCATGTTCATTAATACCGACAGAAAGATGGATGGCCTCCGTTAATAAGGTGAATAATGGCTTATACACATTTCATCCAAAGGTCGGTAGAAGCGTGAATGGCCTTTAGAAAAAGGTGGATGTGATCCGGGCTTTCATTTTCTCCGCTGTCAGAAAAGCCAACTCTACGATCAAAATTGTTATAAAAGCAGTCCACTACGCATCCTCGAATAAGTTATTCAAAAATGTATTATGCCGCTGAATCGTTCAACTCCTCTCGGTACCATTTTTTTCCACCACGATGATTAATATTAGCATGACAAACAGCATAAAGCAAGCACGACCAGCGTTTGGCAGCATTGTACTCGTATGTACCGGTAGATAACTTACAGATACTTCTATAACAGGAGTACAAGATAAGTGTAAATTAGTTTGCAAACTTACTGGGGTTTTTGGCTTCGACGGCGGATTCCTTCGCGCAAACGAAGCATCGGTGTGTTTGGAGGTCCGGAGTTTCCGGACTGTTTTCCGTGGTCTTCCTGCCCATGTGGATGTCCTCGTACAAACAGTTACTGTGGACATTTGTGTCAAGTATGTCATGTCAACATAGCAACAGAGTGAGATAAACCATACTGCTAATTATTCATGATTTCCTTTATTCCAGTAATCTTCTATCTCAGCGTGGACCACGGTCTGGTGTGATTCATTACTCCCCGTAGTTCTAGGTAGTAGGTACAGTAGTTAGTATTTTTATAAAAGAATCATCTAGAAAAACCTCAGAACTCATGATTGGATACCTGGGTGTGGTCTGGATCTTTCTGCTCTGTTTGTGTAAAAGGTCACGTTTACGTACTATACAACAGATAAATGCAACCACAGTGCATGTACTATGAAATCCACTCTGAACTGCGTCAACCAAATGAACCAATAACATCGGAAAAGCCTTGCCAACATGTGTAGTACCAGAGTATTATTGCATTGTACTTCCTCGAATAACACCACAAACTCGGAATAGCCATTTGAAATTACAATCATATCAAAAATTCGAAGGTTGTAATTGATTGTATGAAAGACTGTATCCAACGGTTCACTCACTAAGCAGAAAAATGGCAGTGCGTGTGCCCTGATGAAATACTTAACATCCGTAATTAATTAACGTTTTGAAAGCCGTACATAGTTTGGTCCGCGTTGGAAAGATTAAGGGTTAAATGAATTTTAAGTGGCTATGGCTACTAAGCCACTTACTACTTTAATGCGGCTACTTTCTATAGCTAATGCCATGCGGATAAATCCCTTCCGGTTTTCCAGAACAAGGGTATTCCGTCCAGGCTAGACTTCGAACATTTCCCGCTCCTCCGGGAGTCAAAACCATAAAATTGCCGGTGTTATTTTCTGCAATACATTTGATGTTCCGCTTGGACGCACTAGAGCAGCCGCCACATAGAAACGTTTCACGGAACAGAGGAAAAAGAACGCGAGCCGTGTGACCAGAATATGCAACCGCATCCCTGGCAATCGTTGACTGATCCCCAGACCTTCGAAGATGAACGCGCAACGGACATCGATGGCCAGAATCCCGTTAGGATGGCATGCAAAAATGTAGTTGTTATCCGGAGTAATCGGCTGCGGCGCGGTTACGTGTAAATCGGCGGAGAAATACTGATAGCAGCAGTTGGTAAAACTGCAGTTGCGTAACGGTCGCCGTGATCGTCCGCCTTAATTCTGAGCATCGTCGATCAGCATCCACGCAAGGAGCAGCAACGGTATCCAAAAGTATTTCGTAAATAAAAGCTTTATCAAAACAGGGTACAGAATGATCCATCCTCTCCAGCATAGAAATATAATACTCGTATTTTTGCAATAGTACCAGAAGATTACGGATAGTTTCTGGCTCCCCATTAATATTACCTGAGCAGTCATGCTTGTCGGGAAAAATCCTGGTTATAAGCCTAGATTGAATTAGACGATTTGCAAATTCGATTAACAGCGCGCTTATTGAGTGCTACATGTGGAGCGCATGCATTCCGGTATGTACGGGTATAAGCGCAGTTTCGGACGCCAGTTGATTGATGTTTATTGGATGATTCATGCATTTTACGATGTGAGTACATACTGTACATTCGTGCGGTATCCGCGTTATTTGCACCGAGCGCGAAGCGCGAGGTGCTGCAATAAGTCTTCGTCAAGAGCATAAAATTTGTCTGACGCCACGAAGAGCGTACGTCACGCTTTTCCAATTCCACAATCCCAATACCTTTTCGCAGTGGTACTGGCGCTCGTGCAGTAATGTGGTTCGCAAACCACCGCTAGTAATCAGTAATTTTATGGGCCTCAAACCGGTTTTCTGTTTACACAAGGTCCTTACTAACCTGTACAAAGAGGAAGGTAAAGTAAAAAATTCGGCGCCTTAGATCTGGTATGAAGAAAGGGTCTACATCAACGTCAAAAAAATATGCGCTTACCGGCTTACGTGGGATAAAAACCTGTATGTAGAGCTTCGTCCCGGTCAACAGCTTGTACTACTGCGCACAAAGAATCCGTAATTACCTCACTGCTTTATGCAAAAGAACGTTTTCTAGTTGAAATCGATTTTGTATGGAGACACTTCTCCTTTTCCCCGTTAACATAAAAATATGTTTTACTATCTGAATTACTGAATATCTAAAAGTGGCGTAAAAATAAATACCATAAAACCCGATATTAACGCCCCCGACCTTTATTTTTTCGAGAGCTTTGGGAGGGGGCGTTTAAAACCGCACGGGGCGTTATTACGGGGGGATGGGGCATTTAATATTTCAAATGAATATCACGCTCATGATATTTAAGTTTTAACTAGATTTGTATGTGTGGAAGGAATACTAATTTTAAAACCAAGACATTTTCTAGAAAATCATGGTTTAACGGGTGTGCCTAAATGGAATTCACCTAACTAACAAGATGTACCATTCAGACTGTAACGACAATGCTCTAAAAAAGCGCGGCACCGCAACTTATTAGGCGCCCCGGGGCGATAATTTTGGGGGAGGGGGCTTTTAATATCGGGTTTTACGGTACCTGTACTGGCTGTGCTGTGACCAACCACACAGCCCCATATGAGCTATTTTGTGGCAGATTCCAAGCGGCAGCCGAATCGTGACTAGCTTAGCTACATGCGGTATACGACGGAGATCAGTCGTAGCATATAGCTACTCTAGTAGCGTCCCTTTCGGTCGAAAAATTCCTGTGTAAACAAAGAAAATTGTGGCGGTCTACAGCCTAATTGGTCAGCTGTACTTATGGAGCTCAGCCCGTATGGAGCCCGTATGGAGCTCAGCCCGTACTACGTATGGAGTTCAGCTCACTGGTCATCCCATGAAAGCCAGTTTTATGTGATGTCGGTCGCTACGTCACTAGATTTCGTGTATACATACAAGTTGGCACCGCGAATCCCCTACTAGTGGATTTGCGGTATATGCAGTATATCCATACACAGCATACATACAGCATCCATACACAGCATGCATACGGTTTTGTATATGCTATACACACTATACAATGTATCAAAGCTTTGGGCAAACGACTGGAGCAGCACACAGGCGAAACCTGTTCCCATGAATTTTTACGGCAAAGATTGTCGCTAGAGATTCAGCGTGGTAACGCGGCATCTGTTATGGGAACGATGGAAGGAGCGGAAAAGTTTAATGAGATTCTGATGTTGTAAAAATGCTGATGTTTTGATATATTTTCAAATTACGTTGTACCGCAGGTAAAATAAAACAAATGTATACCCTAGTACTTGAAGTATAGACAAAAATACATTAATTATGTGGTTCACAGTACAACCATATCCTAATTCAGATTACCGAGCGGTGCACAGAGCCCGTTAGGGGAACGAATAACCAAGCAACCGGTACTGTACTGGGTACAGAACCCGTTAGGTAAGCGGGTGGCCGAGCTACCGGTACTGTCCAGTGGACGGGACCCATTAGTTGAGCGGGCGACCGAGCTACCGGTACTGTTGCTTCGACGAAATATGTTATTTAATAAATATCCATTGAGATCTAAATAAAGTAGCCGTTGACCACAAGAAACGCGGAGGCGAAGCCGAGGCTGTTTCTTGTATTATGTATCTTTATTATACATGTATCCAGTATACAGTACAACTTTTGCAATACTGTATACAGATACATGTATGATGTGTACGGATGTTGGCGTAATGGTTCAGAATTTCTGATCCATGGCGTGTATTTTCTTTCTCTTTTTGCTCTGGAATTAAAAAAAAACACTGGAAATGATACCGAGACAGTAAGCTAAAACGGTCGCACCTGAAGGTTGTACCATGGGGCAAACATTGTAGCGATATTATTTATACGAACGATAAGACCACCCAGTTATGATTCACCATTCCGTCGCGTTATGAATTCTGTCTACTTTACCGGCTACTTCTCCTTTTCACGAATTTCTAGAATTCAGTCTTCTACTCAGCTTGCTACAGCTTGCACCTTCTTGATCAACCTTGTGCTAAATCTTGCTCCGTTTCTTGCATTGCCGTTGTCTTGAGTTATGGTTTAATGGTTTATCGTCCGCACACAATCAGGGAAGGATCCCAATTCGAGGCAGCAGACACTCACAACAACAACAATTTAGTTGATATTTACTCATACTACGCATACAACACACAGTCTGGGTGCTGACGGTGCCTCTGTACTAACTTACAAACCCGGCACTTCATCATAAGAAGCCACGAAGCGGCCATATACAGACATACATACTTTAGGTGTAAGAGGGGATGTCAGTAGCGCACCTAGATAATCCCCTGTACTGTAATGTGCCCAACTAATTTTATCTCGCATTATTTCGAACCATATTACGTAATACGGTAACTGCGAAAAGCATAACTTCTGCGAACATTCCCGGCCCAACGCAACAAGCGCTAATAGCACCATACACAAAACTTAGGGTATCTGAACATGCGCAAACGTGCGCTAGTGAGCAGATTCTACAGCTCCTTTAACATTTTGCGGTGTAAGCCACGTCCGTATAAAGTATAAACCATGAATTAGTACCGTGGCTACGAACGTTATAATTATTGTAATACAATTTATGTTATATTGTAATAAAATGTTAGCGTGTTCAGTAAACATCAGGGTTGATTTTACCACAGAAAAAAATTTTAAGTCTCAGCTTATAGTTGTCTCGCATGTAATATATATGGATCCAATAGGTACAAACGCTGCCAGTGCCAGACTGCCAGCTATGTATCGAAGACCCATCATGACACAGTGCCGCGGGCAATTCAACGGCAGCGCTTTATACCCGACTTGACTTCCCTCGGTTTAACTTTTAAGGATGTTTAACGAAATATTTTTATTGTACGATTTTGAACTTTGACATCCGGAAATGGTTGGGAGCGAGACGTTTCTAAGGGGATTGTGCCTTATCACCAGTAAGTACAAATGGTAATTCTGATTGAAACATAGAAGTATCGTTACTTTTTCGCGCAGCTTTGGGAGAACTGGTGAAACTGAAGGAATAGGTGAATCATACTGGGCTCTTAGACGACAAAATTATGATTGATTTGCAAAGCACATATTCTGAGCATATGCACAAAAAATTTTACTCCCGCTTAAGCATTATTACTAAATAATTCGCGTTCCTTTAAATAACTGCAGAAGAAAATCTGCAGTGCTCCATGTGTTTAAAGATCAATTACAGTGGTTGACAAAATATGTAGTTGCTTGGAAAATAGTTTGTTGGGACCAGGATCCAGTATGGTAAGATGAATAATTATAGAGCTAAATTCATAAATACTGACTGTAACATAATACTGCAGCTGTCTTAAGTACAGATACAGATACAGGATGCAAGACTTAAACAATCATGAATTTGCAAAACTCGTACAGCAAATAACTGACTTGCCGTTCTGCTTCCATTTTCAGTGATGATGCTGGGAGTTCAGTCTTTACAACCACTTCCTCAAGAAAGTTCCGACTGGTGCGCGAACAGTAAGTACATCAGTTGTTAAACAAACAGTATCGTTATAATTATATAAATCACATAATTTAATTGTATTATGCACAGTACATGTATCAATGTTGTTCGGAACGTGTTTTTAAGTGTTTTTAAACCTGCTGTACTTATGGTTAGCGTAACTCAATAAAAACTTCATATTGCACAATATGGACAAAAATATAAAAATTAATAATATATGCAGACCGAAAGCCGTATGCAAATGCCTTTTGATCGTTAGCAACGGTGTTAATTGTAGGCAGTGTGGCGTCCAGTACACCGCCACCGCCAGCCGTGCCCACATCCTTCCAACTGGCTCCCTTTCCCACCTTCAACTGTCGGCCCATGAAGCAGGAAGAGTGTGATGACATGGCCTTACTTATGTGCGTAAAGACTGCGACATTATCGTTATTTGTTATTCAGTACAAACCCTATTTATCAATAACCATGTGACACATTCAAAACAGTGCTCCGAACGAAATTCGACTTTGAACGAAATTCGACTGAGCCGATAGTGGGTGCAATGATCATCATGAAATTATGCATTTATAGCCGCTTCCAGTGTAATGACCGTTATTAAATAATAATCGCTTATTTAGCCATACGTCCTCAACTTTATGCGTTTGACACCACAAGTCTTTGAGTGTTATTGTTTGGCTGGATTGCAGGATCCCTGAATGTGTGGGCTGGACGGTGGTGGACCTGGATCTCAAGCACCCCAATCGTAGCCAGAGCTTGTCAGTTTTCCGCAACATCAGTCTAGGTATTGCCACGGTCCGGGCGGATCGCCCAGTCCGGCTGGGCACGTATGACACCTACCTTACCATGACTAAGATGGCGGTGGCCGTGGACTACCACTATCTCCCCGAGGGTTTGTTCATCCACCAGGCCCTGGATCCCATCCGGCGCAATATCATCGAATTCACCATGTACAATTGCCACTACCGCTGTACCGGCAAAATGCCGACCCTCAATTTCTCTAGTCTCCTCAGCTTCACCATCGACAAATGCGACTACAGCTACCGGAAACCGTTAACCGTGCAGCGCGATGATTTTGCCCAGAACCTGTATCTGCGTTCTATCATATTCAGCGAATGCGTCACCATGGAACTGGAGCCGTATACCTTCACCCACATTCCGGATCTGCGTTTACTGGCATTGGAGAAGAACTTCTTCCGCTATTCATGGATGGAGGCAGAGGGTGCTCGGGATAGACAGTACTTGCGACTTCGGCATTGTGAATGCGAATACGCTTGGTTGCGGGATCTCTTCCGGGTCAATCCTGGATTGATCGCACCGAAAAGTGCCGGTCAAATCTACGAAGTTTGCCAAGCCGTTAGCCCGGTGGTAAAGAGAGAAGAAATCTTCGTGCCGATTGACTGCACGAACCCGAACCTTCCTGAGGACAAGAATAAAGTGGACTGGACTGAGACGCGCTTTTCCTCTAACCATGCATCCCGGCAATTTTTCCGCTCGTTGGTTTTGATAATTGGCGTTGTTTTATATGTGATGGTTTGACAACTGCATATGTGATCTTATTTGATACAGACCAATCCGAGTATCTAAAGATGCCGAAACAGCTATCAGTGCTCATAGTAAAATCTCTGCATTTTCAATCATATGAAAATTAATTATGGTTATAACTATTCTATTGGTAGTTGTATGCTTATTGCCTGTCTTGGCAATCCCGTTTTGTCCAAATCCATTATTTTTATTGAAACAGTTCATGTGCTGTAGGGCTAGCAATTCATCCAGTATTTTTGTCTCAAGATTAGTACGAATAAACTATATAGAGTAGTCACACGTGGCTAAACAGTAAACTGCCGTATCTGTATTTGCGTTGTACAGTAAAAGGCAATCCTCGGGCTCCGGCCTCGGTTTGCAAACGTCGAATCTGTAAAATTTTAGAATGAAATTTTGCTTTTAAATAAAACTGTTTTCGTATTTTCGAAACAGGTTTTATTGAATCTACCGAATTCTGTAATCTACCGAATTACAGAATTGAATCTACCGAATTCTGTAACACTCCAGTAATGACACGAACAACGAAAGCGTAATTAATGATTAGGATGACCTACTGCAAATGCTGCTGAATACAGCTGAGCTCACTTTAGGCCAGATCGTAGCGTACTTATAAATCCCCAAACAAAACTAGCTGATAAATTTAAGCAATTTTTTAACAATTTGTAAGCTGAGAAAGGCGAGAAAAACCTGCGGTTAAATTAGATATCATTAAATCTGTCGTTAAATTGGTCAGAGGCTCCCCCCTCAGAAAAATGCCATTTTTTGTTAGAAGACAGAATAAGTACATAAAAAGGTATTTTCACCGGCAATGGTTCATTTTTCGTGGCCAGAAACCAGTTTTGCGGATGCAGGTGTTGTTTGTGCTGTCAATACGAAACAGGAATAGGTATATTACATGCTAAGCATGCAGTACACTGCCAAAACATACGATCCTTAAAATTGCTTTTTGACCACGCCCACTGGATCATTGCCGGTGAGAATATTTTTTAAGTACCGTACTCTCGATGCCTACTGTCTTCGAACAAAAAACGAAATTTTTTGAGGGGACCTCTGACCAGCCCCTGGTTAATTATTATTTTTTATACCCGCGGCCGACCCTCAAGCGACCTGACCCAAATTATGTTAAAATAAAGCTTAAAAATTGACCACGCTCTTTTTTTTGTGTTGCATTTTGCTTTTATCGGCTTCTTTTACATCAAAGCAGCCGACAGCTAGTGCTGGCGGTCCTGGGTATTTCTCGGTCCCTTAATTTCGCGTCACTACAGTACTAATTGTAAGTGTCACCGGTGAATTCCCCACTATCGGTGTTTGTATAATGAGTGCTGTTCAGTCAGTGCATGTATATCACTGATCCTTTCCAATTCTGACCACCATTTCGACAGCACAGTTTATGGGCGGTACATATCGATTTACCACAACCAAAATCTGATGCATACGATTATAGATAACTGTACAGAAACTGCAATACATATAATGGTAGACAAAATTGTTAGCTATCAGTTATTGAGAACAGTATTTTGAATGCAAAGGTAAAGTAAAGAGAAGTACTTCGATACAAGTAAATACTTTGGACTGAGAACCGGTAAAGCCAAACCGTGACGTACCACATTGTTACGATTACATAAGCAAAGAAGTGCGACTTGTGCTAGAGCATTCATTATTCAGAACGAAAAAATATTAAAAGGTTTACGACGACGTCGCTCTGTTAAACGCCCATTGGATTCTTCGCGATATATTTCCCCACGCTTTGCTGCAGTTTTGCCAAACCAAATTTCCGAGCGAACGCATAGTAGCGCATGGCGTTGCTTTCATCAACGCCACCCATCATTCGACATTCACATGCCGCGCACAGCTCTTTCATCTCAAACTTCTCCGCCAGCATCCACAACTCCTCCAGTCTCCCATCGGCGGTGTGCAGCAAATCCCGTGTATAAGCAAACCGGACAAGAATTTCCACCAATCCCCCATCAGCCTCCACAGCGCCCAACAGACCCGCGCCTTTATCGTTCTTGTGGTTCTGTAGTAGTTCGGTCAGCATCGGCGACTGTACGGCCAAGATGGCGCGATGCACTGGAAACTTGCGGCCATCCGTAGAAACCAGCGTACAATCGGTCATTAAGCCGGAATCAAGCAGACGCTGCAGATCGTTGCGCTCGTGCTGCTGGACGCGAAAAGTCAGTTTGACGTGGACGGATCCGTCCATTAATGCCGGGTACGGGCGACTGACGCCTTGCTCATCGACAGCTGTTTTACAGCACACCAGGTGTGCTAGTTTGATTTCGTCCAGAACAGCTGCAGAATACGCCCATCCAGTCGGTCCAATGGTGATAGTGGTGCAGGTGGACGGGTCGTTTTCGGTAGCACTGCACCGTCACACAAAACATTAGGCACCATACCATCTCAACACACTACAACTGTAAGCATTGAAGCTGCTAAACGTCAAAAAATAGCCACCAGTGCATCGTTTAAATGCAGGTATTGATTTTCTGGGTAACAGGAAGAGAAAATGGTATGAACTGATAGGCCATCGCGTTCGGTTCGATTCACTAAAACTGGTGCGACTGACAAGCTTAACTCTGTTCGATCTGCGCTTGCAGTTTATGCGCAATGAATCATCTTTCGCAGGCTGTTTATCGATTTAATTACGAAATTTGATTCTACGGACCAGAAAATTTTTTTAACTCTCACATTAGATTTCTGTAAAAACAGTATGGTCACTAAAGCGAATGCTGCATTCGGTTCGGTTGGAAAGAGATCGGTACAATAAATGGTTTATTTGAACTGCTCGCTTAATTTTCAAGAATCTTACCAAACTTTTCCTTCCACCACGATTTCAGCAGGGCTGTTCAGTTCATTGTAATCATCCTTGGGGGTCACTTTGGCCCGTGGGGCGTATCCATCACTAAACAGCATATGCGGATGATTGGTAGCATACTCGGTGGGAACTTCCACGGTGACGGTCCACGCTGACTGGGGAATCTCCGGATAGTCCCACTGTTTCTCCACCAGAAAGTCTGCTGCGAACACCCAATGGCTCCGTCCGTAGGCAGTGTCGTTGGGCGACCGACCTCCCACAAACTGGGCCGTGGGAATCTGATAGGCAAAGGTGACGCTCCGTGTACGGTTACTGTACAGCGCCGACTTTGTAGGAATAGTGCATGGTTGCTTGGGTTTGTCACGGCTAACTGTAAAGCGCTGCAGCCACGACATGATAGAATGTTAGAACAACTGCAGTAAATAAAAAGCAAGGTGCACAATTTCTACTTTAAGAGTAAAGAAGCCGAGGATTTCACAAGGCACGCTGCGGAATACGAGTAGCGCTATGTCTTTGACAACCCAGTTGACTACTGAGCATTGCGATCTGCAAGGAATGCTACTCTACTACAGCCGGTTACAAGTTAGACTAGTGCAAGGTCATATCTGTTCAGTGGTGAAATTGTACTGGTATTAGGTTCACTATGTGTCGCCCATTAATGCTCGTACATGTGGGCTCTTATAATTCAATTCCCAACGCTTCACCGATGCAACCACTAACACGGTTAATTCGTATTGTAAAACATCTCTCACCTCTCTCCGATCAATAAACAACCGAATGAATTCACGCTGTCACGACGTCGGGCATCCTCTGAAATCTGACTCACCACCGCTAGTGGAATCGATTATTATCCGATTAGGGAAAAATGAGTCATTTTTAATGACAAAAATTTATGACCGCTAGCAACTTCCTGTTTTTTTATACAGACTGCAGCTCCTGCAGCCGATGTTGGCGTGCTAACATGAAATCACTCTTGGTTAATTCATGCGACCATCGTTGTCTTAATACGTACGCTTAACACCGTAACGCTGTCATCTCGTATCGATGTACCGCCACTTCCAACTGTCTTCCGCCCGCGCCGTGCGCTAGCTAGGTCTTATAAAACAGAAAACTTGGACCTGGATTACTTGAACTGGACTGCTGAACTCAGTTTTGGACTATTTAAAATTGGAATTAAGGTTTGTAGTGTATCCAAAAGCTTCGTAGTTTCATGCTTTATTAGTATCTTAGTTTATCGCGCCAATGGGGCATGCATCGTGTACAAGAATGACGCACACGCGCATTGTGGTGGAATCGATCCTAGTGCGGTTTAAAGGTCACCAGCGCAGGATCGACAAATTTTTTAAAAAGAAAATAGCGTATCGGAAATTCCAGTCATCGGCATCGATGCGCGAGACAATGAGCGGGTTTACCGCCTCAAAATTTAGCTGTATAGGGCAGACATCCGCAAGACCTGGCAGACTGTTTTATTATCGTTATCCTTAAAACTGCATTAATGCTAAGAAAATCGAATCACATTAATCTCTTAATGAAATGGAATGTTTTGCCCAATGGTCTTACCGGAAATTCCGAAATAAACCCTCTGGGTCTTTAATTTTTCGAGAGCTTCGAGAGGGAGTGCGTTTAAAACCGTAGGCACTTTTTAATATTTTAAAATGAATAACGCCCTCATGATACTCGTACAAGCTTGTCCGGTAATTCTGACGAATTAATACAGCGAATTTTACAAATTCACGTGTTACGCCAAATTCCATACTACGGCGCGCCACATTGTTCAAGCACGTAAGTTGCATTTGACTGGCTGGTGACTTGGTGCACGTTACTACATATTTTAATGACAATAATCGCAACTGCCTGGCGGAAGGTAGCTAGAAAGCGGTCTGTGCAGTAGGGGACAATCTAGCTGCAGAGCGCATTTAGGTAATGCGATGAACGTAGTGACGTGGCCATCGTATTAAGAGCAAATTTCGCGCTTGTTGTACCTTATACGTATGTACGTATGAAATTACCGGACAAGCTTGTACTGAGTTGTACTGTACCATGTATAAACAGTAATATTATTAATAATCAACCAGTAATAATAATAATGAACCAGCACGGAGAAGCCATGGATAAAAATGTGATCATAATTGTTAATCTTGTAAATACAGGAAATCCTTAGACTACAAGCGGCGAAGTTGAAATTTTTTTGTTTGTCATAAAACAGGGTCACAGCGCAGCAGTCCGCACTTGCAATTTGTTAATTTAATGAATGTTTCCTGAGAAGTTTAGCATAGAGACGCAGGCTACATTAACTGTAAAAGGTAGGAGAAATTCCAAGACAAACAACAGCAGCTAGAGGAGCTTTAATTCTAAATAAATGCAAAACACTCAAGATCCACCTTGGAGATCCCGACCCAAACGCTGCTTCGCTTGTGTACTTCAAACAGCCATTGGATTTTTGCCAATGTAATGCCCAACATTTTGCTGCAGTCTCACCAAACCGTGCTCGCGAGCGAAATTAAAATAACGTACTTTCCAGAAAAAGGGCGGTACTGCGCAAGTAAGCTCATGACGTAAAAAACAAACAAAAAAATTAAAATTTGGGTAGATGAATTTTGCAGACTGTAAAGCCGGAAAGAGCCCCCACAAATAATACGAGTACCCATATTGATATGACTGGTTGTATATAGGTAGAAGCACGCTAAAGTGTTATACAGTATCACCAAAAGGTCAGCATAGAATAGCGGTAAAGCATTTGCGACGGAGTATTCTACAGCAGTGTTAAACACCCATCGGATCCTTGCCGATATATGTTCCGGCGCTTTGCTGCAGTTTCGCCAAGCCAAACTCCCGAGAAAAAATGTAATAGCGCATTGCGTTGCCCTTATCGACGCCAGATATCAGACGGCATTCACACGCGGCGCACAATTCTTGCATTCCAAACTTCTTTGCCAGCATCCACAAGTCTTCCAGTCGCCCATCGGCCGTGTGCTGTAACTCCCGCGTATACGCAAAGCCGATGAGTGTTTTCAGCAGTTTCCCATCCGCATCCACAACGGCGAGCTGACCTGCGGTTTTATCGAGCTCGTGGCTCTGCAGTAATTCGGACAGCACCGGTGACTGTACGGCCAAGATTGCGCGATGCACTGGAAACTTACGGCCATCCGTAGAAACCAGCGTGCAGTCTGTCATCAAACCGGAATCCAGTAGACGCTGCAGATCGTGGCGCTCGTGCTGCTGAATGTGGAAGGTCAGCCACACGTAGACGTATCCCTCGATCAAAGCCGGGATTTTCCGTGGGTGACCGTGTTTATCGACAGCCGTTTTACAGCACATCAAATGGCCCAGCTTCAGCTCAACACCGAATTTACGAGAGCGGGTCCATCCAGATGGTCCGATGACGACGGTGGTACAAGCGGATGGATCAGTGTCGGATGCCCTAGATTTACCAGAGCAACTTTAGAACTGAGCACGTGTTTTATCGCGTACCAAACCAAGAATGCAGCATTTTTCTAAAATCTTAAAGCGGATTTCCAAAAAAATTAAATTGAATTTTTAGATGAACGGACTTTGGTTGGGTGAGAACACGGTCTACCTGTACGTAATTACATAGATGCGTATGCGTGGGAAATTTGAAGAAGATCGGCCCTTCATGAAACGTTTTGCGTACACGTTAATGCGCTTAAACGTTTTTAGGTTTTGTATAGATTTTGTATAACTTTCCAGTGAGATGTTTGATACTGATTTTATAATGGCTATGGCTATTTTGCCGCAGTATAACAATGGGGGTCTGAATAGCAAAATAGCCACTTCGTTTTATAATTATACCCCAAAAACGGTTTTGATGCTGATGTATGCAAATTCTTTGACTACAAAATATCGGATAAAAGGGCAAAAAAGTATTATGGAGTGCGCGAAATTAAAATTTTCTTGTACCGGGTAGCTTTACTTAATATTACAGGGAAGCTATTAATGCGCGGTCTTTGTGTAGCAACATGGAATCGTCAACGGAAGCGGCTTGTTGTTTGTGTCCGTGCATCGCAAAAGATATCAGCACCGTACATTGCACTGCAAAATTGAATTTTACGATTTTTGGATAACGGGAAAGACATAAAGGAAATGACGTGACAAAGTCTCCACATTCAGGATTGTTTGTCAGAACCTGCTGCGGAAGCGCACTTCTACAAGCAGTCTTGAAGCGCTTTGAACTTTCTGGCGTTCTATCTAACCTGATAACTGGCGTAGATTACTGCTGCGTGCGCAATATGCGGTGATGATAATATCAGCGAAGAAAAAATAAAATTAAGAAAAGTTCATTTACGAACCGGTATACAGAGTATGTACCAAAAATCTCGATCTGCCTTTGCGTAAGCGCACGAGGATGGTTTTTTACCATAAACCAACCAACGCACGAGGTTGTTTTATGATAGGATGGTTTCTGCGTAAGCGCACGAGGACGCACGAGATGAAACAAAATTAACCAGATTTTAAATTTCAAAAGTCGAGGGTCGATTACTGTGTACACTGGTTTGAAATTCGAACATTGACTATTTTGATAAACTAATAAATTCTAATTAAAACACTAACTTAGAACCGAGAAAAAACAGAATCAAATTGACTTAGCAAACGACAGCGGAAGGATTCCGGAAGCCGAACGAGAAATCTTTACATTTCACGGATAAAATCGAACAATTTTCAAAAAAATAACTTAAAGTAAATATTTGCTATTTATTAATTATTAATGTTAATTATTGTTATATTTGTTTATTATTTGTTATTATTATTTGCAACTTTTGATTAACTTCGAAAATAGTTTTACCTAACTTTTCCTTCCACCAAAATTTCGCCAGAGCCAGTCAGTCCGCCGAAACCTTTCTTGGGAACCACCTTGGCTCGTGGGGCGTACTTATCGTCGAACAGCAAATGGGGATGCCCCGTTACAGTATCTTGGTTAACGTCCAGGCTGACGGTCCACTCGGACTGGGGAATCTCCGGATAGTCCCACTGCTTCTCCACCGTAAGGTTTGCTGAGAAAATCCAATAGTACCGTCCATCGCCATCCAAATAGCGGAACCGCTTGCCCACAAACTGTGCCGTGGGGATCTGATAGGCAAACGTGACGCTTCTTTTGCGGTTGCTGTACAGCGTCGCCTTTGGAGTGGTGTTTGAAGAGGCTTTGCTAGATTTGACTAGGCCAAAGCGTTTGAGATTCAGCCACGGCATGATGGAATATTAGAACAATTACAACAACTGTAAAAGAAAGAGTATTTACTTGAAAACAGATCGGAAAACTTCTTGTAACACGAGGAAGAGAACCGAAATGTCACAATGTTAGCCGTTCAATAAGATTACATACGGTCACGTCGATACCGTTGAGCAAACTCACAGTTAACCACCTGCCTACTAAGACCAGCCCGGAACGTTGCTTGACTTTAAACGGTTGGAAAGTAGAATTGTGCTAAAGCGTGATATTAATTGTACGGTTTTTACAGTATAAAAACCATATAAGTACATGGGTGTATGATCTTTATCTTTCTGATTTCATTGGTACTGACAGCTCGCAGATCGTCTGTGGAAGTACATGGCAAGTTGAGTCCACAATACAGTACTTCTGTACTCACGTCTAACTTCCAACAATATCTGCAGAACCCGACTTGAGAAGTCCTTATGACTCCTGCATAGGGGCAGGATAATGTTTATGGTGTCGAAAAGTCGGAAGTACTTCGAATTAATGTTACTTAATATGAACTTTGAAATCTGAGTCAAAGCCAGTGAATGGGTGGACGCAGGAGGCTACCACGGCTTGAGCTGTAAGAAAAGTCGGGGCCGGAAGCCAAGACACAGCAGCTTAAACGCCACGCTCAAACGAGCCTTCGCCTCAGCCACCATTGAGACTGAACTCGAGCCTTTGAGTATATCGCGAACCAACGGCAAACGCCCAGACGGAGTCACCTTAGTGCCATGGGAACGTATATCAGCAGCGGCACAGGCCGAACGGAAGAAAACTGGGAAGTACCAGAACATCACGCAGGACTACCTGTCCCGTGCGGTGGGCGTTGAGACACTGGAACCACTCGGACCGGGAGCATCCCAGCTAATCACTGAAGTGGGCAAGATGATTCGTCAGGAAACAGGCGAGGTACGTGCAACGGAATACCTGCGCCAGAGGTTCAGCATCGAAGTCCAACGGCGAAACGCGGCATCCATCCTGGGAACGGCACCAGCCACGCTGATTTAGATCAAATGTTCCATGTAATCCGGCCGCCTGTTTCCGCTGTTTGTTGTAAATTCGTAATGTAATGTTTCTTTTGTGGATGTCAGATTACTTTGTATTCGCTCATCAATAAATACTCCTTGTCAAAGCCAGTAGAATCGACAAGACTGGTACTAGTGCGTTCGTATCAGTTTATAGCACGAAACTTGTCAAAGACCTGCAGATATTTTGTTATGCACACTTGACAGTAAACCGTTGAACATTCGCAAAATATTATGGATCAGTTGTGCTTCCAAAAGGGTCAACTTTTAGAATAATTCAGTCTAATCAAATTTTTAATTATGGTGTTCTTAATGCTTGGTCAATTAGAAACCTAATTTTAAGATACTTTTAGAACAAACAAGACATTTTTGTAAAACACAGATACCTATGGACGATTAGATTTATTTTTATTTTATGGACGATTAGATTTACGTTAGATTTTGTTAGGCTTGTTTTTTACCTTTATCCGAAGTATCGCGCCGCATCTCACGGGCTCCTCCACGAAGGTTACTGTGCAGAGACTGTGGGATACGCTATATGATCACATTAATCGTAACAATATTCGCAATACGTGTTGAATACTAAAATGATGTTTGCATGCGTATCACCTTCGAAAGCCACAGTATCCCACACTTTACTGTCGAATATCTTTCAATTATCCGGATAATTTTTTGGAATACATTCAGGATGCATAAAGGATGCTGCAGGGATAAGGTGGGATACGACAGCAGTCACAGCAGTGAAAAAAGTGGAGAATTCGGAGGACACACAAATGATGCGGAGGATTCGGCGGGATACGGTGGATACTGGTAAAAGCATGTGCCCGGAAAAATTTAACGTGCACTAACCGTGCCACTGGTGCAGATCAAAGTAAAACAAACTGCTGGATTGTGCAGAAACAGGATGGCTGCTTGGCGTCGCCACCATGGTAGTGGCACCGGTAAGATTTTCAGTCAATTCATCAACGATTTTACAGGTTATATTAACTACATTTATATTTTAACTGTATTATAACAATTCAACTTCGAACTGGAAATTTTTCGAGCAGATATGATTTGTGCAACGGCCACTCGAGTTCTGGCGCAAAGAGAAAACAGGTTGCTCCACACTGCAAGTGCTCCACTACGTAGAGACTGGGGCATGAAAAGTGGGCATGCCGTCGTACGCTTTACAGCACGACGTGGTTGCTCGGTGCTAGATTAGAGATTTGCAGTTGACATCAAGTATTAATATGTGACATTTTTGTGCCATTTTGTTTGTTTGACAAATACTTGGTGCATGTATATATCGTCCAGCATTTTTGGTAAAGCAGTGGATTACAGGAGTCAGAGTTAACAGTCAAAGAAAAAGCAGCCATAATACGACAAAAATGGAAAAGCACCAATGGTGCAGTGCATGCAAGAAGAAAGTGAACCATGTCGCTTCAAAAAATGAGTGTAGTTTTTCACACTGCCATTGGATTCTTGCCAATGTACGTCCCGACCATTCGCTGCAGTTTCACCAAACCGTGCTCACGAGCGAAAGCAAAGTAGCGCAGGGCATTCGTCTGGTCGAAGATGCTTATCATGCGGGATTCACAAGCCGCCGACAGCTCTTTCATGCCAAACTCCTTGGCAGTCTTCCACAGCTCTTCCAATTTTCCGTTGGCGTTATGCGATAGTTCCCGTGTGTATGCAAAATTCAGCAGAATACTTAGCAATTCTCCACTGATGTCCGGGATGCTCCCCACACCTTTCGCTTCCGTTTTAATGTCTGGCCACAACCCAGCAAACACCGGCGACTGTGCAGCTAAGATGTCCCGATGCACAGGAAACGTCTGATCATCAGTGGAAACCAGTGTGGAGTCTGCCAGAGCTTTTGACTCCCAGAGATGTTTCAGGTCGCTGCGCACGTACCGGCCGACGTGAAAGGTCAGTATGACGTAGATATTTCCCTCCAGAAGAGCCGGGTACTTGTGGCTGTAGTTACCCTCGCGATCGGGCCTAAATTTACAGCACAGTAAATCGGTCAACTTGACATCGTCTTTTGGGGCTGAGGAATGAGCCCATCCATCGGGCCCAATTGAGATCACGCTACAGCCGGTTGTATACCTATTGGACACTCTACGAAAAAGTAGACTTTCAGATAAAATGCGCTGTAACCAACTTACCAGGATTTGCCGGCCTAACTGAACTGCAGAATTTGTTATGCGGAATAAGCCGTGTTACATAAGCAAGCACTATACGAGTACAGTTGCCGCGAACAAGAAAAAAATTACTTGGAAATAATTATTTGCCTTTGCAAACTTTTTGACTTTATTATCTGCACTTCGTACAAATACATCAGTTCGCATTACATCATGATAATTCGAAATGGCCATAAAAAAATCTCTTCGGCAGTACGCGGTAAGAAAGTTACGTACATCCCGAGCCTGATCCGAAACCAACATGTACCGATATAAGGAGAAGTCAGTGGCGAATGTTATACATGTACCTGGTACCTCAGCCCTGTGGTTCCCCAGACACCACCCACCAGGAGTTTCGCGTCATGGCTGCAGAATGTGCAAATGACATCTATATGACTTAGTGGTTGAAAGATTGGAGCAGTACAGGTAGGTGCATATCTATATACTGTGCCACGAATCTCCCTTGGAGTACAAAGTAATTATAGTAGAGCATTGCCGCTCTGCAGTTTGCGGTAACGCAAGTTGGCAGCTGCACTCGTTTATGTGATGATACAGTAGTAATTATTATGCCGAATAATTTTCTCATAATCATACAATTCCTTCTGCGTTACTGTCTTATACACTGCAGAGCGACAACGAACACAATCATAGATATTACGACGCGACGTCGCGAACCGTGCAGACCGGTTTGCCGATGCATTAATTTTCGTTTGGATTAGCCGAGGTGTGAAGGGGATCATACATTATGCAGTATGCATCATTAACATGCTTACCTGATTTCTCCCACCACCACTATACTGTACGGACTGGTCAGGCTTTTGCAGTCCTCAGAGGGTGTAATCTTCATTATGGGCTTCATTCCAGAGTAACCTCCATGTTCGTTCCAGCAGTTCTCCACACAAATACTGACAGTCCACTGGGATTGGGGAATCTCTGGATAGTCCCACTGCTTCTCCACAGGGATTTCGTAAGAGTATTTCCAACGGTCATGCGGTCCATCATCAAGATCGTACACCTTCTTGCCCACAAATTTCTCCGTGGAAATTTGGTATCCAAGAGATACGCCCACCAGCCGACGATCGGGCAAAAGAGATTTCTTGTTCTTCTGGGCTTTTTGTGGTTCCGGACTGCCTTTCATTGCCCATGAAATACACGGAAGAATGAGCCGATCAAAAATTATCGCGAAGACGAAGGTTAATAAATAAAATACAGGACCAGCTCCAGTCCATGGTTGAGGAAGCACAACTGGCACAAGTACAACAAGCATCCAATGTTAAATTAAACGGTACCCGCCACACATTCGACGCAAACTGAACAGCAGAAAAATAATAGCGCCAATACGTTATTTAATATTTTAGTCAGTTGAATCAAGGCAGTACTCTACTCTGTAGCAGGGGTTCTGTATACTGTAAGTAGGTATACAGGAAATTAGAAAGACCCTTGAGTACATACAGTCTGCATGGCAGAATGTGCATGGCAGAATGGCAGAATGTGTGCCGATAGATCGATAAAATACAGCATGCCAGTGATCCGCTTGCGCTAGTACTCGTACTGCGTACAGACTCTACTTTCTATACCGTCGCTTCTTTATAATTATTATTAATTTTTGGTCTCATTGTGCCGGCTCTGTTTATTAAAAGCCTCTAACATGCACCGTTTGGACCGAAGCAAGCTGAACAACGGAATGATGAGACAGACAGAATTCTTGGCATCTACACAGCAAAGTGCAAGCACAACCATAAAGAAATATAACTCAGTTATCCTATATATCCTATATATTAAAGCAGAGCCGTGATTCCGGAACGCTCCTGCCTCCAAAACGTTCTGATTGGCCAGAACCAACCTTACTTTCTGATTGGCCGGAACCCGCCTAGCTACTTTTAAGCTTTTGCAGCCCCTTAAACCTGTGCTGTTACGCCCTTATTTTTACTAAGCTTCCGAAATTTGGTGCCTTTACCTGTAAAACCTTTGCTCGATAAACCGAATCCCACATTTAGCTTTATTCCTTACTAAACTTCAAGACCTTAGTGCTTTAACAAACCTGATAACTTTAATTACCTTAACAAACTTTGGGGCACCCACCCTTTAAGCCTTCGGTCACCGAAGGCCACGCGTGCGGTACCTGCTTTATTGAGCCTTTGGTAACCAAAGGCTTCTTAAGGCTTTGGACACCGAGGGCCATGCGTGCGGTACCCGCCTTTATAAGCCTTTGGTCACCGAAGGCCACGCGTGCGGTACCTGCTTTATTGAGCCTTTGGTAACCAAAGGCTTCTTAAGGCTTTGGACACCGAGGGCCATGCGTGCGGTACCCGCCTTTATAAGCCTTTGGTCACCGAAGGGCACGCGTGCGGTACCCGCCTTTTTAAGAATTTGGTCACCGAAGGCCTTTAGTAACCAAAAGCTTTTTAAGCCTTTGGACACCGAAGGCCTTTGGTCACCGAAGGCCACGCGTGCGGTACCCGCCTTTTTGAGGCTTTGGTCACCGAAGGCCACGCGTGCGGTACCCGCCTTTTCGAGTTTTTGGTCACCGAAGGCCACGCGTGCGGCACCCGCCTTTTTGAGCCTTTGGTCACCGAAGGCCACGCGTGCGGTACCCGCCTTTTCGAGTTTTTGGTCACCGAAGGCCACGCGTGCGGTACCCGCCTTTTTGAGGTTTTTTGGTCACCGAAGGCCACGCGTGCGGTACCCGCCTTTTGAGCCTTTGGTCACCGAAGGCCACGCGTGCGATACCCGCCTTTTTGAGCCTTTGGTCACCGAAGGCCACGCGTGCGGTACCCGCCTTTTTGAGCCTTTGGTCACCGAAGGCCACGCGTGCGGTACCCCCCTTTTTAAGCCTTCGGTCACCGAAGGCCACGCGTGCGGTACCCGCACTTTTAAGCTTTTGATCACCGAAGGCCACGCGTGCGATACCCGCCTTTTTGAGTTTTTGGTCACCGAAAGCCACGCGTGCGGTACCCGCCTTTTTGAGCCTTTGGTCACCGAAGGCCACGCGTTCGGTACCCCCCTTTTTAAGCCTTCGGTCACCGAAGGCCACGCGTGCGGTACCCGCACTTTTAAGCTTTTGATCACCGAAGGCCACGCGTGCGGTACTCGCTCTTCTAAACATTTGGTAACCGAAGGTTACGCAATATTTGTCCACGCTTTTAAGCGTTTTGTAAAAGCAGAATTTCGGTTTAACCTGTTTCTAGATACATTAACTGTATTCCCTTTTCAATAAGACTTATTTAGCATATAAAACCGTTTCACTTCGATTCGTTTATCAAAAAGAGCCCAGCCGACAAGAACCGCCTTTGCACTGCAGCGCGGCGCGTAAGCGCCGCGCGCTGTGCTTGTATTTCATTATGGCACAACTCTAGGGTAGGGAAGGCGCTACCGCATTCGTGCTGAACAGGGAGGGAGGAACATAGAGAGTATTGTAATGGTCTCTGTCTCAGCCTGGCCAGTGGCTATCATAAAAATGAGTTTGTCTGACCAGTTGGCTGATCTGCTATCCACAATCCACATCAGTGCGAGTAATCTTTTGTTTTACTGAGCCATCAAAGTAATAAAATCGACGCACTGGTTAGTGAAATCTGTGGTTAAATGGCAGGAAACTGAGGAAACACCGAATGACTGCAGATTCTATCTGTTGTGTGCTTAGAAAGGGGCAATCGGCTGTCTGTGTAGTACAGTCACAGTAAACTGGAGTCTTGGGTGGTTCAGTAGCCCGTTATTTTTTTCCCAAATGGAATAATAAATAACGCCGAAATTTAGTCAGCCGTCACTAAATTGATTTCGAAACAACCGCGTTGCGCATTTCGATATTTTTTGCAGCAGTATAAAACAGACCATGGTTTTTGAGACCTTTATTATTATGATAATTGGTGTTATTTTCGCAGTGGCTTCTGTTGGAATTGTGGCAGCGATCCTCCACGTCCAGGCAGTGATAATGGAAAAGTTGCTCACTCGTCCACCCGTGCCGTCCGTTCCTCGATCAAATCAGCAAAGGAAGCTCAGCGTTACCCTGAAATATCAAATTCCGGCTACCCAATTTGTCCGCACTACGGAAACTAACAGGAGGGAAAGCCATGTATCCCATTACGTAGCGGACACTGCCGTAAAGAAACAGCAGGACTACCCGGAAATATCGGCGCCGGTGTGGTGTTAAGAGTATAAATCATTCAACCAAGTCTACAACGCCCTAAAATTGTTAATGCCGGTCGTGCAATAACGTTCTAAGCGCTATTTACATTATTTTGTTGCCAGTTTGCCACCACCCTAATGTTCAATAACGCTCTAATTCTTATTTTGTGTTCCTAATTATGTTGATTTCACCTTATGTCCCTAATGCTTAATCGACCATAGAGTATTAAACAGCACTGCGATGCTGCTAAATTGCACTCTGTTCATTTGGGCTTTTCATCAATAAAATGTTGCCACTGGCTGCAGTTTTGTTCCAAGTACATATAGTGAGTGTTCGGAATTAGTGTCATCTCCCCTACTACCCACCATACCGGATAGTTCAATGCATAGCCACATTATACTCGTAGAGACCTTCAAGTGGCCACCTATGTTAAGTCAATGGGCGACATACCTTCAAGTGGCCAGGCTGCAGTTATTTGGCCCCAGAACCGATTTTCTTCCAGTTTTTTGGTATAGCATGTTCAGCACAACTTGCTCTATACAAAATACTTGAAAATTTTGGAATCGGTTGAACCGTTTTTAAGTTATTTACGTTGTAAAAAAACTTAACATAGGTGGCCACTTGAAGGTCTCTGCGGGTACTCGTTACAGTGGACGAAAAGCGAAAAAATGGTGAATATACAGTGCATTACAGACAGAATACAAGTGGCATGCAGAATCAGAATGCGTGGAATACGGTGATCAAAAAGGTGGACCAATTTGTACAAAGGGGCATACTCTATCGACTTGCGTTGTCGCGGTTGTGCATGTGAAACTAATGCGAAGAACAGGACACTGCATCTTGAGTAGAGTAGGATCTAAAGCCGAAACCGCATAGCACCACAATGCCAAGAAAGAAAGCAAAAATAAGCAAAAGAAAGTGCGCTAAGATCGATCGTATCCAGCGCAAAAACGCAATAAAAAGCCTTTGCGACGCCGTCCGTCTGTTAAACGCCCATCGGATTCTTGCCATTATATCTGCCCACGCTTTGCTGCAGTTTCGTCAAGCTAAATTTCCGAGCGAACGCGTGGTAGTTCACCGCATTCCCCTCATCGACGCTACCCATCATGCGGCATTCACAGGCAACGCACAGCTCTTTCATCTCAAACTTCTCCGCCAGCATCCACAACTCCTCCAGTCTTTCATCGGCCGTGTGCAACAACTCTCGTGAATACGCAAACCGCACAAGGATTTCTAGCAATCCCCCATCAACATCCATGGCGACCAGAAGACCAGCGGCTTTCTCGTTTTTGTTGTTTTTTAGCAAGTCCGTCAACACCGGTGACTGTACAGCCAAGATGGCACGATGCGCTAGAAAGTGGCGGCCATCCGTGGAAACCAGAGCACAGTCTGTCATATAGCCGGAATCCAGTAGATGCTGCATATCGTTGCGCTCATGCTGCTGGACGTGAAAGGTTAGTTTCACATGGATGAACCCGTCCATCAGCGCCGGGTACTGATGACAAACACCTTGATCATCGACAGCTGCCTTACAGTACACCAGATTAGCCAGTTTGGTCTCGTCCAAAGCAGCTGCAGAATACGCCCATCCAGTCGGTCTGATGATGATGGTGGTACAGGTGGACGGATCGTTTTCGGTTGCACTGCAGCCACAAAATTAATTAACCACCATACTAGCATTCAACGCATTATTTTGACTTCAAATAAGCAAAAAAGCGGCGCGCTTTACATGACTGAGAAGCCAACGAAGCGACGTCTAAAGGTTGCTCTTTATTACTGATTTATTTATATAGTAACAGGAAAACTCGGGGGAGGTATGAGCTGATAGTTGTCTTCGTATCCAGCTGGCAAACTCTGATGCGATAGCGGCGTCCTGTAACAATTGCTTAAGCGACTTCAATTAAACACAAATAGGAAAATCGATCACTGTCTGCCCGTCTGCCTGTATTACGGGAAGGAAATTACTTCTTTATTACGTCATTACTTAATTATCGAGTTCGGTACTGTAACTTCCTTCAGAGTTAAGGAGTCATTATTGCAAAATAGTGTTGTAAAATCCCAACAAATTATTGATGTTACCTATTTTGTGCTGTGGTTTTTTTATGCCTGCTAATTTCTACCGACGTATTTATTTTTAAAAAGCACCGGCAGCTTTCCTCCGGTTTAACACCAGACAAACCGACGCACTTTTCTAGTTGCTAAATTTGTTTAACCGTAGACGGGCTTTCCGATTCTGTTGTCTTTTACTCATACTACATTTTTAACTTATTGGTAAAACTGCTTTGCGTACACACGATTCGGTAGGGAAGATAATGAACTGAAAAATGCCAAAATATTCGATTGCTCTGTGCTCGGTGATTACCAAGCTTCTTACCTAACCCTCCCTTCCACCACAATTTCACCAAGGCTGGTAAGTCCATTGTAATCAACCTTGGGAGTAACCTGGACTCTTGGGGCGTAATCTTCATTCAACAGCATAATGGGACGATCAACAGCCATGTCGGTGTTCACTTCCATGCTGACGGTCCAAGTTGACTGTGGAATCTCTGGATAGTCCCATTGTTTTTCCACCAGCACGTCCGCCGAGAAAATCCAACAGCCCTTTCCACGACCATTGCCGTTGGATGACCGTGTGCCCACAAATTGCGCTGTGGGAATCTGATAAGAAAACGTGACGCTGCGAGTACGGCTGATGTACAGAGCCAAATTTGGATGGTCCATGGATGACTGCTTGGGCTTGTTGTCACGGCTAATGCGTTGTAGCCACGATTCGACAAAACCTTAAAACAACTGTGACAAACAAAAAGGAAGTTGCAAATCTCTGCTGTAAAAGTATAGAACCCGATTATTTCACAAGGCCAACTGCAAGGTATTTAATACGAGTAGCCGGGAGCGCCATGTGGGTGCCATTGAAAACACAACTTACGGCTGCCATATATCGGGGATGTTGCTCTACTTTATACGGCTGGAAATTAGATCAAGTAGTGCTACGGAGAAAACGCTAAGTATAGGTATTTATTAGGTACATTAGTGTGTCGTATCGTATATTATTGCTCGTTAGTGTACGCTCTTATGCCTAATTTGAAACGTTTAGCCGTTGCAACCATACACTCTTAATTAATTTAGGTTGTCACGTTTCGAATACACTCCAGAATCTGAATCACTGCCAGTAGAATCGACTATTATCAAACCAGTGAAAATTGATAATTATTGAGGACTTATCTTGTTAATGTAGCGGCTTGCCCGCCGTCGAGCATAAGTAATACCAGTTACCAAACGAGGATGAACTGAAGTTACACAAAAGCTACCAATGTTTCGGAAAAATCATGCACGTACGAATAAAATAATTTGATAACATGTAGTACAGATAATAATCAAGTCGGGCTTAATCCATGATTTGCAAACTTTCCGCAACACTATTTCATGTACGAGTACATTGAAATTGGGACCAAGGCACCACTGCGACCCTATTACAGCGTCATTCAACAGTGTGATATTACTGTATATGTGGAATTTCTAGATTTATTGAATCTTGCTAGATCGTAACCGACCGCAGAAACTCAAGTAATACAACTGACAGAACCATACGTTGCTAAGTACACTACAAACAGTATGGCGAAATTGCCAATAACCTTAAACCTCTAAACGCAGCACTAAATTCTGCAATGAAAGAAGCCATTACTGGAGATGAATGCGCGGTACTGCACATATGTATACTGATAAAAATATTACAGAAGCAGGGACGCTGCAATTTTTCCTGCCGAAAATAGCCGTTAAAAGTCGTCAGTATTACAACTGCAGAAGCTGAGACGTGCGTATATGCTAACACAATTATTAATTAGGATGTAAAACCGATACATAAAGCATTTACGACACAGGAGCAATGTTAAACACCCATTGGATTCTTGCCGATATATTTTCCCACGATCTGCTGCAGTTTCACCAAGCCAAATTTCCGAGCGAACGCGTAGTAGCGCATCGCGTTCCCTCCATCAACGCCATCCATCATTCGACACTCACATGCCGCGCACAACTCTTTCATCTCAAACTTCTCCGCCAGCATCCACAATTCTTCCAGTTTTCCATCGGCCGTGTGCAGTAACTCCCGTGTGTACGCAAACCGGACAAGAATTTCCACCAACCCCCCATCAGCGTCCATAGCGACGAACAAGCCACCGATTTTCTCATTCTTGCGGTTCTGCAGCATTTCCGTCAGCATCGGCGACTGTACTGCCAGGATGGCGCGATGCGCTGGAAACTTCCGGCCATCCGTAGCAACCAGTGTACAGTCTGTCATTAAACCAGAATTCAGTAGACGCTGCAGATCATGGCGCTCGTGCTGCTGGACGTGAAAGGTCAGTCTGACATAGATGGTCCCGTCCATTAAAGCCGGATACTGACGACTGACACCTTTTTCATCGACAACTGCTTTGCAGCAGAATAAATGCGCCAGTTCGATGTCCTCCTTAACAGCGGCCGAATGCTTCCATCCATCCGGTCCGATGGCGATGGTAGTGCAGGTGGACGGATCGCTTTCGGTTGCACTACGGTAAAACAGATAGCTAGAAGAGTCTCGCAGATTCTAAGCGTTTATTAGCGCTAGTTCCAATGCGTTTAAATCGCACATGGTAATGTCCCAGTGCAATGCAGTGTAACATCTTGCTCAACAGGTTCTGCGCAGAGTGAACGAAAGTTTCCGTGCGCATGGTGGCAGATTCATGTAAATCTGCTGCGAAAGCACGCGCTTCCAAACTGTGTTTAAATACACTTTTTACTTTTTTAAAATCGATATCATCGGATGATTGGCTTAGATTGACACTTATTTTTGGTGCAGTACAGTTTGTATGCGCAATCTCTGGTTGTGAAGAATAAATTTTAAAGTCTGTTTTGTGCCGATTTGTGTTTGTACTTTGTAATGGTTTAACATGGATCAGTTATGATTTTGTTATAATAAAGTCATAACAAAATAATTTTAAACGAAGAAAATACGAAGGAAGACATAAAGCAGACTTCGCGAAAGGCAGCTGATAAAATGTTAAAACCGACGAGAAATATTTTTTTAACCATTTAACGCCTAAATGTAAGGCTTTAGAATTTCTGAAGAAATTATGCAAAAAATAATGATATTGTTCAAGTTTCAAGCTCGATTTCAAATAATTTCAGGAAAGACTCATTACTGTATGAATTTCAGCCGTATGTGTAGTTGTAATTTCGAAAAATTTTTCAAATTAAAATGGCATTAGGCGCTGTCGCAACTTTCGGCAAACTCTGGACAGTTTCTTACCTAACTTTCCCTTCCACCACAATTTCACCAGAGCTGGCCAGTCCTTCGTAACCTTTCTTGGGAACCACTTTGGCTTGCGGAGTGTATTCATCGTTGAACAGCAGACTGGAATGGTCCGTTACAATATCGCCATCAACTACCATGCGGACGGTCCACATTGACTGGGGAATTTCCGGAAAGTTCCATTGGTTTTCCACTAGAAAATCGGCTGAGAACACCCAATCGGACCCTGCATATCCAACATCCCAGTTGCGTAATCGCTTGCCAACAAATTGTGATGTAGGGATCTGGTAGACGAAAGTGACGCTCCGTGTACAGTTGCTGTGCAGCGCCGACTTTGGGAGGTTCCGGGAGGATCGGCTAGATTTGTCACGGATGAAATATTGTTTCAAGTTCAGCCACGACATGATACTATAGAATAACTTTAACAAATAAACCCGAAGACAGTTCCGGTGGCAGCGTACACCCTTGTTAGTCCTGTAGTTCAAAATAAATCGGGCTTCTTCTGTTGTAAAATTATAGGAACCGAGTATTTGTACAGAGTATCTGTATCGTAAAGTGAAAATGTCAACTGCTGAATACGAGTACGGAGTAGCGCAACATCGGTGCCGTTGGAGACACAACTTCGGAAAATTTGCTCTGCTTTAGACGGTTGAAAATTAGAATGCTGCTGCAGGGTTATAATTGTGACTCTGTTCCATGGAGCAATCGTACAGATGCATGCGTGCCTTAAACAATAATATATCTGTCGAACCCGTCTCGATCGATAAAACACTGGGATAGCGGCAGACTTACATTGCCGTGTCAAAACGCCTTACGTTCTTCGAAATCTGAATCACAGCCAGTTGACTCATATATCGATTATTGTCAAATCAGGTGCCACGGAGCATTTTCGAAGACCTCCTTTGTTACGGCCAAATGCCGGTTAGCCATCGAAGCTATTATGGATCAATTATTCTGCTTGAAAATGTATAGTAGCCAGGTTTACAACATTTTGTGCGTATTAAGTTGTAGCAACGGCAAAATCGTGTGTGGCCAATTAGGATTTCAGTAGTATTTCTGAATTTTGGGTTCGGTATTGGTTTTTCAGTTTCGCTTTTTATTCGCATATTTATTTCAGTACGAGTGTTGTGGCAAAGTAACTGTTCAACCAAAAGCAAAGGTGAATGTTCACCCAAAAGCAAAGGTGAATGACACTGCTCAAACGAAACGGACGAAAACTTAACGCAGCAATACTTCCAGACGAATAAAATCAAAGTACTGATAACCGAATGTACATCAGCGGTTGGAACCGGTAAAGCCATTTACGAGTATCTGTTTCTTGTGTCTACAGTCAAATATAAAACCAAAGAATTTCTCCGTGCTCCGTGGTAATTAAAATATGAGGCTTGCAGTCTTGCACCATCAGAGAACCACCACTATATAGAGAAGGAGATTAATGAGAGGAATAAATTTCTTTCTTATCGGCGTATTAGATTAAGGTCTTAGCGGAATGCGCATACGCAGACCATACTGTGGATTTCTAAGCAAAGTAACGATAAACGTATCAATACTAAAGCATTTTTGTTAGATTAGAGCGTTTGAACCTGCTCGGGACGACAGTATGACTGCACAGCAAAGCTCGTATAAATTATAAAGTAACCTTGTAATAAGATAATTTACGTGGGAGTACCTAAATGAGGAGCGTACCACCAAACCTTTACAAGCATTAAACCGTTTAATACGCAGCACGAAAAATGAAAAGCGTTCAAGCGAAACATGTTACACGTCTTATGGTAATAACGTATGTAGTTAGGCATCCACTGGATTCTTGCCGATGCATCGTGCGATGCTTTGTTGCAGTTTCGCCAAACCGAATTTCCGAGCGAACGCATAGTACCGCATCGCGTTGCCCACGTCAACGCCAGCCATCATACGGCACTCACAAGCGGCTGCCAGCTCCTTCATCTCGAATTTATCCGCTGCCATCCACAACTCTTCCAGCCTCTCATCGGCCGTGTGCAATACTTTTCGCGTATACGCAAACCGTACAAGTATTTCCAACAAAGCCCCATCGGTGTCCACCGTGATGGACAGACCGGAGATTTTGTCATGTTTGTTATTTTGCAACATTTCCGTCAGCACCGGCGACTGTACTGCCAGAATGGCGCGATGCGCTGAAAATTTGCGGCCGTCCTGGGCAACCAGGGTACAATCAGCCATCAAACCGGAATCCAGTAGACGCTGTAGATCGTGGCGCTCGTGCTGCTGGATACGAAACGTCAGTCTGACGTAAACATATCCCGCGATCAAAGCCGGAGACTGGTGGCTGTGACCGTTTTCGTCGACAGTCGTTTTACAACACATCAAATGGGCCAACTTGGTGTCGTCTTTGGCTACTGCAGAGTACGCCCATCCAGTAGGTCCGATGGCGATGCTGGTGCAAGTGAATGGATCATTGTTGGACGCACTGCAAGAAAAAAATTTAGTGTCGATTTTAATAGAAGCAGCCAATAAAGGAACTAACAAGTAAAGTACCGCGTGTCGGTATATCTGTTAGTCTTACCTAACTTTCCCTTCCACGGTAATCTCATACGGGCTTACCAGTCCACTGTAACCGGCTTTGGGAGCTACTTTGGCTCGCGGAGCCCGTGCACCTTCCAAAAGCGTGTTGAGATGTTGTCGGGTGACGAGACTGGGCTCGACTTCCATGCTAACGATCCACATTGACTGGGGGATTTCCGGGTAGTTCCATTGCTTTTCCACCTCAAAGTCCGCTGAGTATATCCAATAGTCTCGTCCGTAGTCGTCGTGATGGGATGACCGCTTGCCAGCAAACTGCGCCGTGGGAATCTGGTAATAGAGAGTGACACTCCGTGTCAGGTTGCCGTGCACAACCGAGTTTGGAGCATTGGAGGGTGGATAATTGAATATACCACGGGTGAAACGTTTTAACCACGACATCATGGAGACTGTTACAGGTTGTGTGGCAGAAAATTGGATAGGATTTCTTCAGAATAGCGGCAGGAGTACAGAGAAGAGCGAAGATATTTGTACCACGATATTCAGATGTATAGTGAAGAAGAACCACTAATGACGGGGAAACCGTCTCTTAGAGGCTTATAGCAGCAGTAGACGGATTACGTCGAAAGACGTCGAAAGACCAATGGCAAATCTAGAGGAGCGCCCAGACGAAGCAACAATCTCGCCAGTAAAATCCAACAGACTGCTACAATATGTCAGGAATAACGTTCCTTTATACGAGTATTCCTGTGCCTAATGCGTTGAAGATTAGAATAGTGCCACCGATTGGCTCAGTGGAGAAACCGGATATGTAGACGATAGATGCTGCAGATCCTTCAGCCTCTCACGGCTTTCAAATGACGCGTCCAGCGGTACAAGTGCGCCAGGTTTAACTTACATTTGTGCGGCATCTGCAAAGAGTGCTCGGATCGATAACCTACGGAAACAGCAACATCCAGATAATTATTTACGGAGAACTGATGTTGCATCCCGAAATTATTCCCTGCAAGTGCGATCGATTATTACCGGTAATAAATCAGTAACGCAGAAAAACGAATGCTGTCCATGTTGATCGTATTTAACCCGGATAACCGGGCACGCGATGACCTTAAATTATTCCTGGCAAACAACTGAACAGAAGATATATTTATAAAACAGGCTGTTTTAAATACAATAAATCATTTTCACGGAAACCTTTCTGCAGAGAAAACTCAGGCCTGGGAATCAGTTCAAAGTATTCAGCTGAATTCGGAAATACGAAGTGTTAGAATCCCAGAAGCACAAATGCGCATACTGCAGGATCGCCTACTGCATGTACCGTACAATACGATGGCAGCCATCGTACTATTGAAGTACTGTTTCATTAAATTAAACCAAGAAAATACGTATTAAGCGTACTAACTTCAGCCGTGACAAACATATAATACAAACAAATAGCGTTTACACGGCAAAAATGCCAGCCATTCCGGCTCTCACGAGTAAATGTGAATTCAGTAGCGCAAGGATTGGTTTTGTCGATACTGTTCATGCAGGTTGTACTCGAAATATTATTTTGAAATTTAATACAATATAATACATGTACACATACGAGTACGTCTGCTAAAAAGCATTTGGTTCTCTGCTTTTGAGATGCACGACAAATTTTTGTTTATAATCATGTCCAAAATAAGCTCACTACTGGATAGATAACACAACACCGTGAACAGCATTAGTTGTGGAAAAGCATTTGGTTAAGTGTAGTGAAGCACTTTTCCAGTTTCACAAAGCCATCATTCCCATTGGACCACTTGGTCCACTGAATTTATTGACATATGTATTATTGACGTACAGTTGGCAACGGAACCGTACATTATTTTCCCATTTAATGGGAAAATAATGTACGGTTCCGTTGCCAACTGTACGTCAATAATTTTTACCATTGGAAATGCGCGACAACTGCCCCCGGACTAACGCTCGCCCTCGAGCAATAAGGTGGTGAATAACCACCACTGGAGCGGACACATGGGTTAGCCGGAAGCAGATCAGTTTGAGTGCTGCTGCCGTGCCATTTCCCGCTGTAAAGCACAGAGCGTCAGTTTGGTCAGCTTGTCTAAATTCTTGTCCTGCATTGTATCCACACTCCAGCGTATCTGGCCGAATTCGGAAACTATGCGCGGATCATTCTCCTGGCAGGATCTTAAGATCTAGTAGGGACATAAGGGACAAAACAAAAGTTAGTCGCACATTCCTGCTCAGACATGTTGCGGTGGAATTCTACTCTAGAGCTCGCATAGAAATAGTCAAAATACAGACACAGATCGAAACATCCGTTAGTTATCCGATCGAAACACAGTTAGCTTTTGAGCAACTAGCATACGGATCTAACTTTTAACACACTCTAAAATCGTATCCTGGTTGACCTAGCTATAGCGAAACAACGGTGACCTTTTAATTTTTGCCTACTCCATTTGCTTGTAAATACTTAACATGGGTAATGATGATAATGAAGATGAAGATTTGTCTAATTTTACTTTCGTCGAGCTAACCGATGTGTTACACGGTATCTTGGATGAATTATTCGCTGTATCCAATGGAAACACCAAACTGGGAAAACTCTTGAACAGCCACAAAGACGCCCTGCTGCAGATTCCATCGCTGCTGAAAAATCACCACATTCGCATCCATGAAGTCGCGTTGAAAGCAGAAACAGAACTGAAGACGGAAAAAGAGAAGCTTGCAAAACTACTACTCGAGGTCGACCTCCCATCGACACTGGACCAAACCCTTTCCCATGTTCCTCAGCAACCTGAATCTCGTCATGCAAATCGGACCTATGCCGAAGCGGTTAACACCAAAGCTCCGCCACAGCCTGCAAATAAAAATGTCCTGCTGCTGAAACCGAAGACCATAGCGCCATCCAGCCGCGCCCGGAAATCTGCAACCGAGATGACGTCATTCTGTCAGACGCTCACCAACGTGCTCCTGAAGGAATGGATTCTGCCAATATTACCCGCATCCGACCGGCATCCGGTAAGTCTGTACTTGTTGAGTTCAAAAGTAAAGAAGATGCTGAAAAAGGCGAAACCATGTTTAACCACCATGCCGATAAGCTAGAAATATCTGTTCAGAAACCAAAGCCGCGTAAGTTCAGGATGATTGTTCGGAGAGTACCACTTAGCATGACAACGGAATCTTTCATTAATGAACTGATCTCGAAAAACCTTTCCGATCACAGTGAGGTGAAAATTGTAACTACGCTGAAAAGTAGCAAAAAGGACCGCGAAACGTACGCTATTGTTATTGACGTTGATGAGTTTTCAAGAGCCGTTCTGAATGAGAAAAGGTCGATTAAATTGGGTTGGTTTCTGTGCCCTGTTATGGACCATTTTTATGTACCGCAGTGCCTAAAGTGCTGCGAATATTTCCATGTCGAGCGCACCTGTAAGAACAAGCCGGTGTGTGCTTATTGTGCGAAAGATCACATTTCTTCCGAATGTCCTGAAAATGATCAGTTTGATTGCATTTGCATAAACTGTCAAAAAAATGAAAAATTCTCGCAGCAAAAACCACATTCGGCCTTTGCCCATGATTGGTGTGACCTTTACGTTAATCTGAAAAATTCGAGAACTTTTTACAATTCTTATCGAAAAAACGGAGCATGAACCCGGAACTAGAGAGAGTTCTTAGCGATACTACGAATGTTACTAATTTCCCAAACAACAGTGCATTTTTGAAAAAAAAGTCGTGACCGTAATATAAAGATCCGTTTACGATGTTGTAACGTCAATAGCGTAAAAAATAAAAGAGCCCAGGTAAAATTGTTCTGTCGCGACAGTGATGTAACCGTTTTAACTGAGACGTGGGACAAGTCATCTTACCCGGATGCATGGTTCGCTGACCTTCGGTCGTTTAATGTTTTTCGTCAGCCAAGAAAAGATGGTCATGGTGGTGTAGCAATTGTTGTTCGCAAATCGTTGAATGCTTTTCGTAGAACTGATCTGGAAGATTCTTCTCTTGAAATTGTTTGTGTTGAATCTGTAACCCTGAATATTTTTATTCTTGGTTTTTATGCTCCACCCTCCACTTGTAAATCTTCCGTTCGCACTTTAATTGAGCATTTACGTAAGCGCTTTTCGCCGGCGATGTTTGCTAGAACTATCGTTATGGGTGACTTCAATCTACCTGATATAGATTGGCATAGCAAAACAGCAGCTATGCCAGTTAGTCGGGAACTGCTACGCGCACTTAAAGAATTTAATTTGTCCCAGTTGATTAATTTTCCTACCAGGGAATCAAACTGTCTTGACCTTTGTTTGTTAAGTACTAGCTTCGTTTACGAGGCAGCCGTACCCATTTGTCCACCTTCTGTCACTAACGATCATATTGGATTTCAGTTTTGCTTAAGTGTAAAGCGTTTTAAGATAAAGATTCGATCGTTGGCAAAATGGAAAATAAACAGCGGCAACATAGCAGAGTTTACACATGCATTAACAGTACTCGATTGGGCAAAACTTTTCAACATGCCAATGCCGATCAGCGTGCATCCATTTTGAAGAAACGTTCTTGAGTGTTGCTAAAACATTTTTCAAATACGAAACTGTTAAAGTACGTGTTGGTTCACTTGAGTATCCTAAAAGTCTGAAAAAATTGCTAAGATCGCGCGATCGGGCTTTTAATCGCTACCGTAAATCCCATCGCTTTCAAGCTGAACTTAAAGAAAAGTGGAAGTCCCTGTCTAAAAAATGTGAAAAAATGACAAAACAATTTGAAAATCGAAAACTGTATGAAGTTGCAACGTCTCATCGTAATAATCCGTCCAAATTTTGGCAATTTCTGAAATCAACAAATGATCGCTCAGCTATGCCTCCGTTACAGCAACATACTGGTGCTTTAGCGACTAACGACGTCGATAAAGCCAATATGCTGAACAACCAGTACTACGAGTCCCAGTCGAACTGCGATGAACATTGCTTCAGAGCAGATACGGATTTAATGTGTTCAAATAATGACAGATGGGAAATTTCTGAGCAGTTAATTTTTGAACAATTGGCAACGCTGTCCACCAAAACGTCGAGCGGAAAATTTGAAATTACAAACTATTTACTAAAAATTGCAGCTAAGTCAATAATATTACCGCTTAAACTTGTTTTCAACGCGGCTATTAACGAAGGTAAATTTCCGTCTGTGTGGAAGCTTTCCTTTATTACTCCTATCCTGAAATCCTCAGCCGATCGCAAACTTCCAGCCAGCTACAGGCCCGTCTCGCTGTTGAATCCTGTCTCTAAGGTCTTTGAACGATGTTTAAGTCATTTGATGCGCGATCATTTGAGTAAAAATCGCATTCTTGGAGACCATCAGTTCGCGTACCGAGAAAAAAGGTCAACAGAGTTGCAGTTGTTTATCTTCACAAAAATTATTAACGATTTCATAACAAACGGTATCGACGTCGACGCAGTGTTTTTGGATTGTTCAAAAGCTTTCGATAAAGTTTCACACGCAAGCATACTGTCCGCTTTAAATTCTATGAACTTTCCTAGCCAAATTGTTCATCTGATATCGGATTACCTAAAAGAACGTATGCAATGTGTTACGGTAGATAACGCAATTTCCGATTCAAAGCCCGTTCGCAGTGGTGTACCGCAAGGGTCAGTTCTTGGCCCACTTCTGTTTATTTGTATATTAAACTTCATTCTTAAAGCGCTTAAAAACGGCAGTGGTCTTTTTGTCTTTGCTGATGATGTAGTAATGTTCCGTCCCTTAGCAAAAAGCAATGATAGTGAACTCCTGCAGGAAGATCTAGTGTGTGTAAAAGACTGGCTTGACGAAAAACAGTTATCTCTGAACCCGGCAAAATC